ACTTTGGTAGGATCACGATCCAAAATCTGGCATTTCATTTTCAGCAGCACATCTGACAGGTCTAAGTAATATTCAGTTGCAGGAATGAGAAATTCAATAACGTCAGTGTTGTTTACAATTTGATTAAGTGGCATGACATCCGTATAATGATACGATTCTACTGTAGATTGTGATACGGGTGGATCAAACAGCTGAAGCTCGTCTGGAAACTTCTCGATTGTATACTGGTTTTTTAGGGTAGCCATTCCAACTGTTTGCGTGTGTGTGCGTGCGTGTGAACTAGACTATTGAAGCTAGACTTTTTCCTTTTGTGACCTTTTGAAATAATCCGGTTCGGAAAGTACGTCTTCGCCTACGTCGGCCTCGCCCTCGTCGTCTTTTTCTCGTGCCAAATATCGGCCCTCGCCCAATTACAGCCGTTGATTGGACAATTGTTCGTTTAATTATGCGCCCTCTCCTTCTTCTTCTTTTCCCACTTGTTTTTCTCCGATAGCGAGCCGTTTTTAAGAGAGTACCACAAACTACTAGCACAGACTGAATGCTGAATGGTTAGGTCTTCTTCTTTTTATAGTCGGCGGTGCAACAACGCTCTTTTCCGTTAAACATCAAGCAGATCCACAAACAATCAGACAAACACTAACGTTTTCGCTTTTCACGTTCCAAGAAATACGCAACACACATTCGTTTCACAAAAAACGCTGCTGGTTACAAATTAGCAAAACCGCAGAACTACTCACTCACGAAAAGAAGTCTCCGATTTTTCCGCTCTCCCATTATTGGATTGGCATTTTCGATAATGGAGCGTCAGAGTGGTTTCTCCCAGAGCATTTTCATTCCAAGGCATTTTCCAGTCTGATTGGATGGTAACAGTGGGATTGGACTTGTAGAACCAGTTTTTGACGGGGACATACATGCGACTTTTTGGTTCATAACCTTTCTTCAAATCATCGACACTGGCTACCGCGAGAATATTTTCCGTCCGATTTCCGAAGGCAAAAGAAACTATTTGATTCATGCAGATAATGGCCTGCTTGCGCCCCCGCTGCGTGTCCACCGGCAGACGATTTCGAATGAGCCGAGTGTCTCCATATTTTTGGAAGTTTTGATCGTGAAAATATGCGCTTGCAGCCACTTCTTGACGCATTACGCCGGCATCGTCATCGTAGAGCAGACCCAGTACCACCGACAGCAGGTTACCTCTATTGACAATTTGCACCTGCTCGTTCTGACTCAGCCAGTGCAACTTTCCTTCTTGCAGCAAAATTAAAGGCGCAATTACTCCAGCCATATTGGTGACCATCATCTGGACTGCCTTTGACACGGCAGCAACGAAGTCACGCGGCGATTTGTCGAATTCAGCCTCCGCAAGGTAGGCATCTAAATAAAGTTGGCTATCAGCACTGTTTACGCAGACTGTCAGCTGCCGATGCTCAGGTGGGATGGTGCTGAGCTCCGCTGAAGTGAACGCCCTAACCAGGGCAACCTCCCAAGGCACTTGCTGTTCGTAGTAGGATAAAATCGGTAGTTGTTGTTTATTGGAAAATTGTGTGGCGGTGTTGCGCAGCACCAGTGAGCCATAAGCCACGGAAGCTCCGCTATGCAGTACGGTATAAAATCCTCCCTCCATCATGGTTTCCTACAAAAAGACAGGTTTACCTTATAAATATGAAAAGTTCACAACTGACTGATCATACAGTTTCAGAATTTCATTTAATTCTTCCTGACCCCACTCTGGAAATATCTTCCTTATAAAACTGCAGTGGCCGATTGCCTTCCAAGAGAGTTTTCGGTACGCGATCGAGCGTCTGCAGACGATACGTTATCACCGGCCCAAACAAAATTTCGGAAATTTGAAAAATTTCATCGGAGAACGTTTGAGTGTATCCCTTGCTGAATGTTGATTTCTTAAGTGCAATCCGGACTCTGTCACCAACTTTAAAAGCTGCCTTCTGCAACTTAATAAACCGCTTTTCCTGGCCCAGTTTAAATAACTGCGATTGATTGCTGACCGTGATTTCTCCCGGCTTCATTTTCACAGCACTATGTACGCTTCCATTATAATTTTGAATAATATTTTGCAACGCTGAAAACCAATTTGAACTCTTCGTGAACGTAAAATGACGGAATAATGTCGTTTTAAGAGTTCGATTGAAACGCTCCGCTAGCGCGGCTTTAAATCTTGAAGACGATATTTGGTGGCGTATGCCGTGTTTGTCGTATACGGATTTTGCTTTTTCATTGATGAACTCTTTTCCCGCATCAGTAACTAAAACAGTTAAATTTACAAAAGCTTTCTGTATATTTAGGATAGCGTGTGCTGTTCAGTCTCGTTATTCATTCTCACCAAAAACAACGGGCCGCCGCTTTTGAAAAATTATATCCAGCGCTTTCGAAACAGTTTCACCCGATTTGTTGACCAGCGGGTACGATGTAGCAAAACGACTAACGCAGTCTACTGTCGTTAGAATGTAGCGGAACTTTTCATTAAATTTTTAACTTTCTGCAGCTCCACCAGGTCACCATGCCAAACGTTATCCACGCCAACGCAAAAATTTTTAATTTCTTAAATTTAATTCGGGTAGGCCTGTGCAACGTATGAGTCTTTTGCTCAGAAAGAAAATCCTTGACGTCCTGTAGGGTTACCGTCAGGTGCTTAGCTTTCTCTGCCTCTTTAGCAAGCCGGTATAGAGTCATCGTTCCACCCAAATACCCCGGTGACGTAATATCAGTATAGAGCGATTTCAGAAAGGAAGCCTTTCGCCGACTTTCAGTGGCGGTTGCTGGTAATAACTTTTTTCGCGCCATTGCAGCTTTCTTACCTTTTTGCCGGGTTTTGTGTTTCTTAGCAACAGCGGAAGCGGAAGCGGTAGCAGCAGAGCCTCTCTGAATAATTCCACGTATCAAGAACAATAATCAGCTCCACCGCCAGCAAATAATCTATAGTCATGCGGGGAGGGGGGGCCTTTCCTGATTACACAACAATTTATGATCGGAGATATAATTCGATTTTTGCATCCGCTTACGAGCAGAAGGTTGTCAGAAATCTCGAAAAGCCAAGTTCTTATTCACACGTCATTCTTTGTCTTTGTGCACCGCTTTTATACAGGGTGATAAACACGCTGAACACACAAAACAGTTGTGGTGACATTATGTGACTTATACTCCGCTGGACGTCTCACAACAGGGGGTGAGGCGCATGGGCAACTATCGCACAGACCCGGCCCATCGATCCAGGGGGCTGATGCGGCTAGAATCAGCACGGCATGTGAGCATTGCAACTAAGCAGATCCGATATGCAAGCCGTATAATATATAATAGCTATCACCCGGCGTAATTCGATGCTGCAGTCAGTGCAGTTTTGCGGATTTTTGGGAATGGTGCGCCGCTTCTTTACAACTATTGTTAGTTCTATCGGGAAACTTTTATCTTTTAAAATTGACTACAAGAGTGTTCCAAAGAAAGTTAACGAACCGTTTTGCTGCAAACACCAAGCCGGCATTTTGGCTGAACACATTTTTGCAATAGGTGTTGGAAAGTCAACAGCGACAGCCAAACAGGACGCGGCTAAAAAATTACTTGCTATTTTATTGCGGAATTACCATACCAAACTCTTGGAAGTGTTGGAAAGCGAAAGAAGGCAGCAACAATCAGGATCCACATCCACTAACACCACTACCATCACAACTACTACCAGTAAATCAGCGCCTACGCCAGATCCATCCCTCTCTCTCGCCCCGAGAAAACAACCGCCTTATCAGGCACTCGCGGAAAGCCTAGCAAACATACTCGGTTTTGATTTGGAATACCGCCGACTTCCGTCCATCGACGCGAACAACTGGAATTATCAGGCAGCAATTGCCAACGAAGATCTCTTTATAATAGGGAGCGGACCAACAACACACCTGGCAAAAGCGGATGCTGCTAGGCTACTTGCTCGGAAACTACTGGTACATTATATTCGACTTTTATTAGAAATCTTGGATTCTCCACCCCGCATCGCCTCTGTTTCCAAGGCAGCGACGACATCGACAACGACACCGACGACGACGACGGCGCCGGCATCACCATGAGCAGTGGTTATAACAGTAGGACAAACGGGCGGCAAAGATTTAGCTTCCGACCCAGTATGATTTACCGATATCGTTCGCCATATAATTCACCCCCTTCACCTTTGGAAACTAATGAACCATCTCCCGACAACAACAACAATGACAGCAGCTATTTCACTCCGCCAAAGCACCCCGATGCAGGGAGCAGCGAAAAGTACACTGGATATCTCGACACCGGCCAGATACGGAACGAGCTGCAGCTGTGCACCAAGACGTGCTCCATAATCCTGGTAAGCCTTATCGACATCCTCAATTTCAAATTTTTCAGTTACTTATGGCGTTCTGTTTTTATATAGCCTCTTCCCAAGCCCATTCTACGCTACCGCTACACGATGATTAACATCACACGCGTAGTAAACTTTTACCAGTTCCAAAACCTCATGGAACAAAGCCTCATTCCTCTGGACACCTATTTTCAAAACGCTTTGCGAACAACAGCCATTAAACGCACTGGAACAGAGGTGGATCTGCCACGAGGATTTTCTCATGATGTTTACCAGAAATACAACTACCTGGAACTTTACCGCCACTTCAATCTTCGGCATATCTTCCAGGTTATAAAGAACTACTTCAATCAATTTGTTCAGTGCCAGCATTGCAGAAGCTGCTCGACTGTCATTGTACGAAAAAATGGGAAATTATGCATGATTTGCTTAGCATGTCAGGCTAATACGTTTGTTTGCAAGCGTGTGTAAAACGAGGTTGACTTACGGAACGGCCGTGTTGCGACAACGATGATTCGAATCTGTTAACGAATTCAAACTGGGCATATGCGTGGAATTTTAGTTGATAAGCCGCCTTTTTGTTAACAACGAAGGAAATGTTTTGTTGTTCAACCAATGAAACATCCAAGAAATAAAAAAGTGACTGTACAAACTTGCCATCCCGGGAACATAATGTAAACGTAAGTGATCCAGCATAGGAAATAACAGGAATTGTCGAAACAAAAAAGCTCCAACATTATGCAGCCATATAACAAAAGATCAACTAAAAAGCAATTCCGTAACAAATTTCAAAACCTTAGTTCTGGGTATTAAAATACAAAATTGTGTGGGTATAGGTATATACATACAATGTATCAATCAAGGAAACGCAACCGATGATCGAATTACTGTGTCTGACGCCGAAGTCGCTTGAAACGCTCGCGGCGACGTTTGAATTCTTCACGCTGCGCTTCAAATTCATCGCTTGGACCACCCTGTGCCCGAACTTCCAAGTCCATTTCGCGCCACGCTCGAATTCCATCAGCCATCTGACGCTCTCCTTCAGGTCCACTTGCAACAGTATCATACAGAATACTGGTCGAGAAGGCGGCCATATGGGCGGGAAAGGCTGGGTCCGTCACGCTTCGGCTCCACACAGCAGACAGTCTTCTGGTCCGTTCATCCATATTCTCCACGAAATGGGCCATACTATCGTTAACAGCTTCCCGGTCTACAGATATCATTACCACACAAATCACACAACTGTTTAACACAATTAACCAAGCAACACTGCGGTGATACCTGTGTTGTTGTATCGCTCCGGGTCGATGGCGCTGTGATAAGAGGAATCTGATGGTGGGTTGCTTCCAGAAACGCTTTCCAGGGAAAAATTCCCCGGCTGCCTGTGCGGTAGTTGTGGCGGCGGCTGCTGTTGTTCTCCGCGAGACAGAGCTGCCCGCATGACACTAACTCTTTCGCCTAGACGATTAATACTGTTGTCGAGTCGCAAATTCACATTTTCCCACTCCTGGTTAGGGTCAGCGGTGTTAATGCCGTCAAACCCGGTAACGTCTATAAGCGCTGTTTATGATTATCAACTAAAAAGACACGCAACACAAAAGCACGGCTGGCGTGCCACATGCACGCATACTTACCGTCATTTGGACAAGGTGGATGATGAGGCGAAGCTGTTGTTGCAGCGGATCCTGGCGGCCAGGGACCTCTTAGATTAGCGTTAGAGTTATGGAATCCCAAGAATGTTGATGGGCGCGATGAGCGCGGTGGTTGGCGGCCGTTGCCAGGGCCACCAAAGGGATGTGGCGGAGCGGATGGAGTTCTGGGAATTCGAACCGCAAAAAGATCGACAGTCCTGTGTGCGTGCAGCCGTGCCATGCAGCGCTGAAATAAATTGTAGCGTGATGCCGCGCATCCCAGGATAGCCAGGACGAGCAGGACAATTCCCACAGCGATCCCGATTATTCCGCTAGTATCCAGAAGTGGTGCACTGCTGCTGCTGCTGTGGCTGGCTTTGTTGTTGTTGTAGTTGTTGTCGTCGTCATCGTTGTCGTTGCCACTGCTACTACCTAAAAAGCACGGTGGACATGGTTGACATGGCTGTAGCTGCAGAGTCGGGTGAACGACCTCCTCCTCAAGAAGGTAAGAGTGGTTAGACATGTTGTTATCTGTTCCGGATATGTTTACATCGCTGCCGTCAATACTGATCAAGATTAATACATCTGCTACGCTTGAATTGTCTCCCGTTTGGTTCACCGTCGCCAATGTCGACGCGAGTGCCGCGGGTGTCGTCGTCGATGACGACGACGACGACTCAGCAACGTATTTGATAACAGAGACGGAATTGGTGCTGATGGTGGTGGTGGTGGTGATGGCCGCTGATAACTTGTGGTCAAATACAGCAGCGGTAGCGGTGGTGAAAATATCGGGTATGTAGCTTCTCGTTGAAGTTATATTGTTTTCCGAGGAAAACGGGGGGATAGATGAACGATCGTTTCCATAATCCTTCCGATCAGCGCCACCAACTCCCCCGCTACTATCCCCTTCATCCATAAAGGTTTCAGTAACTTGGGTATGAACCGTGGTGCTGTCGTCGGGAAACTGTTTATCACCTGATATGTGGTAGCAGCAGGCGCGCTAGTGCTGCTGCTGGTGTCCATTCATTTTCTATTTCCGTGGACAATGGGACGGAGGAAGGGTGGATATTATTTATTTCAAAACGAATGTCTGCAGGTGGAGACAACAGCATAGATAAAGTTGACGATAAATTCGAAATTTTTATGGTGGTGGGATCTATCACGGCCGTAGCAGCATCGGTCAAGACAGGAGAAACAACGTATGCGCTATCATCACTCGACGTAAATGCCGATTCTGTCGTGGTGGTGGTGGTGGTGCTGCTGCTGCTGCTACTGCTGCTGCTACTGCTTTTGCTCTCTTGCCTAACCGTAATTAATAAAGGGGCAGGTGATGTAATCGTCGCTTGCACAATTTTTGTGCTTGCCGCAGGCGCCACCGCCCCGGCCGTTGTTGTAGTTATAGCGGCAGCTACATACATACAACAAGAACTATCCGAACCTTCTATCGAAAATAATGTTTGACTGAATCTTTACTTACCAGCATGGGTGGTAGTGAAGACTTTGGGCGGATATGGCAAAGGCCAGGGTGTTGGAAACCCGGTTGGTGTAGGGCGGCTGGACCACGGACAGCACGGGGCATACGCGCAGCCGTTACGCTTGTCTACGGATGGATATACATTTTCTGCGTGAAACTTATTTCGATGGGAAACGATTCTGAGTCAAGAAAACTATTTACAGAAACTTTTTATTGGTAATTAACCTTTTCCGCATCGGGGAGCGATGATCTTCAGACCCAGTTTCTCCAGGCACTCCAATTCACGACATTGATAACCGTCAAAAATTGTGTTGACCAGGAAGATCAGTTGCAAATCCGGGAAATTATGGGTAGGCCGCCAATTTGGAAGAACATTCACATCCGATCCTGTCATGTCCAACATCTTCACACCTCTCACAATTACATGAGGCTGATTATCCAACGGCCAGGTCATCGAGCTGCTGCTTGAGCACTGCCAGATTGTAGGCTTACAAGTGCAGAAGTATGGACAAGCGGCGGCGGCGGCGGTGTTGGTAGCGACGATGGGATAGTACTGTCCGTAAGCAACGCTGCATACAGTAATTACACCCATTACAGCCCCGGCAATAATAAGGTTAAAAACCACTGCCATTGTTATGCACGGTAAACACACAGGTCAATTAGAATGAATACAGTTATTATAGTTATGTCACATAAGAGCTGTTAACAAATTTTCTAGCCTGGCAAAACATCATTCCAAATGCAAATGACTCAACTGAATGCGCAAATAATCAACTGATGGTTGAGTTAGTTTTCAACATCGCGACTTACCTCATTTTTCCTCTCATTCTCTGGGCCGACGGTTTTTGAAAGAGAAAAAATTACCAGGAGATAAGACTATGATGCCATTACAGCTAAAATTCTCTCTGCTGTAAGACACTGTTTACGCTTCATTACGCTGATAAGAGCCATGAGAACTTGAGCTAGATGGCCATTTTTTCCTCCACATGCAGTTTTTTTTATCAGTCTACCACTGAAGACATGAAAATGAGCACACTGAATAAATAAGCAGCGGCCAGCAATACAGCTGTGACTTTGCACACGGCTTGCATTCTTTCTTTCTATCTTCCATAAGCCTGCGTGTACAAGCAGCAGGGAATAAGTAGACGTTTGCAGCGCACAGCAGCGAGAGTAGCCAGTACGTACTGAGTCCCACTTCTTTGAGGCTGCAGAGATGAGACAACTAAGTACAGTACAGTACTTATGACCGCTATATGTACCGCACAGCCTGACCACCCGCGGGCTGGCTGACGCCTGCTTCGCAGGTAGCGACCTACGTCACTTTGGCCCATGGGTGGTTGGTTGCCGGCCTTATTAATATTTAAAATATTAATTTGGTCAGACGTTTATTTTAATTTTGTAAATAATAATTTATTATTTATTTTAATTTATTATTTAATTCCAGGGGCAGTTGGGGGTTGCTGCTTCTGGGGGGCAGTGGATCAGGGGTGGCGCCCAATGGCGCCAGAATGATCACTTATCATCAGGTATCGGTACTACTACCGTAATATGTCTGCCATTTCTGGATAATTATAGTTACTGAGTTTTGACCGGGGGCTCGTGAACCGTTAGTTCTTTTCAGTAGTTAGCTGCAACGTGAAATATCTCATGGAGCGTCACTGCAGTTTGCTCGCGAAAAAAGAGTTTGTGGTGAACTACTGATTGATTGCGTATTATTTGGTTATTTCCATCAATTTCCATGCGTTAGCTTGCAATAGTGAGAAACCAGCAACAGAAAGGCAATACGCAATCACTTGCCTCTGCATCCAGCTCGAGCAACGGGCAACGCATCTGCCGTACTCATACACACCGTATTTCGCAGCCAGTGGTTAACTCGCTCCGAATGTACCCAGACGAGTTAAGTTCGGTTTACTGAATGAGCAGACAAACTCTCGAGGCACCCATAAGTCTGATCGCCATATATGAACACTGAAAACATGAGCATAACAGAACACAGAAACACCATAACGTTTAGGAGCACTACGGATAGTAAAGAATCATTTCGGTTTATTAATTACTTGGGAATTATTGCAAATTATTTTCGGCTGCAAATAAACACAAACCAAAAACACCACAGCCCAAACCGTTTCCCCCCATTACTGATCGCGCCCCCCAGCAGAATCGGGCAGTGCGCGAGAGGAACCGTATCGGTCACACTGTATCATTGTACCCGCAACCAACTGCGCAAAGCCACACAGCTCTCGCAGCGATTCATCGCGGCGCACATCGTGATAAACGTCATCTTCATGGGGCCAGACGCGTTGGGCAAACGCCTCTCCCTCCTGCCATCCCACCCCACAGTGCACCCCCCGGAAACACATCCAGAACATGCGCTCCGGAAAACACGCGTCTCCTTCTTTGCGCATTTTTTTGGACATATCCCACACGTGCAGCTCTTGATGGCGCTCGCCGATTCTCTCCATTCCCGGCCAACGGCCCAGGAAGCCTTTGATGATCAGCACCACCTTGGGATCGCAGCCCGCCGTCACGACGGCCCCGTAATCCAGCTCTATGTCGAAGAACTCCCCCAGTCCCTCCACCACGGCGTAGCCGGCCCATTCCGGAAACAGAACACGCAGCACCTTCATGTACTCCACCAACCAGTCGTAGTCGAAAAACGGACCGTCAACAGCGTACTGGTCCAGGATAGCGCGTGTGTTCGCTAGCAGCGACTTCACGTTTAACGTCTCCAAGTACTCCCGGTGTCTACGAAATATTTATTAAATGGTTCTATTTCAACGAAGAGGATCCCGTTTATATTTTCAAAGAAATCACAATATACTTCTGTAGAAATTATATTCTTAAAGAAATGCCGCGCCCCATGTTTTATTGGATATTTCTTTCGTGTTTTCGCCCCATCTTTTCGTATTTCCTGGATATTTATCAAACTCAGCTTCTATTAACACAGAAGCCGAATGCAGTGTCAGGCTTTTAAGGTTAACAAAATTAAGCTTCGGTCTCGCAGGAAACGATGGCAATTAATAAGCAAAAAACTTTCACTCATGAAACAGATGTCATAAATTATACAGATCAATCTAAACTGCATAAAAATCGTCATAATGCCATCGATTCTTCTATTTAAAGTTGCCATAAAAAAAAACTGAAATTAAAAAACCTCGAGACCAGATGCAGAAGCGTTGGCGATCGGCAAAAAACTCGAGGATCTCATCAAATGGGCAGTGCCCGTTGCGGTTGAACCGTGCCCAATTTATGGTAACGTATATGCTCAGTAACCAAAATATGGGGAAAATCGAAGAGAATAGACGAAGTGGAAAGTGGGAACTTACTTCTCGTGCATCGTCTTGTTATTAATGCCTCCCAGCATCCGGTGCGTGCTAACCTGTAAAAGGAGAGTCATTAGACGATCCAACACCGCACTTGAACCACCAATAACGGTGAAGATCGCGGGTAAAAATTTAAAATTAGCTCGCTGTCTGATGTGTGGAAAAAATTAAAAAAACAGCATGATATTATTGAAGTCGTATTTTCACTTAAAGCGTACTTCTATGAAAGATGCGAAGCGCTCAGACACAAGTAATTTTAATTTACAAACCGCTGCTTACGGCTAGTCAAGCACGGTATTTTGCTGACCATAACCATAACCCGGCATGCAGTAGCAAAATTATTCCGCTGTTTCAAAATTATCAGCAAATTTTTTTTACATTTGTATTTTAGAGAAGATTTTATTATAGCTAATTACACTTTGCTTCGTTTTTTTAATTACAGTTTTTTTTAATTACTAGGTTGCTCGTGAATTTTTACAGAAGCGATGCAGTAAAAAAATATGTCTGGAACTGACTAAAAATAATATTAATAGAAAGAATATATAAATAATATAACTAACGGGCCACAAAAAACAAATTACTTTAATGGTAAATCGATTTTTATTTAACAATTATTTTTACTTTATAGAAACATGAGACTGTTGTGCCAATCTACGAGTAAAATAAAGCCCACACACGATAACACAAAAATTATTCAGACCATAAATAATAATTAAAATAAATACGATAAATGCTAAAATTTTTAGAAATGTTATACTATGTTAAAAAAATGTTATGTTAAAATTTAAAAAATACTGCGCTTCGACCAAGACCTGTGCATAGCAGCCTGGAATTTCATCTTATCACTTCCCATAACGGCCAGTTAATCAATTTGGGATCTAATTCCATTTCCACTTCACGAAAACACTCAAAGCGAAAAATAAAATAAACGGAATTCAAGGACTTCCGGCGCTTAAAGCAATTGCAGTATTAATCCCGTAAGCTATTGAAAACGCCCTTTTTCGTTCTGTTTCACCAAACGATGTTTTTTCTGCCTTCCTCCTTTTAATAATAATATTACTAAATCAAACAAATTATTATTAAATTTCGAAAAATTATTATTAATTAATAAAAAATAAATTTAGAAAAAAACACAAATATGCTGTCTGAAAGCCGACTGCGGAAAACCATTGAAGATAACTTATCGGCCTTCCCTGATGACTGATCTGTCTTCACGACAAACACACGTACGAGTAAATTGAGTGTTAATGGTTAATGCTGGCTGCCCACTACAAGTGATTCACGGTGCACATTTCACAAGAAGGTGCGATCGGTCACACGCGCTTTACCCGTCCAGTTATCTGGCCGATCAAACACCATTTATTATTAATTTATTACTGTATCATTATAGCCAGATCCAAGCTAATAAAATATCTCACCAAGCTAATAAAAAAGTTTTTGCGTAATTTAGAAAATTTCTTATTTTTTTGGCGTGATTTATAAAATCAACGTTACGTACTCCACCATACAATCTTAAAGCCAGATCACGTTAAAATTCTTTTTGATCACACACTGCTCCAGCGTGTTCGCAAAGCGGCACATGCGAACAGCAGAGGCTGACTGCGCCCACTTAGCGGTCATGAGTAATTTCCAGAAAATTTGTCTTCAGCCAACAAAATACAGGGAAAAATCACGACTTACCAGGGAAAAATCCAGACCGTGGAATGCCGGAGCGAAGAGTGGTGCGGCATCCCGCACCGCAGCCGTTGTCCACAAATCCGCTAAATCCGGCAGAAATTTCTTGCCCAGCAAAAAAGCAAAGACGTCCGCGCGGTACACTTCACAGATATCCAGCAGCTGCTGTCCATTCGGCAGACTCTGCACCTTCTGCAGCACGTGTTGATTGGCACTCAGGAAGGCCGCCACGAGATCCTCGGCCACACTGCCAGCCTGCCAGCAATAATAATGTCGAATTATTAATAAACTATTTAATCAATGCATTTATTCAATCACAACTGAACCTATTATTTTAGCTACGTATCTATTCATTACAACAATTTGTCATTCTATAAGTAAAACCCTTTTAATATTTAATTTCGTAAATTCGATCTGTCCTTCTCGTATTAGTTAAAAAGGATTTTTACGTTTATTTATTTCATTTTTAAAATAATAAAAAATACTACAATACTGTAATATCTTTTATTATTATTAATAAATTGTAAAAAAATTCCAGTGGTAATAATAATTTCAAGCTGACAACTGTTCCTTCTCGTGTTGATGAAAAGGGATTTTTATGATTATTTCTTTCCGTCTTTGTAGACGGCTAGGCACAGCCACGTGTAGTCATAATAATTTTTACGAAAGCCGTTAATTCATAATTATGGAATTGCAATTTATATGCCGTTATCAGTACTTCGCAAGTGATAATATTCTTCTAAAATAAAAACTGCCTTTAAACCGGTTATAAAATTACAGTTTCTCTTATACCTATAGATAAACCAAAACAACGCAAGCAGAATTTATTATTTTCCTAAATATTGTACTGCAGTCAATATTTATGAAAAATATGCAATATCCAGACTAAATAAGTGAGTATTTCCATAAAGAATTATACAAGTAGTTCATAAATAATATTATAAATGACTGGTTCACAGTGACACATAAAAGCAACACTGCAACAGTGATACTCAGACCTGATGTCCATAAAGGATCGATCAGTCAGTCTGCTATAATCGTATAACGACGTAATAACGTTTGGAATACCTGCAGAACCGCGATTCCACCCGAGAAACGTCGAGTCACAGCGTTATCTGGCCGTTGCACCGACGCCACGTTGCCCAGAGAACTACGGCCAGCATCATGGCGACGCGAGGGAACCTTCGTGTCGGATAACGACAGTTGTCCAAACTGTTTCTCGCTTAACTCCTGGCTGGGTCTTCGCGCGAGCGACATGGCGCCGTTCACTGCAATACACACGGATAGCTCACACACTGTTCAGTGTTCAGCTTCGATCTTCAGACAAACACTTATCAAACTCAATTCCCACTTACTATCTTACAGAACATTAAATAATCAAGCTATTCACAATGATAGGATTTCGTCGACAGGAGACAAATAAAAATTATATGTATTTCCCTAGAAGACAACAATAACATGTCACAACACGCAGAACTGGAGAGCGGAAAATACAAAAGTGACAAAACTGCATGTTACAACGGCTGACAGACGAATTTTCATTCCAGCTGGCCCCACAGTGCGGTTGGGCTATATCCTACGGTCGTAGCGCAGTATAAAATACTCACGTAGGCGCATCCTGCGGTGTACGGGGCAACCCCCGCAGGTTCGGTATTCGAGCGTGTTTTCTTCAGTTTTCACTCTTTCCGTCGTCGATTAATTACTCGTACTTGATTGAACGGATATGTACTTCAGCTTCGAAAAATAAAAAAATTCGAAAAATTCTAAAATTAGAAACGAAAACTTTGCAACTCGTAGAGTAGGCTTCCGAAGAAACCTGACTGTAAATTGTAATGATATGTAATCTATTCACGCTGCCAGCGTTTGCCGCAGACTTTGGAAATGCAAACTACAGTAAGCGTAATTTGTTATCTAAATTCTAAACATCTTTTGTTTTGAAACCTTTTACTCGGAAACATTCTATTTATAGTAATAACATTTTTTTCTGCTAGGTTTTTATTAAACTGCGAAGTTTAAAGGGTATACCATACCTGTAGGCTGCGCGTGCTTTAAATTAAAGTTAAATTAATTAAAGTTAAATTAATTAATTCGCCGCATGTTTTAAATTAACTAAAATGCGATTGAATAAAAAAATGAAATACAGTACCGTCAGTACGTAATTAAAAGTCAATATTTGGAAAATTTTAACTTCCAGGCAGCGTCACGCACTGAACTAAAAATTTATTATTATTTCAACATTTCGACCGGCTATTGCCTGCATTTGGCATGGATAGTGCTCGTCAGATAGAAATATTGATATCGTATAAACATAGTCGTTGTAAAAGCAAAGAATTAAACAAACCATCGCAGAAATAAATAATTTATCATTGCCACAAACGTAAATAGTAATAATAGCTGTTTTCTAAGCGCCAGCGTCGCGCTTAATGTGCATCATGTACCTTTATGTATTAATGTGCATTAAGTACCTTTACGCAGGAAATTAATCACCCGGCTGGCCGACTTGTACATGACTTCCTGTGAAGTATCTAATAATACTTTATTAGATGTGTACAGTAGGACGACTGATGATAGACTAAATATAAAAGTAGGAAAACATACAAACATTCTCTCAGAGATACTGGAACGTTGCTAGGCTCATATAATGTACTACAGTACTTTATAGTACATACACTACACTCCCCCACAATAAGATAAAACACACGGGCAATGAAAACAGGAATAAATATTAATTTTAAATCGGCGGAAATTCTACGAAAATCTTTTTCGTCACGTAGTCTTTGAGGAGGTAATCCGGCATCTTCCTTGTCCGATCGCTTCGGCGGAGTTCTGCTTCCGGAATCGGGGCCTTCGGAACTTTCGGTGGCTTTGCAGCAGCCTTCTCCGATGGCTTCTTCGGAGGCTTCGTTTCGGCCGTGGGAACCATGACTTCCGCCTTCACTGGGGGTGGCGGTCCACGGTCTGGACCTGCAATAACAACAGGGGGCACAGGCTGCGGTGCAGCCTGCATACTTACCTGCTCAGATTTCGGCGCCGCAACATCGCGTCGCGCCTCAAGCGCAGCCTCCAGGCGTCGCGCTTCTTCAACTGGTGCCGCGGGTTCACGTCGCACCTCTGGCGCCGCAACCATGCGTCGCGCCTCTGGCGCCGCAACCATGCGTCGCGCCTCTGACGCCTTACGCTCACGCTGCGTCGCAACCTCTACCGGTGGTAGCATCGGGACGGGCTTTGGTGTTCTCTGTGCACTCGCCGCCATCTGCGACTCTGCGTGCTCTTCGGCGGTCAACCAACGGCGTGGTAGCATCTGGTTAGCATGTCTTCGCCACACTTGACCGTTCACTTTAACTTCCCACATCGTTTTACCGATGGGTTTTACCAGCTGCCCTGCAGCCCACTTATCAGCACTGTTCAACCGGAAATCCTTTACTTGGACTAGTTGTCCTGTTATGAACGCTCGCGCTTTCGTGCGCTTATCAAAATTGCGCTTCTGCCTGCCTCGGGCTTTCTCGTGCACCTGCGCTACAGGATGAACCAGGTCTAAGATAGTCCTGACCTTTCGATTTAGAAACAACTCGCACGGAGCTTTTCCAGTAGTACCATTTGGTACAGTACGAAAACGACTAAGGAACTCCCGTAACGCATCAGCAAACGTTTTTCCGGACTGCATGCCTTTTTCTATGCCCTTCTTTACTACATCAACGTAGCGCTCGGCTTGCCCATTGGACTGCGGGTGTCCCGGGGCTATAGTCATATGTTTAATCCCTCTTTCAGTACAAAACTGCTGAAACTGTTCCGACGTAAACTGACGTCCATTATCACTGACGATATCAGTACACAGTCCATATCGCGCAAACAGACTTTCCATAATGAAAATCACGTTACTGGTATCGGCTTTCTTGACCTCAAACGCTTCTAGCCACTTCGAGAATGCGTCAACAATTACGAGTATCATTCGACCCTTGAACGGTCCGGCAAAATCTATGTGCAACCGATGCCACGGGCCCTGTGGGACCGGCCACTGTTGTAACGGTACCTTTCTGGGATCTTTCGCTAACATCGAACAAATCTCACATTCCCCGGCTACTTTCTCTACCGCTTCGTCAATACCAGGCCACCAAACGTGGCTTCTCGCTTCCGCTTTCATCTTCACTACGCCTGTATGCGTACTGTGTAAGTACTTCAGTATCTGTGCACGCAACGAACTGGGGATAACTACTCGGTTATTCCACAGTAAACAACCATCGCATATTGAATATGCGTTCTTCCGGCGACTGTACGCCACTAACTCTGTTGGAACCTTGTTTGGCCATCCATTCAAATGGAACTGTTTGACTCGGTCAATCTCACTGTCTTTCGCACTCGCTGCACGAATCACTTCAGCTGATACTGGCATACTGGATAGAATTTCACTTTCTATCAAATTGACCACTTCTGTCTTGCCCAGATCTTCTTCGTCAAACAAATCTGATGACTTAATCGGCAGTCTACTGAGACCATCTGCCTGACCAAAATCTGACGTTCTACGGTACTCGATTCGGAACGTGTAACCCATGAGCACAATGGCCCACCGCTGCAACCTGTTTGCAGTAACTACTGGCACACCTTTCTTGCTTCCGAACACCGTAACCAGCGGCTTATGGTCAGTTAACAAGATGAACTCTCGACCGTACAGATACTGGTGAAACCGTTTTACACCAAAGACTAAACCGAGTGCCTCCTTCTCAATTTGACCGTAATTCTGCTCAGCTGATGTCAGCGTCTTCGATATGTGCGCTATCGGCTTATCACTACCGTCAGGCATCCTGTGGCTCAACACTGCACCTATACCATACTTCGATGCATCAGCTGCCAACACTAGCGGCAATTCAGGGTTGAAATGCACTAACTGAGTAGCTTTCGTCAAATCATCTTTTAGCGACAGGAATTCTTTCTGACAACCTGAATCCCATTTCCACTGCACTGACTGCTTGAGCAGCTTATAAAAGCAACTGCATCTGCTCGACAAATTTGGCAAAAACTTTGCATAATGATTAATCATACCCAAGAACGAACGTAACTGTCCTACGTCCTGTGGTGCTGGCATTTCAACAACAGCTTTTGTTTTCTCACTCGAAATACGTCTGCCAGCTTTATCAATAATGAATCCCAAATATTCAACTGAATCAACCAGAAACTCACATTTCTCTTTCTTGACCGTTAAGCCAGCTTGCTCAAGTTTCTCCAGTACCATGTCTAACTTTCGTAGGCACTCTTCTCTGTTGCGCCCTTTACAATAATATCATCCAGATATATTGCTACATCTTCACACCCTTGCAAGATACTTTCAATGAGCTGCTGAAATATACTAGGCGCACTGGCCACACCGAACGGCAGTCGGTTGTATTTAAACAAACCCTTATGGGTATTAATAACGAGCAGCTTCGAACTCTCATCGTCAACTGGGATCTGATTATAAGCTTCTCTCAAATCAATCTTGCAGAACACTACACCGCCATTTAATTTGGCAAAAAGCTCATCTGGGTGCGGTAGCGGATACTTGTGCACGTCAAGTGCATCATTCAGACCAGTGCTCAAATCAGAACATATCCTGACCTTTTTCTTCGGTTTCTTTATGTAAACCGTCGGCGCTGCCCACTCGGCATGATCAACGGGTGTTAGTACACCTATACTGACTAACCGGTCAATATCTTCTTCAACTTCTTCCTTCAAAGCAAACGGCACGGGTCTGGCTTTACAAAACACTGGCCTCGCATTCTCCTTGAGATACAGATGCGCCTTAAAATTCTTGCAACACCCGAGCTCATCTCGGAATACAGCCTTATGCTTCTGTAGCACATGCGCCAACTTCAGCTTCTCAGTTACTGTGCAGACGTTACCTTGTTGCAACTGCTTCAAACTCAATGCACTAAGCTCTAACTGAGATATCCAGTCACGGCCAATAATGCTACAACCACGCTCTGTCACTAGCGCTTTCAGCGTTTTCATTACGCCTCTATGCTGTACCTGTACCTCGACAGTACCCATCAGCGGTATCTGATGACCAGTAAAACTGTGCAGTACTTCATCTGCTTTTCTCAACTTCGGCGCTCCAATCTTGCGCCATGTCAGCTTACTCATGATTGTCACTGACGATCCTGTGTCTAACTCCATTGACACATTCTTACCGTTCATCGTTAACGGTACAAATATCGACGTGGGCGTCACTGGACCTGTCCTCAGTACATCGTACTCCTGAGTTCTGACATAATTAGTCCTTCTCTGATCTCTGCCTTCCTTCTTCGGTGCCCTGCACACCTTGGCAGTATGCCCTGTCTTTCCACAGTTATAGCACTTTGCATTCTTGTGCGGACAATCTGGCTTCATATGACTGGTAGAACCACAGCCAAAACATGCTGACTTACGACCAACATTGTTGTTACCACCGCGACCTCTAAAACGACCTCGGCCACGCCCATGAAAACCTCCGCGTTTTATAGCGGCTACATCTGGCGACTGCGACTTTGAACCTGACTGCTTCGCATCTGCACGACTCTGCTCATACTTATCTGCTTCTTCGTACAGCGTATCGAACTTCTCCACTGAGGAGACTGGCAATGAGTACAGGTATCTACGCGTCGTCTCACTCGCTACACCTGACATGAACGCAGCGCACAGCTGGTCGTCAACAAATGTATCTGGAAAATCGCATTTAACTGCTTGATTCCTGAGGCTATTGCTGAAATCTAACAACGTCTGACCTGCCTGCTGCTTAATGCTGAAAAAGTTTGCTCGTTCGACTCGCACGTTCGTACGCTTACTATAAGCGACCTTGAGCTTACTGTACAGCTCGTCGAAGGTGAACGCGCCAGGATCCTTCGGACGGCACATGGAGGCTAGCATCTCCATTGCCTTCGGAGCCAACGATCCCAGGAGCAGCGGCTTCTTCCTGTCCGTAGCCATCCCATGGGAGGACAGGTGACTGTCAAACTGGATCCGCCAGGTCTCCAGTTTGATGACCTCTGGATCGAACTTCGCCAGGCGGGGCAATCCGGTAGAATCCGCTTCTTCTCCGGCCACATCCTGCCTGGTCTGCGTCACGGACGTACGGACAACGGTACTCGTGCTAGTACCATCCGTATTTCCAGTGGTAGACATTATTCCAGATTAAAAACTTTTTTTTTTAAAAAATTGCTATCATCCTTCACGCCAATGTGAAGTATCTAATAATACTTTATTAGATGTGTACAGTAGGACGACTGATGATAGACTAAATATAAAAGTAGGAAAACATACAAACATTCTCTCAGAGATACTGGAACGTTGCTAGGCTCATATAATGTACTACAGTACTTTATAGTACATACACTACACTTCCAATTAACTGTAATAATATGATTACTTGCATTTTTAATAGGCATTTGCAATAAGCACCCAAATAACAATAATTGTAAGTAATTGGTAATTTGTACTAGTAACTTGCAAGCGCTGGTACACTACTTGATCGCAGCCGATCAAAACGCTGCTTAACACTCACACGATTTCCACTGTTTCGGACACGCATACTCAGCATAGAGTAGCTTTAACACGCGTAAGTACCTCTAAATGCGTTTTAGTGATTTCCTTCAAACCGCCGCGTATCCCCGCACAAATCCCTTTCCCGTTTGGCTACATTGAGATTTTGCGAAAATCCCAGGGATGCGGATGGCGCAGACAGAACCGCCCGGTGTGGCGCCGTGAATTGGCTCCACATTCTGAAAGTTTTCGAGATCTCCTCCATTCTTCTGATTTTCGATCGAAAACGGAGCCTTGTCTTCGTTTCCGAGCACGGGCAGTTTTGTGTTCTGCAACCTCATATTGCCTTGCATTGTCCGTTGCGATCACTTCGAGTTTCATTTTCGTAAGGATTATTTGTATAACGTATTTTCTTAACTTGCCTCTGCAACGATTTGCCGGGTTTGGACAACCCAAAATGCGACTGCTGAAGGATCTATCGGAGATTAGAATCTCCATCGACAATTTCCATGATTCGAAGAAGCCAGCGAGAGAGAAAGATCCAGATAATCCTCTCAAAGGAAATCCAGGTGCTGCGTTTGAACTGCAGTGCGCTGAATTATCCCGTCGTGGAGATGACGCTGAACTGGTCCTTCGCCGAACCGAACCGCGTCCTCAAGCGCTACCATCCCGACATGCTACTCTCGGTCTGCTTCCAGAATCTCCACTTTAAACCAGCCGAGAGGACGGAGAACGAGCCAACAGTGAATCGCAACAATGAAGTCTGCAAGTACATTAAAGCAGTGCTGGAGAATGGTATCCGCGTCAACGGACGGGAATTCAACTTCTTCGTTTACTCTGAAAGCCAGCTGAAGAAGAGGACATGCCTGATGTTTGCAGCTAGTAACGAGGAGTGTTGGGCAGAATGGAACAGGTTAGGGGATTTCTCCAAGTTGACGAGCGCAGCGAAAGTAGCCAAACGCCTCGGACAGCTCCTCAGCAGTGCGCAACCGGTTTTTCGGCTGCCTTGGAAGGGGAAGGGACACGAGGACGGATATCCCGTGGAAGACGACATTGTGGAGAACGGCCAAAACTTCACTGACGGATGCGGGTCAGTCTGCATTCATCTTAGTGCGAGTGCGAAGGTCATAATAGCCATTAAAATTTAAAAACAAAATGCAAGCGCGGACACTTTACTTACATCAGAATTAAATTAAACAGGGAAAACACAACCGAAATCTCTATCCACCCGCGGGTTATAAGGCAAAGTACTGAATTCGGCAGTAGTATTTCCCTTAACGAAATGGCTACGCGCGAGAGTATCGCGCGCGTAGAGGTTTGACTACGCACGAGAGTTTCTCGCGCAAAGTCAAATGACTACGCGCGAGAGTTAGCGAAATTATATTAGAAAATAAAAAAATATAATATAATCGATTTGTGAATTAGCATTATTGTGGCAGGCATAAACCAGTACCATAACAACCAAGGTCAAATATTCTGTCAAGGCTCCAATAATTTCTAGGACGTAAAATTGTATTTTACCGGTGCTATTTTACCGGCACAATTAAGCTACCTCCCGGTATCCGTAGCGGTTATAGTTGTAAATTTGTACTATTTACTCCTCTGAAATGGACTCTGCACTGCTTAAAACCGGAGACCGCTTTATGTCCTTCAAGCAGCGCTACAGGGCGAGCCGGACGAAGACGTAACAGAAGAAGATTCTTCAGACCAAACAGCACGGTATAACAGTCTCGGAGTTCGTTACAAGACAGCCCTGGACTTGAGCAAAGAAATCGCAAGCGGAATTTCTAAATTTGGTGCGGTGGAGTTTCGGCAACACCTAGCGGCATTGCAACTTTATGCGGAGATCATCCGCAGCGGCGTAATCCCCGTTGTATCCCACCCTGACCAGGTCGAAGCTGCGAGACCATCAACAGCGGATGCTGAAGCGCCGCAGGAAATTATGGAAACCCCAAACGCTATTGAAGCAGCCGAACTAGCGATGCCAGAAAACACAGTTGCAGGCAATGATCAAAACGTCCTGAATATCCATCCATTTACTGTGAGGCCCGCAGGGCAAGTGCAGCCGCGCGGTCGACCTTCTGAGGGACGGAGGCATACGAAATTCAACCAAACAGCCATTACGCTGCTAACGCTAGCAGATATGCTACTCCAGAAGCAAAAGAAACGCATAACCTAGGAAAAAAGCGGAAAGTCTCCGTTCAACCGCGTAGAAAATCGGCCCGTATCGAGCGAAGCCCAGTGCGTCCGGGCGAAACGGCCTCCATGCGCGCGAGGCGAATAATGGAGCCGATGCCTCCTGGCCAAAACGAAATCGTGCGCGAATACGGCATCACGCCCGTTCTTACAGAAGACATTTCAAACCTAAACCGTTATGGTTCTGACCTGGCGCTTCGGCTGTTAGTCGCTGGGACTTACCTCTTGCGCGAGAAGCTTTTCCACAGCGGGCAGGGTTGGAATCACCAGCGGAAATTGCTCTTTGCCAGCCAATTGACCAATGTTTTGCGCGGATACGCTTCCAGCGAAACATGGACAAAGATATTGTGCAGCCACTTTTCAACGGCGTAAATCACTATGTTTGCGCGGCGGCGCGCTATACGATTGTATGAAACCTGGCGTCGTACGGGTCTACTGCTCGACGGGACAACAGCCGACAGATCTGCTGAAGTTACAGCTGTTTCGATTGTTTTGTTTTCCGGACTCATAAGGACAGGTCGAAGTCGAATACGCCCCTGTTTATGGACAGTCGCCGACAAGCAACAATTGCTTGATTTATGCATTTGCATTTGCTTATGATTTGCTGCTCCGGAAAACCATCCAGACTGCGAATTACATCCCTGACCGGGAATTTCGGGAATGGTTTCGCGAAATTATCGTCACGGGAGTGTTAAAGCAACCCCCAAGAGCTCAGGGACGAAATGCCCGCACTAAGACGGTGATCACGTTTCAAAGCATTCGTGTTTCCGCAAAAGATGCCGAAGCGTTGGAGAAAGCAGTAAAGCTGCCGGCTAAGCGAAGGGACACTGTTATTTAAATTTGAATTGTGCCTGAGAATTAAAAACCCTAATGCTGATGCATCCAATTGTATTTAGTATTGCTTGGTCGATCACTGCTTCGTCTATCAGCATAAAAAAACAAAATCTAGCGCGCGTAGCTGATTCAGTACTGTTTTTACTACCGGCGATAGCTCTCGCGCGTAGTCAAACTACTACGCGCAGGAGCTCTCGCGCGTAGACTAAGTGCTACGCGCGTGAGAAACTCTCGCGCGTAGACCTGACCTTCCCTTAATGGCAGCCAAACTAAATCGTTGCTTGATAAAAGCAGTAGAACGAGCGAGTGAGTATTAATAAACAAATAATTATGGCGTCGCTTCCAACCAAAGTTCAGAAAGAGAGTCTTGGAAGCGTAAATTATTTAGAGAAGCATTTTGTTGCCAATTATTCTTGTTCAGTAAATGGCTATGTTGTTATGCAGGGGCTTGAATAACTGATTATAACTCAACGAACATTTGTAATATTCAGTGTGACTGTGATCGTGTTCAGGTGGATCTCGCCAAGGCTCATGCAAAAAGTGGCACACGCTTCGAATCTCCGCTTCGACGAGCGTTTGTTGGTGCCGAGCGTCATCCAGATCCGTTACCGCGGCTTCAAAGGCGTCCTGGCCGTGAACCCGTCGATTACATCCGACGTGGTCTTCCGGAAGTCGCAGGAGAAGTTCCCATGCGAGGACGACTCCTTCTGCGTCGTCCAGCCGTCCGGGACTTCTCGACCGTACATCTACGGCAAACTTAACCAGCAGATTGTCGCGCTGCTCTCGGCTTTGGGCATACCCGACGAAGCGTTGCTGGAAGTCCAAGAAGAGCACTATCAACGTCTGGAGAACATGTACAAGGACCCCGTGGTGGCTTTCAAGGTGCTGAGCGGTGAAGGCAAGCAGAGGGAGGTGAGTGAGCTCGCCGAGAAAGGATTCCAGTCGAAAAAGGTCACTGATGCGCTGAACGCGGTGCGCAGTCACATCATGCACAAAAGCGTAAAGGAGAAAAACAACGGGGACAAGACGAAACTGAGCGTCGTGGTGGAAGAGTCGCGTTTCGTGTTCGCCGTGAACGATCCCAACGAAACGGAAGACGGTCAGTTGCGGGAGGGGGATGTGTACTTCGCCCCGACGATCGACGGCGTGGCCACGCCCCTCGTGGGGAACCTGGTGCTGGTGCGGAACCCCTGTCTGTTCCCGGGGGACATCCTGCTGCGGCAGGCGGTGGAGAACCCTGGCTGCCGGCATTTGGTGGACTGCGTTGTCTTCCCGGTTCAGGGACGGCGCTCCACCGCCTCCTGCTCGGGCGGCGGCGATCTCGATGGGGACAAGTTTACCGTCATCTGGGATAAGCGGTTAATCCCACAAAAAATGCAGGAACCCTACGGGTATCCACCGGCCCAGCAGAAGCAGGCGAAAAAGATCGATAGGGATGCCATGATCAAGCATTTCGCCTCCTTCAGCAATGCCTCGCTGGGAATCATCGATCACCTGTACCAGCAATGGGTAGATGTCGAAGGAGCGTTGTGTAAAGAGTGCGAGGACTTGAATAAACTGTTTTCCGGCGCAGTGGACGGAGAGAGGGTGAGTATTCCCAGTCATCTGAAAGCCCCGCCCAAAGAAGATCCCGACCAGCCGGTGAAGAAGCCGGTTTGGAAGAAAATGCTTGAAGTGTCCGAGCAGCGGTATGAACGTTTTAAGTAAGTGAAAATGATACATGAGCTACAGTATGGTTGATTTAAAAAACTGTGTACATTTTTGGTGGTTTTTATGAGATAAAAGTTGCCCAACCCAGAAATCGAACCGCGGACGTACTATCTTAAAGCCAGGCGTTCTAATTTAGCTTTTAATATACGTATGCAACGTAGTACGATTTGTGGAAAAAAAGCCAACACGAGACAAAAATATTACGAGTCTTTCGAAATGATTCTGCTCATTCTAGGCACAAAATCCGCACCAACGCGCAGAAAGGTGACGCTCGCATGTTGGCTGCCCTTAGCCATGCAGTCATGAAGGACATCATCGCCTCATGGGACATGAACATCAGCAACTACAGCCTGCTGGTAATCCTCATCAACTGGTTCAACATGAACCAGGACCACCTGAACCTGGACGATCAGGACGCGCTCATCCGCCAAATCGACTACCGCCACTTCACCTTCCAGCAGAAAGAAACGGCGCGCCAGCTGGGCGTTCCCAACAACATCCTGATGAACGCGCTGAACCGCTCGGACATCTGCACCCCCCGGGAACTGCAGCATGTGTACCTGGACGTGGAGGATCTCCACTGGAAGCTGCTGTACTCCTACTCCGTCTTCCATCAGACCGAGAACGAAGCCGGGTTCGTGCGGCATCTGTGCGACGCGTTGAGCAACTACACCAAGTCTTTGGTGGTGTTTAAGTACTCGGACCGCTTCAGTGTCGCGGTTTACTTCCCGAAACCGCTGAAAGTCGGGGTGGAGAATACGGATGTCGGGGAGATTGTGTACTTTGAGCTGTTCCATGGGAGGGTGGAGAAACGGATTGTCCCGGAGGGGATGAGGGTGTATTTGGGGGAGGATCTGTTCCAGATGTACGCTCCGATGAAAGAGAACATCAGAGCAACGAATAACCAAAGTAGCATCAGACAGAAGACAGATTCCTTCGAAACCTCAAACGGGAACATCGACAGAGAGAATTCCTTTATCTGGGTGAAGGGCCAGCGGCCAGCGACCATGGGATCGCGGCCGCGCGATAGAACGCGGAAGAATGCCGAGGATAAGCGGCCGGTTAATGAGGTGCTGGGGCTGCCGTTGGATGAGCTGCCGATGGACTACGAGATCCGGTTCAGTATTGCCGTTTTGGATCCGATGTGGTTCTCCCGAACGTATACGTCTACGGAAAAAATGGATTATATAAAAAAGCACAGATTGATGGGTAAGTTAGGTTACCTTACCATGTACTGTAGGCACAACAGCGTGCGCTGCTCTTACCTGCAAAACGACATTTGCCATTTGGGCTTGCTGTCTTATGGGATTTGACCCGGTACATAAGACCAAATTCGAGTACATCCACGGGAACTTTCGCTGTCACGCATTCCCCAACACTTTCTGCATTGCTAAGATTCAACTTTTCTTTATTTCGATTCATAATTATGACAGTATTAATCAGACACTACGTAGGCATGAAATCCCGTTGAAAAACTTACGGGTGAATCCATATATGTATATGGATTCACCCGTAAGTTTTTCAACGGGATATACATATTCCAAAAAGTTGAATTGCACTCAGGTGTGCCAGAAGTCTCATTATAAACCGATCTTCTTCAAATTTCGCCCGTAAATGCACATTACAAAGTATCTGTAGTACATATAAAGATTGTTTTTACGCCGACCCAAAGTTACTCTGGTTTTTTTCATGAAAATCCTTTTCAAACCTAAGACGCGTAAAGCCGGTAGAGCTAAGAAATGGTTTTGCCAAACTAAGCGATGCTGCGGTATGTACCTATATTACGAGCACTTCGTCCTAGTGAAAATTTCAACCAGTCACAATTAATGCAGCTGCACTCATCGATTTTCCCTTGCCTATTCGTCAAACTCATTCATAAAGCTGTTATTCGACCTGATCCCACACCTCGAGAAAATTTCATCCTAAATTAAACCATGTTTGACGACACCATGTTTGTTCGTTCGACGACGGTCGACGAAAGAGCGGGGCGCCGGTGATAGTCTTAAACCATAAAAGCTACTTGTACTACCGGTATAACAAGTGGTCTCGATAGAACCGTATAACGTGAAAACGGCTGTTATTGACCAGTGACCAAATGCACTCGCAGGTGTGGAGATTTACTACGTTGGTACAGTCAAGCAGCCGGACGGCCGACACACCCGACCCAACCTGACGCCCTTGTCCTTGGGCAACACCACCATTCCCGTGCACATCATCCAGCCAGCGAAGGTCGCTGACTTCCTGGCTCCGGATTTTGACAATCCGTTGCCCGAGCATGCCGCCACCGTGGCGCAGCTGAAAGCCTTCAAAGTAAACGTTTGACCTTTACATATTAGTAATCAAGAAAAACCGCAGAATTGAGTAATATAATTTTATAGGAAACTGGTATGATTATGCTGGGAAAACGAGCGGAAAGTTTCATGCCTTTTATTCGAGTCATCCACTACTACAGCCAAACCGAAACCCAGTGGTGCTCTAACTTTGTGCAGATGGTTCTCGATCAGTATGGACGCAGCGCCAAAGGAGACTGTGAAGTTCTCCAAATTCTGTTGTACATTCCACAGATGGCGATTAAATTTGCCCAGCACTTCGCTGACATTGACTCGGTTGTGGGTTTGGAATTATTGTGCGCGTTACTGCACAGCACCGCCACGCTGCCCACGAGCCACATCCTTCAAGAAGCGCGCACCATCACGGAAAAGATGAATGACAGGTTTAGCGCGAAAGAATACACTGAATTACTGAAAGCCAGTGTGATGGTGTTGGATCCCAGTGTCGGCATTGAATTCAATCGGATGCTTTTTGAAGATGAGGATCCGTTAGTGGAGAGTGATTACCTCAGACGATTCGGATATCTGTCGTGCCTGGATTTACTGGGAGAGCGAACTAACCAACAGCGGGAGAAGAAGGGGGCTCCGCAGCTTGGAATCCAGATGGTGGACAACAACAAAAACCAGCCAGTTGGAAAGTTGGACAACGGGAAAACGTTAGTACAATCTGGCCCTAAAAACTGGAAACCGCGTCGGTTCCGAAATTGAATAATAAAATCAACCAACAATGTGCAACAGGAACACATCCAGCGCGCATAAACCGCCAACACTAGTTCAAACCGAGAAGCGCTGGTTTGCGTAATATGAGTGTAGATGAAGCAGCAAGTTATTTGGACTGACAACGTAGGACTAACAATTGGTCAGTCGGTCCGCGGTTTAAAAACTTTCTAAGAAACCAACAAAAAGAGTGCAACAGAATCTCGTGAATTTTTTATCCGTTCAGTAACTCGCGTTAATTTTTAACGGCCGCGATTTCTTGGTAGGAAAAAGATCAAATTTATCTACCGAGCGCAGTACATCGCAGAGCGTCCGCGCGTCGGCGACATCGTCCTCTTCACGCGGATGAACAAACCGAAACGCAGTGAAAGCGTCTTCGACGCAAAGAACGCGGACACGGAATTCCCGGCGCTCGAGAGGCCGGGCGTCGTTAAGCCGAAGCCGAATCCCGCGAACCCAGTAGAGAATGTGGACGCGGGTCCGGTAGTGTGTGTGGGCGTGGTCAAGGACATCTCCCCCGATATCATCGTCCACTTTGACGCGGCCCCGCCGCCGGAAGTGGCCCTGGCTACTTGGGAGATGGAGGTGCTGGGCAACTTGACCACCTTCAAACACGCCGTCGACGCTGTGGCCACGTTCGTCGCGCAGAAAGAGAACGGCACGCTGGCGTTTAACGCCATCATGGGGCTGCCGTTTGAGGAGGTCGTCGCCGATGAAAATGAGAAACTGGAGGAATTTTTTGCGCTACTGAAGAAAATTGAGGAGAAACTGGGGGAAAAGAAGGATCCACGGCAAAATGTCGTCAAGATCAATGAATCACAGAAAGCGGCGGTTAGAATGGCCTGTAGCAACAAGCTGACGGTTATTCAAGGGCCACCCGGCACAGGTGAGAAGAGTCAGAAGACTAAAAGACTAAATAATATTTTCTCGGAAAAGTAATTTATTCACAGCATGTTCATAGAAAAAAACCCCGCACAGTAAAAGTGAAATAACCACACTCGATACTTTTATAACTAGGATGAAGTTTTTGCAATAAATTAACAGGGAAAACGCAGACGATAGCGTTCATGCTACACGTGTTGATGGAAAGGTACGGGAAATGCCGGGTGTTGGCGGTGGCCTCAACCAACACTGCCGCCGATAACATCTTGCGCGGAATCCTTAAGCTGAAGACGCTGATAAAGCCGGGTAAGAAACTGAAGCGATAATGTCTGCGAATCTGTGTATCGTTTGCGACGATTCTATTACAATTTGGTTTTGTTGATAGATGACATCGATTTTTCGCCGGTGCGCGTCGGTGATAAATCGGCGGTGGCGAAGGATCTGCAGCAGTACACCTTGGCGGATTTGGCCGAGGGAAGAACCCGCAACGGGACGAAGAAGAGCGCCCAGAAAGTCTTGCAAACGGCGGATCTTATCGTGGGCACGTGCGTCGGCGCCGGGCTGGCCGATCTGAAGGGTGTCGTCTTCGATGTGGTCATTATCGACGAAGCCTCTCAGGTATGCTGCTAATGTCTACACTCGGTAAGATGCTTTTCGAGTAGACACACGAGAAACGGTCCACTCCGTTTCCAAAGCAGAGAATCAGTGTTGCTTTAATGCGAGGTAACGCTGCTTGTGTTCAGGAAGCGTTTTGTATCGGTAAGAGACTGGATGAAGTGTATTATGTACTGAAATGATGAAAAGCGTAATTTTGCGTTTAACCTACGTTAATGCGAATAATCCAGTAAAAACTACTGCTCTTTGATATGTGATTGTAAAATTCTGGTTGTCTCAAGCATTGATTAACAATGCTGTTAATATCTCAACTCGAACATCTTATTCAGTGTTTTCAGGAGCCGCTAACTGCGTAGATTAGAGATGGATGAGACGTCGTTGATGCAGTTTTTCTTTGATTCTAACCTGCAGGTGACGGAGCCGTGCGCGTTGATCGCCATCGTCAAAGCCGCGCGGGTCGTCTTAGTGGGCGACCACCAGCAGCTGCCGCCGCAAGTGCATGAATTAGCCAAATCCGACGTTCCCGGCTTGGATCTGAGTGTGTCGCTCTTCGACCGCCTGGTCCACTCCGACGCCATCCACGTGCAGATGCTAGATGAGCACCACCGTTCCCACCCCTTCATCATCGACTTCTGCTCGCGGATCTTCTATGGCGGCCGGCTGAAAGCAGTTGTCTCGCCGGCGGACCGGCCCTTGCCGCTCGGCATCGAGTGGCCCAATCCGGACAAACCGGTGGTGTTTATCAATGTACAGGAGGCGAAGCGGTTTCAGTACGGTTTGCGGGTAAACCACGCGGAGGCGGAGATGGTGGTCCGTGTGCTGGAGAAACTGCTGCTGCATGGCGAGGCTAATGTCACCGCGAAGGAGATTGGTGTGGTCACTCCGTACCGCCACCAGGTGCAGCATCTGATCAAGACACTGAAGGAGACGCCGGCGCTGAAAATTTTGGCGAAAGATATCGAGGTTGTCACCATCGATGGGTTCCAGGTTAGGCCGTTATCTAAATGACCTTCCACATTTAATACTGTGGTGTACTGAGTTTGTGTGTTTCCTGTCCTTCTAATATTTTTTCAATTCTTGCCTGAGCAACTTTCTCCTGTTTTCCCGTTCCCTCGTAACGATTCTATAGTTTTCTTAGGTTATTCTTAGGTTCTTCTTAGGTTCATTGAACTGCAGTGTATGATATCTATTGGCTGAAGTCCGTTGGTGCGGATTGCATGGTCGCGAGAAGGATGTGATTGTGTTCTCGGCGGTGCGCGACGCACCGGTAACCTCGACTGGTTCAACGACGCGCGTCGCTTCAACGTCCTCATGACGCGTGCCCGCCGCGGCCTCATCGTCGTGGCCAACGCCGAGGCGCTGCGAGCCACGGCAGGTTCCTGCTGGAGCCGGTGGGTGGATTACGTGCACCAACACCGTCTAATCATGGCGCCGGGTAAAGTATAGATCCAGTGTGAACTATAGCGGTTGCACGGCTATTTCTTTGTTTGTTATAGTAATCAGACATCAGTTATGGTTTTATCTGTTTTACGGGTGGAATGACATGGCCAGTACGCATTTTTACGTTTGACATTTTTCATTACAATGTGCCGCTGATTGGCGATTCGTGGATGCTAAAACGGCTGGTCTGAGTGTGTTTGACCGGCAAATGCCTTGCCGTTATGTTGAAAATAACAAAAAGGTCGCAGACGCGGGCACTATTTGACAATTAAAATTCAAAACATTAAGAAGCCAACCAAAATCTATCTTCTCGTGGGTTAAAAGGTAATGTGCTTAACACAGCCGGAGCGTTTCCCTAATATATTAGCTAAACTAAAACGTTGCTTAAGAAAAGCAGTAGAATGAGCTTCTCCAGTCAGTTCACGAATTCATCGGCCTATGCAACGCAGCAATCCGCTTAAAGCCGGACCGGAAATACCTAACGCTTCAACCACCTACGGGATAGAAAAAACAGTCTTTAATAATTATTTGTCGCACGCGGGCTTCCTGACCATACTCTACAACAGTACCAGCTTTCCACGTAATTTCTATAACGTAAAGCACAGATAGCACCTATTCAGCGCGAATTTTGGGCCATTGACGATTGGCACTGCAGATACACCACGTTCACCACAATGACAAATTTGGCTAACGCATTAGAAATTACGGAACAATCTTGTGCATACCTCTAAATCAGCGGACCCCGACAAGGAAAACATCCGAGACGTCTGCCTGCAGCTTGCGCCGTAGCTGCGTTATTTTGAGTTCCCAAAAGCAAAAAAAATTTAGTGTACGATTCGGTACAGCACAGAATATTTTTTACTTTTAATACGATTAGTAAAACAACAACGGCTAACCATAGGATGCGGCTGGACTGCCATAAAGAAAACAAACGCGAAATGCACCGTGCAGCGCACTGGGCCCGTCCACACCCCCGCCACCGCTATCGTCCCTTGGTACCCTCCCACAAACCACCGAGCCATGCACGCGCCAACGCTTAACACATCCAATAAAAGCCACGCACCCAGCACCGAAGAGTAAACCTCGCTAATTTTCTGGGAGAGCTGCAGCAGCGCCCGCTCCTTTCGGAAACAGCGCACAATCTCGTCCTTCATCTTGAGTACTTGTGCTGCGTCCCATGTCCAGACGCTTTCTATAAATATCGCTTCGAGTTGCCGAAGATCTTGCAGCAGCGGTGTAACGCAGAATGACAGATACAGCATAATGGTGCCCGCGAAGAGGCCCGCGGTGCATGTCGACAAGACGTCGACCAGAGTGAACAAGGCCGTCCAGATGTAGTTCTTTTGTTGCTCAGTGACATCCCACACAACAAACTTCTTCGTGGTACTGGGACTCAACGTGGTAACGAGCACAAGGGAAATGTACGTTTCATAGGTCGTCATTATGATCAGCAGCACAGTGACCAGAAAGCTCACGATCCCCAAATAGGTCGACAATGCCGGAGGCAGGTTTTGGCGGCGGTGGTCTCGGATTTGACTGACCAAGCCCATCAGGGCTGGTCCTAACAACCACAACGCCATGAAGTCGAATATTCCGCGCAAACAGTAGGAAATGGCGAACAACTTGGCCAGACGAGCGATGACGGGATACAGTACACCGGCTTCTTCGTTTGGCTGGATCGGAACGAGGGATAAGAGGGTTACGATGCAGACGGCCAACAGTAACAGCAGCACCTTGGCCGCGCCGGTGTTGCCCGAAAGTCCAGCGACGAGACTTGGCGCGGTCGAAATGATGATGAGCGGATTGTCGAGAAGAACGCGCAACCAGGTCGCTAAACAGACATCCAGAAATCCTCTCCGGGAAAGTGTATTCTTGGGATCGATGCCTGCGTCGAGGTCTGGTCGCGTGGTGTCGGGAGAAGGTGACGAAAGGTCACCGTCCATGGTGTCCGTTGGATAGACTGCCACCAGCTCCTCGTCAGATTCTGCGTGAGCCATAATATCTCAACAGGATTTAATGTGATCGCGTAGATAGGAAAACGGAGCTCTTAAAGCATCTCACAATTGCTTGTTTATTCAGCGCTTCGAGCAAACGACTGTACGAGGTTGGAAAGGGGTGCAAGGTCACGGACAAGTCATACAGGCGATTATCGGAAGCGTGAAGCAGCAGGTTATTACGAGGCCAGTTCCAAGACCCAATTTATCTATAGCGTCCCATGCAAACGCATACAGAATGCTGACTAAAGGGAGGTTTAGAAATAGAATGCACAGCCTCTGAAAAATAGGCGCACCCATGCTACACTTATGGTAAGCCGGTCAGAATAGGTGGCCTGGCCCGTGGCCACAACGCCGCTTAGACAGCGTTCATCGGCTTTAATATCTAAACAGGACTCAATATCATCGTGTAGAGAGAATCAAGTGAAAACTACCGGTGTGCTGTGGCCAGTTTATGAGCATTCACTACTTTTCCACGGTTGGGCAGGGGCTGACGTACAAGGTTCCTGCGGCCTGCACCGAGCAAACAAGGATCGCAGATAGTGTAGCTCGTTTTGAAAGGATAGTCGGCAATGTTCTGCGACAGCACCGCTTCATATTAATATCGAGTTGCTGCAAGCGGTACATCGTGCTCCCGTATCCGGGTTGACTGGTCATGTTATTCGAGCTGTTCAAATGTTTTCACCGCAATGGATTTACTTAACCTGAGCTAAAGCAAACATAAATACTCGCCGGTGCATTCTCTCGTTGTTTTTCGCCAACAGCGACGGCTAATCCAGTTGGCCCCAGTGTTGGCCTGACAAGCAGCGGCGACATCAGTCGCCCTTACCGAAACTGAATAGTATACAATTTCAAAAAACTGGCTGGGATATGCACTTTGCTGTGTGTAATCAGCGGCTTCTCCGATTTTGAGCTGTAATGATTGTAATGGTTTTATTTCCAAACTTGTAAAAGCAAATGCCATTTACGCTAAAAAAAGTGTTGTTGGCAGTGCGTTTCGAGCTGTTGGTGGCAGTGCGCTGATTTGATCATTTTTGCAGTATACCTTCAATAGCGATTAAATGCATACATGTACTGCTCAAAAGTTGAAAACAATTAACTGGAAAAATCGATAGGAAATGTCAAATATGGATCAATTTTTGTACCGCAAACACGTATTATATAGTATCCTCACCGTATGAATGTAAATATTACTATCATATCGCAGAATTAAACCAACTATGAGATTTGTCCAGAAAGAATTTCCGAGATGACATATTCACCCTAATAATTCGTAACATATGGAAAATAAAACGTAGCGTATTGCGCGTGATGAGACAGTAAGCGTAGACAAACGAATGAAAAGCAGTTATAAGCATCGTAATGCTATTGCATACCAGCAGTTTTTCACATTGTGTTTTTCTTAGGCTGGTAACGGGGACTTATTCGGTAAATTTTGTTAAGGGAAGTGGCCAGGTACATGGTACCAGATTCGTGTACATGTACGAAATCTTTCACTTTCGCGCACTCCCAAAACCTTTTTTCTCTTGTTTTATGACAGTCTGTAGTCAAATGATTTGCATACACAGGCCTGAAAACCGTTTGCGAGCGCAACATCCGGTTCGCAAGTTATGGCTGTTAGAAAATTCCAAAAAGTTTAAATGCATTCAGGTGTACCAAAAGTCTCATTATGGACCGATCTCTTTCAGATTTTGCACGTAAATGCACATAACCACGAAAAACGTTTTTACACCGATCCACTGTTCTAGCATGTTTTTCAAATTTTAAAATGAATTTTAAAAATTTTAAAAATTTTAAAATTCATTTTAAAATTTGAAAAAAATCGTGGAAGTATGGATCGGGGTAAAAACGATCTTCATGGCCATGTGCATTTACATGCAAAATTTGAAGGAGATCGGTCCATAATGAGACTTTTGGTACACCTGAAAGCATTTAAACTTTTGGGAATTTTCTTACAGCCATAACTCCCGAACCGGATATTGCGCGCGCAAACGGTTTTCAGGCCTGTCTATACAAATCATTTGACTACCGAATGTCATAAAACAAAAGAAAAAAGGGTTTGGGAGTGCGCGAAAGTGAAAGATTTCGTGCATGTACACGAATTTGGTACCATGTACCGGGCCACTTCCCTTAAGGCGGTGCCTGATGAAGCAGCATCTAACAAAAATCCCTTCCAGTAAGCGTGGGAAGGAACAGTTTCCAACACACTCTAGCATTCCAAGTTGAATCTCAAGACTTAAACAGTGAAAAACACAAAGCAGAAAACAGGCTTTCTCCGGTCAATACGTGACACTTTTGCCGCTTTCTTTGAACAAATTAACGGACGCGTCGCACCAGACACCCAGTTTCTCGTCAGCAAGCGGAACAAAATGACAACGGTCCACCATAGTGCTGTACTGTGACTGTTCTTCACGAACGCTTGTTCTGCAGCCGCGTCCGCATGTCTGGTGACCTTGGAAGCCATCCATTCATTTTTCTTGGCTCATATATATCCATCGTCGACAAAAACTGGGTGTAGTCGTTCTCGATGCAGGCGCCCAACGCCGCAATAAGACCTGGTCTGTACGTAACGAAGGCACACTGTTTGGCTAAAACAATGAGTATAGTTACTGATGACCTTTGTTGCATATAATATTCTCTTCTACGAAAGTGGGGAAAAAGCAGTCCAAGTAACAATTTTGTTCACAACTTCAAGAGAATGAGAACACCCGATTTTGATTATGGCAACTAAGTTATGCATCGTTACAGCAAAATTAAAAAAATTCGGATACCGTGAAACCTGACGTTCGCTACTTTGTCCGCGCCTACTCCTCGTCTTGGCGGCAACAGACAGGTGCTGTAGTCCTAAAAAGCCATCACTATCAGGATGTGGACGCAGCATTACCATGTTAAGCTAAAGAGATATTCTGCCTCAGATCCTCGTAGAAAATTCTCTTTCCGATAGTCATTAATGAGCATCGTGGCTGATGTGCCTCAGCATCCAAATGTTTCAAAACCGACAGGAACAAACTCGTATCGTTTCAGCAAAAAGCGGTATCTCTTTCCATTAACGGTTTCAGTTTGGTCACTGTCCCTCCGGCTTTTTCATTGGAATGCAGACGACTACACCGGCACATGGTCAATAGCATCCTGCAACCGGAGAAGCCGCTGCTCAAACACACCAGTGCACGCCACATCTCCTTTCAGGCATGCCGTACACTTTTGAGTGTGGCGCGGTAAGGGCGACGCACCTCGGTGCAGACCGTGACAAACCAACACCGCGGCCGATGGATTAATGTCTGTCATTTCTGTATACACACTGCTTGGAAGAGGGAGTAAAAGTATCAACATCATCGAGTTAATGTATATCGACGCAGTTCGCGCAACGCGCATCGCAGGGATCGGACGATGATGATGTAACACGGATACGGTGATACGACACCGGTTTTTTCATCAATTCGATGGCAAAATATTGGCGATCGCGTCTCTCTGAACTGGCTTTACTGCTGACGTCGTTGTGTGCTCGATACCGCGTCAGATGAAACTTTTCAGTCAGACCTGCTCACCTGTGGTGAACGCTTATAAATTGGTTGCGGAGCAAACAGATCCATAACGGCAACTGTAATTAAAATTTCCTTACACGATATCTTGAGCCCTGTGGTGAAACTATGGCTGACGCTGATGAAGAACTGGACGCTTCGCACTGTCTGGCCCTGGTGCGCATGTTGCTCGTGACCTTTCTCAGCGCGTGTCGGATTTTCGGCATACAAAGCGTGATACAAGAACCATTCGCCCACCAACAAGTAGCCAGCGCTCAGATACCCGCCATCATCCTGTTTGTCGCGAATTTATCGTTTATTTTGTACTGCGTACGCGGCTTGACTGACGTTGTGCTGTTCGGCGTGCAAGGAACATCCATGTCGGCGTTGGCCCATTCTCTGAGTGACGGCCATCCATGCCGGCCGCCAGAGTATTTGGTGACGGTGTCCTTTCTGTTCGTTGTGATGATGGTATCGATTACAGGGCACAGGCGTACGTTTCCCTGTTGCTCGCCACCAACCTACCGGACAACGAGAATACGAGCAGATTCTTGGTCTGGGATGTCAGCGCGAAGCTAGCGGCGTACGCATCCATCGTCTTGATCGGTCTTGTCGATTTCATGTCGACCTTCACGGCGGGGTTTTTCGCCGGCGTCATCTGTTTCTACATATCAGCGGCTGTCACGCCGCTCCTCGAAGATCTTGGACAACTCAAAGGACGATTGCCACGGGTATGTTTTCTTATGTTTTCTCATGTTCTCGTATGTTTCTTATGTTTTTCTTATGGCGACAGCGGACTCTACACAGTTACCACTGCTGCACGAGGAAATCCAGCGTTGTCATGAGCAGGAGAAAGCGCTGCCGAAGCTAGTCCAGCGCATTGGTAAACTGTTTTCTCCGGTGCTCTCTGCTTGGCTGCTAATGGACTTCCTCATCGTTATTACGTACATGGCACGATCGTTCGTTGTGGTGTTCGAAGATACAGCAGCGGTGGTGGAGTTTTGGATGGCGCCGATGCCACACATCATCCATTTCGTCTTTGTCACCGCCATGTCGGTCCAACCGCAGCAAAAGGTAAGCTATGCGCAAGCCGAAATTCAGGAAATTCGAAAAATACAGAAAACCTAAGAAAACATTAAAAATAAGTAGAGGCGTCGTCTGAACGTAAATTACGCCTAGAAGCGCATCTCGGTTCAGGTCCATTGTTGCGATATACTGTTGCATGCTGTTATTAAATCAATTACTGAATATAATTCTGTACCGAAGACTGATTTTCTCTGTTTTTTGTTCTACGCTGCAAACCTGTGCAAAGCAGAGTAGCAGTTTTCTGCCAGCAAAAGATAGTACCATCCGAAATCGTTTATCTTAACAGACCGGGTGTAGCCCATCTACTATCGGTTCCTGTGGATATAAAATTTGATTATTTTGTTCTTTTATTTAGGGACTACAAGTTACCGGTCTGTGGAAAGAGCTAGAGGAAGACGTCTTTAACGTCCCCCATGTTCGCGGGCCATCCTCGATTTAGAAGTACGTATTTACATAAAGGCTGCAATGCGCAACTGAATATTGTCACGGCCGCATAAATCAGCAGGTTCTTACTATACTTTTTTACTACTAAGCCATTTTCGCATCCTCGTAGATCCGACTTTTTAACTGCAACGTCGGCCGTCATCCGGGCTTTCATCCGGTCTCTTCGCTACACACTACAAGGCACGTCATACCTGCGCTTTGACGCCGACACCGACGATCCCTACATGCTGCAACTGTATATATCCCGCTTCCGGCTGCCTAAACGCCACCGTCGTTGCCCAGAGACCAAACAGCGGCAACTTTATTCGTTATCAGTGGCTGCTGGTTTGTGGCGCTAAGCATAACAATTACGGATGGCTGCATACATTTGTTCTCGGTTAAATCATTGCTGTTGTACTGCATTCTGTATCTGTACAGAATAGTGTACGTATTACTGGTTTTTAACGAAATAACGTAACTTCGGGCTTTTATTGCGAAAAAAAAAATCATTCTTCGGATAGGCACCGCGACGACCAGCTGGCCAACGATAACAGTGATCTATACGAGACGTGTGCCTAATTCAAACGACCGGCTTAGGGGTTTCCAATAGTTCTAGTACCACCGATTTTGAAACGGTCCTTTTACAATCTCAAGAAATACTTTTTCTATTCACACTTTACCATTTAGAGCAACGCTGCTAGAAGATGGTGCGTAATGTAATAGTCGTTATATTATCATGACGCCTCGACACACTCCGATCAAGTGTACAAGTGTGTGCATATTGTAAATTCGTAAGCTACTAAAGCGAGTGCCATAATTCATTCGTACATCGACGCGACCTCAAAGTGCGCTGGCGCAGCTGCCGAACGGGCTTTCACTGCGAAGATGGGGAAGTATAAGTCTCTTACGGATCGCTGTTATTTTGTCCCAGTTGCATGCGAGACATTTGGAACTTTTTGTGAGGAAACAATTGTCTTGTTAAAGGAGATTGGTAAGAAATTGTTTATGAGGACCGGCGAGATTCGTTCTACCTGTTTTTTGTTTCAACGTTTAAGCTTGGAAATAATGCGTGGCAATGCTATGAGTGTTTTGTGTACAGTCCCATCTCATGTTAATTGGGACAAATTCTTTATTTGAGTGATTTTTATTGAGCGAAGCTCGCCATGGTACATAATGCGATTAAAAACCTAATTCATTAAGCAGTACAGAGTACATATAAATATCCATTGAATCACACATGTCATGGAATCTTTGTTTTGCTAAGAAAACTATCCTCAGCTTACAGTCAATAACTGCTTTGGTTTTAATGTGTTATGAAAGTCCTCTTCAGACTAATACAGCTTCGTGTCCGGAAAGGTAACCTGGCGGCGATCAACACTGAGCCCGTTGCAGTTGAAAGTATAGAGGACTACTCCAGCAGATCATCACAACACACAGGAGGCGCATAATAAACAGCAGCCGGTAACCTAAGAAGCCACTGTTCAAACACAGAAAAGTGTATGTCGCATTATGTTTCCGAGATCCCGTTCTCGTGAGCGTAGCTCGGTAACGGCAACGGACGGCGCTATACTCCACAATGAGGCGCCGTCCGTTGCCGAGACTGAGCTACGCTCACGATAGTCTCGTATAACAGATACGAGACTTAGTCTCGTATAACAGTCATACTGGTACCATTATATAATGGTAATACCGCGTCTGCAATAAACACAACCGATTATGTAGTCAAATTTTACGTAATCGGTTGTTTATCACATACGCGGTGGGGAATCCAAAATAAGGATGTGGTTTCTCCAATTTGCTTTGTTTGTGTGAAAATTCCGCCCTGCTCTTGTATTCGCAGCTGAACCATGCTGGTCGCAGGTGTCATAAGAGATAGTTTGGGTGTCAAAGTTGTCCCCTATGACGCTTGCGACTATCAGGGAATAAGGCCATACAGAAGATATGATAGTTGTGCTAGGAGGCCGGTGCCACCGCCCACGGTAGTGGGGCTGCGTGGATTGCCGCACCGTCTCTCCGGTCTGTTTTTTGCCGATTCGGCCGTGTATTAAAAATACACGGCCTTCACTTCTGATTTTCGCCTCTCCCAGCCAAGAATATCTTGACTGGTCGACTCTGTTCTCCTTTTGCTCCCATCTGGGATTTGATGTCATCCTGCGAATGATTTTAGATTTGTCGGGCCTTGTTGCTTTTATTAAAATTTCATTTTAATAAACGATCTGTTTGGCAGCCGTTTCGTTCCGTCCACATTCCTGTGCGACGCACACAGCGTGCTTTCAGTTGCTTAAACTTGCTTTCGTAATTAATGACGAGTGCATAATGGGAGTTAAAGGAAACATGAAGGGCTGGATCAGCGCAATACACCGGAATAATGTCAACAACAGCCCGCAACCGGAGAAACCGCTGCATTAACACACCAAAGTGCATGTCGCATCCCATTTCAGACATCCCGTTCGTTTGAGTTTGGCGCGGTAAGAGCAGCAGACGCGCAGGCCAACACCGCTTTTGATCGATTACTATCTGCCATTTTTGCATACACATTCCTTCGAAAAGGGATTTACCGACGAGTAAATGTGTCAATACAGTTGGAGCAACGCACCGCGGACGATGATGGTTTTACACGGATCCGGTAACCCGATAACGCTTTTCCGCAGTACCAAGCGCAACATATTGACGATGGTGTTTGTCTGATCTGGCTGTACTGCAGACATCTTCGTTTGCTCAATGCCGTACCGGATGAACTGTTTTAGTCCAACCTGCTCAACCAGCGACGAACGCGTGTAAACTACTTGTCGTACCAAACTGATTGATTAATTTCATTGCGGGTAACGTGGAACCCTGCTGCGAATCATGGCTCGCGCGGAACCCGACTTGGATGACATTCTTGAAGAACTTGACGCTCCGCCAAGGAGTGCAGTGAAGGGAATTATCCAAAGCATCAACAACCATCGGACAGTTCAACAATGCCTCGATTTGTGGTTGCGCTTCCTCTTACACAACCCACTCATCGGCAGCCTGGCCCAGCCAGTTGTCGGACAACGCAGATTGGATCTGTTGCGCCTATTTCTCGTGACCTTTCTCAGCGCGTGCCTGATTTTCGGCATACAGAGCCTGATACAAGAACCACTCGCCCACCAACAAGTAGCCAGCGCCCAGATTCCCGCCATCATCCTGTTTGTCGCTAATTTACCGTTTATTTTCTACTGCGTACGCGGCCTAACTGACGTTGTGCTTTTCGCGCTGCAAGGACCATCCATGTCGGCCTTAGTCCGTTCTCTGCGTGACGGCCATCAATGCCGGCCACCGGCGTTTTTGGTGATGTTGTCCTTTGTGGTCATGGGAATGATGGTATCGATTACGGCGTATAAGGCGTACGCTTCCCTGTTGCTCGCCAACAACCTGCCGGATGACGGTGATACGAGCAGGTTCTTGGTCTGGAACGTCAGCGAGAAAATGGTGGCGTACGCATCCATCGTCCTGATCGGTCTTGTCGATTTCATGTCGACGATAACCGCGGGGTTTTTTGCCGGCGTCATCCTTCTCTACATAACATCAGCCGTCACGCCGCTCCTCCAAGATCTTGGACAACTTAAAGCGACAATTGCCACGAGTATGTTTTCTTATGTTTTCTTATGTTTTGTTATGCTTCTTCTTAAATTTTCTTATTCTTTCTTGTGTTTTCTTATGGCGACAGCGGATACTACGCAGTTACGAGCGCTGCACGATGAAATCCTGCGCTGTCATGAGCAGGAGAAAGCGCTGCCCGTGCTATTCCGGCGCATCATGCAAATGTTCTCTCCGGCGTTATCTGCTTGGCTGCTAATGGACATCCTCATCGTCATCGTGTACATGGCACGGTCGTTCGCTGTCGTGTTCAAGGACACGGCAGCGGAGGTGGAGTTCTGGATGGCACCGATGCCGCACATTATCCATGCCTTCTTTGTGGTCTTCATGGCGGAACAACCGAAGAAAATGGTAAGCCGGTACACAAATAGTCAGCCGTACAAGCTCGACCGTAATTTTTAATGCATCAGCACACCGGCGAATACAGATTTACGGGTTATGCCAAATTGCGGCCCGTTACGACACACTATTTAAGCTCTACAGTCTCCATGCATGTGAAATGGATAATGCTTGCAAAATATCGATCTCAGTTACCTCGTATAAACTATCCATATATGTGAATTACAAAATATCAACTTTTCTCGGTTATCATTACCTGCATTCTTGAGAGAAGTGAATTGTCATTAGGAGAGTACGTACTGGGGTAGACATAGCCCATCTATCACCGGTTTTTGTGACATAAATTAGTTTTGTTGTTGCGTTTAGGGACGAAAAATAAGCGGTCTGTGGAAAAAGCTGCAGGAAGACGTCTTTACCGCCTTCTACACACCCACGATTTAGAGGTACGCATGTAGTACAGGGAAGGGTGCAATGCGCTACTGAAGATGAAAATTTACAGTTCCTACTATATTAAAACATGTTACCCTGACCCATACTCGTAGTTTCGACTGTCAACGACAGCGTCGGCCCATCATCTTGACTTCAACCGGGCCTGCAGCGCCGCGCATCAGACTTTGTACTACACGCTGCAGAGCACGCCGACACCGGCCACTTCTACATACAGTTGTCTGCCCCGGGTGCCTATACGTCGCCGTCGTCGCCCAGAGACCAACAGCGGCAAAATCAGCACATGTGCCGGAAATGTGCAGCCACTGCGCGAGCCGGAACGATCATCGCAGCTTTCTCATTCCTCGTAGTTGTCATTTTCTTACACTGGCATCTGGCCATGACCTTCGTATCTGCTCCTTATCAGCCATCAGCGGTGGCTCGTTTAGTTGTCGTTGTTTCCTTACACATTCTCTGCGCCGGTTGTTGTTACCACATTAAAGTCGTTAGTCGTTAGTCATAATCGTTTATCAGATAACTTGTACTCGTACCGCAACCACCAACTGGCCAGCGATAATGGCGATATGTATGAGGCGCATGACTGATCGCATCGGCTTCAGCGGTTTCCCATCCCATGAAAGTTCAAGTACCACACATTTGAAACGTCCTTTAACAATCTCACAAAGAATTTTTGCCTTCGCACCTGGGCAGCCATTTTCTGCAGTGTTGCTAGTAGATGGTATAATAAGGCAAACTGATTACGCACCTTCCATTCCCTTGTAGCGCGTCTCATGCTACACCTGCCTAATCCAATATCGTTTACGGACAGTTACGGTTACTGTACTGCACTGTTGGCCGTTGGGTGACTGGTTTGCTAAACCGATCTGCCAATTAGCAAGCGGAATCGAAGCGTATGTAGTTGAGAACTGTATTACAAGTGCAAAGGCTCAGATCAGAGCGTCGACGTTCAGGCCAACGTCCAACGCCATAGTAATTGCTAGAGACAAACAAATTTTTCCGTTAACAATAGTCTACATTTGGGACACTGTGTCAGAAAGCACCACGCTGAAAAGGATCAAAAGTTAAAAACGGCAGTCACCGTGTCACGCTAAAACAGTTTTAACACTACGATACCGAAGTACGGAAGTAGGTACAGTAACAGCGTAAAGCAGATTTAAGCAATACGCATATTTAAGCTTGCTTTACTCATGCTGAATCGCTGATCCCAAAGTGACTCTCGGTCGGCTAGTGTCTCGGTGTCGTACAGAATACATGGATGCATTAGACGCTTGGTCTTGAACACTCAGCGTGCTGTGTCATGTGTGATTGCTTGTTCAGACTGCCATCAAGTAATGCGGCAGTATCACTGTACACGCTTATGTACAATGTACATTACGCTTCTGGCTTCTATCATTGTAATTATCATTCATATGTACTGGTTGCCTGATGTGTCAACCGCTGTAATTTCAGTGCTAGTACTGGATAAAAGGTTTAGGTTTTACCGTGCGCACAAAGCATCACACCAACGGCAATATGCTGTCTTTGTACAGGTGCGGCAGGTGCCCACTGTCTACAAGGTCACGGAGTGACTGCAGTCTTGTCCACCTACCAGTGTACACGCCATACAGGCAGATCGCTAGAGAAATGAAACTTTCCATGCTGGCCCACGCCAGCTTCTGTTGGATGCTCTCAGCTCAGCCATCATAGAACTGCACCGACCGATGTCTGTACTTTGTAGAACTCATCGGTGTCAGTGCCACACCATATTCAAGACACCAAGATGAATGGTGACACGGTCGACTATGCAAGCTGTCTCAAGTTACTGGTATCGCTGCAGAACAGCCCGGATGCAGAGGCGAGCGATTCGTACTGCCTGCCGACTGCCGTTTTCGTTTATGTTAAACGCATGGATCAACCAAACAATACGCTATTAACGCGCTATGCGTAGATTGCGCGTATTACGTACGTACGTGTTTTGACGTACGTGTTGCCTATTCCGGTACGTACGACTTGCTGTTCTTATCAAAAAAAAAACACAGCCGGTACTTTGCGATTGCTTTATGCGGCTAGTTGTTTCGAAAACGGCTCGGTTTACATGTTCAGCAATGCATTATTAATCAGGTGACAGACAGAACATTTTGTGCAAAGTACGGTAATTCATTCACGCAGAGTTACAATGGAGGCTATAACACTGCAACAGACAGATCGTATGCAGCAGCTCGCAAACGCGAGCGCCAGCTTTATTTTAACGCGCAATGGCGCTAACCGGCTCGGGCAGAGCAAGACGTTCAACAGAACCAGACTAAGAGAAATCTAAACAGGTAGCAAGCACATCTCTAGGGAAGGCGCCAATCCTCTGCTTCGACTGATCTCCCTGTCTCCTTCCATTTGGCACGATTGGTGCTGCGGACATCACAGGCTTTTCAGTCCAAGCCGTTACTGAGTAGCCAGGGTGGTATTGTGATCCTCCATCTCCCGTGCCCGTCTCCGTGGTGGTATTGCTGCCTCAGCCAAGCACTTCGCACACAGGCCTTGCGGGCCGTGCACTCGCAGCCTGAACTCAGAGTGGTCACCCATCTAAGTCCAAACCGCGCTCGGTGTAGGCTATCTTTCAAAACCCGAAGGTTCATCCATCTAGCCACAACGAGTGTGCAACGCATTTGAACGCTAATTCCATCCACGGTTCTGATTTAACTAATCAGTCTGAAGTTTCTAACTAAATCTGTGAGCTTATTTCTAGCTGAAAGGTCGGAGTGACTCTAGGTTAGAAGGAAGTTTATATCTCGTTTCGTTCTGTTCTGTTCTGTTTGCTTGTTCGTTCAGTTTAATGATATAAACATTTGGGAAGTTCCTGAGTGTTTCGGTTTCGATAACTTTCGTTAGGCACAGCAATCCGCTTGTACCTAGCGGAAGTAGGTAGTTCGCGTACCACTTACGGAGTCCAGAACGTATTCCCACTCTACCGACTGAGTAGGTTTGGTCATCTAGTGCGGTTGTCGCGGTGCGACTTCCGCATAGCATGTCACTATCATCCATTTATTGACCACAAGCTGTTTTTCCGCAAGCAAAATCCAGTGACGCTGCAGGGGTATATTTTAACTTATAATGATTAATCCGCGTTTTGAGGGAACAAACCGCTGTGTAGGTTCGAAGGTAAAAAATCTGCTTGAAAGAACTAGCTGTTCACGAGCCCCCCGCTTAAACTCACAAGTCAGTAACTATGATTATCCGAAATCATGACAGATATTTATATACTTGTACTAATGCGCGATGTAAGTGAGCAAGAAGCAACGTGTCTATCGTGCATGAAGTACGCACTGTATTTCGGTGGCGGCCGTTCTCCGCAGATACCGAGATCATTCAGGACTTCAGGTGAATTAAGTTTAACTTATTCAAAAAGCAGACAAACTCTCGAGACATCGATTGTTGTATACGAAAACTGAAAATATGAGCACAAGGGGATACAAAGAAGCAGCTAACTGAGGAATAATATGGAATCATTTCGACTGCAAGTAAAGACAACAAACAACAAACGGAAATGATGTTATGACTTTTTTTGTTAACTGATACTCTTGTATTACATTTCCCAGCACGAAGCGCTAATAAAAATTGAGAAACAAACAACACATCGAAACATTTTTCCCATCACTGATCGCGCCGCCCGGCAGAAGGCAGCAGTGCGCGAGTGGGGACGTACCGGTCACACTGCATCATTCTATTCGGAACCATCTGCGCAAAACTGCACAGCACACTAACTGAATCCTCGCTGCGCACGTCGTGGTAAAGGTCAGCGTGCTGGGGCCAAACGCGCTGGGGAAGCGCCTCTCCCTCCTGCCATCCCACGCCACAGTGCACCCCCCGGAAACACAGCCAGAACATGCACTCGGGAAAACAAGCGACTCCTTCTTTGCGCATGCGCTTGGACATATCCCACACGTTCAACTCCTGGTGGTGCTCGCCAATCCTCTCCATTCCCGGCCAACGGCCCAGAATTCCTTTGACGATCAGCACCACTTTGGGATTGCAACCCGTCGTCACGACGGCTCCGTAATCCAGCGCTACTCCGAAGAACTCCCCCAGTCCTTCCAACACGTCGTAGCCGGCCCATTCCGGGAACAGAACACGCAACACCTTCATGTATTCCACCAACCAGTCGTAGTGGAAAAACGGAGGATCCACAGCGTAATGGTCCATGATGGCGCGCGCCCGCGCCTTTTTCAGCAGTGACGCCACGTCTATGGTCTCCAAGTACTCCCGGTGTCTGCGAAACATTTAATGGCTCTGTTTCAACGAGGATATTTTGTTTTAAAAGAAATCACAATGTGCGTCTATGTATATATTCTTAAAGAAATGTCGCGCCCCCCTGTTTTACTGGATCTTTATTCTTTTCGTAATCCCTGAATATATATATTCAAAGGAAACTCAAGCTTTTCCCTTTCAGATTAATACGGAAACCGAATGCAGCGTCAGGCTTCAAGGTCTACAGAAATATTTGAAATTATTTAGATAATTTCGGTCGCGCAAGAAACGATCGCATTAATACTAGAAATAAAAAACTTTCGCTCATGAAATTCATCTCATAAATTATACAGTCAACTTAAATTGTCATTACTCATTAGACAAACTGTCATAAGAATTGTCATCTATGCTTTTACTTAAAATTATCATAAGGAAATCAAATAGATAACTTGAGACCAGATGCAAAAGCGTAGGCGATCGGCAAGAACTCACGCCTCTGAAGCGCGTCAATTGAGCGGTGGTGTCCAGTTTATGATGACGTACACGCAGGTAACCAAAATATGAGGAAAATCGAAAACAACCGACGAAGTGGAAAGTGGGTACTTACTTTTCGTGAATCGTCATGCTGTTAATGCCTCCCAGCATTCGGTGCGTGTTAACCTGCAGAAGGGCTGTCATCAGACGATGCAACACAGCAGTTCAGAGTACATGTACAAATTTCAAAGAACCTCGCTGTCTGGTGTACTTGCTTTGAAAACATTATACGGTACAATGGCAGCCTGTAAGGAAGCCCGGCCGCGATCATTACTAAAGATGAGAAAATAAATAAACTGCTAACCCTTGTCGTCCAAGTGAGTGCTATCACATGCACTCGTTTCGCTTCTCAAATTTTTCAATAACAACGAAAGCAAAAGTACAAGCAGAACGAGGAAAATTTCTAGGCTGCTCGCGAAATTCGATAGCGATGCAGCAAATAACTACACCTCAAATGAACTAAAAATAATTAGGGCGAACAGTTAATGCCAGCTTCTGCCGAATACAATAAATTAATGGTAGTTAGACAGTTTTTGGCAATTATTTTTATTTAGCAATAATTTCTACTGTATAGAAACTGATCTGTTTTGTACCGCCAATCTAAAAGAAAGGCAACACTTGGAAAGTGGAAGCACAAAAAACACTTGGACGATGAGTAATAACTAGGGTAGAAATTGTAGAGTACTGTAAATACGTACATTATGCTAACAAACAGTGCGCTTTGACCAGCGTCCTAAGCCAACAGAATCGGGAAAAATTCGGGGCTCACCAGGGAAAAATCCAGACCGCGGAATGCCGGAGCGAACAGCGTTCCGGCGTCGCGCATCGCAGTCGTTGTCCACAGCGCCGCCATACCGGGCAGAAATTTGATAGCCAGCACGGCGAAGACGTCGGCTCGGGAAATTTCACAGATATTCCCCAGCTGCTGCCCATTCGGCAGACTCTGCCCCTTCTGGAGTATGCGCTGGTTGGCACTCAGGAAGGCCGTCACGAGATCCTCAGCCGCACTCCCAGCCTGCCAACAACAAATATTAACCATATATTTAATAAATAATCAGTTTATTGATTAAATAGGTGTAATTGTATCATTTGTATGTAGTCTATCATTTAGCTGCGTATTAATTTTTTGTAACAATCATTTTTACATATAGACGACTTATTTAATTTTATGACTATTAAAAGATTTGTAATTTATTACTGGAAAATCGGTGCCAATACTGCCAATATTCTCGGTAATAATTAATTACGAGCTGACATCTGTTCCTTCTCGAGTTAATTGGACGGGATTTTTCAGGATTTTAATTTTCCGTCTTTGGAGACTGCTAGGAAGTAGGAACTATAACGCGGGGCCATATGGGCGCCACGCGTATCCTCGACAGCGAACAGCGTGAACCCGGATGAGGCTTTATTGCCGAATCTAATGCGCACCGTGGCGCAGCAACACCAAAACTAATGAGGAAGGATCCTGCAGCCAGTGCAACTGTGCTGCAGGTCCGTCAAAACAGCGCAGCAATGTGCGGGGTGGAAATCCCCAGAAACAGCGAATAGCTACTCAGGAGGGCGGGGCGTCCCGCCCTTACAGAACCATTTGTAATCATAAATTTTTTTTTCAACAAAATCGTCAACTTATAATCATGAAATTATAATACTATTTTACAAAGATTGTAGTACTCCACTAAATATTTATCACATAAATTAATTAAATACTCTGTACGACAGTAAGTGATAAAATTCTTATAAAATAAACAATATCTTACCTCTAAACCCAATTTTAAAATTAGAAAGTTCTTATATACACCAAAACAACGCAATCCGAATTTATTCTTATTGCACTGCAGTTAGTATTATTAATTACTAATACCCACAAAATGCACGATTTCGAGACTAAATACGTGAGAAATCCTGTACAAGCAGTCAATAATTAATATAAGTTACTGGCCCACACATACAAGCAGCAAACAGCAAAATTCTGTGACCCACACAAATGAAATCCTGTGTATGATCGACCAGCCAGTCTGCTACGAACGTTGCAATACCTGCAGAACCGCGAATCTACCCGAGAACCGTCGCGCCACCGCGTTCTCCTCCCGTTCCCCCGACGACACGTTGCCCAGAGAAGCACGGCCATCATCCTGGCGAATAGAGGGCAGCTTCGTGTCAGATAACGACAGTTTCCCCAACTGTTTCTCGCTCAACTCCTGACTGGGTCTCTGCACAAGCGACATGGCGACTGCTCACTGCAACACACGCAAGAAGAATTCAGCGTGGATAATTTCATCAACCTGAACATCTAATTGCATGCACTTATCCACGCAATTCTCACTTACAGAATTAATCTAACTATTCACAACAGCGTGTTAGATAAAGATAGACACAACATATACAACAGAAGTTTCTGGAAGACAACAAGTCACAACACGCAGAACTGCAAACACACAAGGTGACAAGTGACAAAACAAGATGTCACAACGGTTTCCCGATCAGTTGTCGTTCCAACTGGGCCCGCAGTGCGGTTGCGCTGCTACTGGCTGTGTTCGACATTCCCTGTGCAAAACTGAAGCGGCGTACTGGGCAACCCCTGCGGGTTCGGTTGGGCCCTATGCTGCGCGACGTTCTAGCACCTAGCACAACCGCACTGCGGGGCCAGTTGAAATGAAAATTCATCTTTCAGCCGTTGTAACACGCAGTTTTTGTCACTTTTGTAATTTTCACGTTTCCAGTGGTTTCCACTCTACAGTTGTGCGTGCTGTCAGTGTCACTTGTGAGTTGTTGTCTTCAAGAAATATTTATTTGTCTCTCCGGCTCTCTCGTCAACGAAACCTGCTAGTGTGATTGTGAAATTTTGTAAGATAGTAAGTGGATGCATGTTATTTGAAGACTGACGCTCAATTTACCCCGAACACAGTGTGTTAAAATTATCCGTGTTCGTTTGCAACGAACAGCGCCATGTCGCTCGAGCGGAGACCCAACCAGGAGATGAGTGAGACACAGTTTCGGAAACTCTCGTTATCCGACACAAAGGTTCCCTCTCACCGCCAGGATGCTGGCCGTAGTTCTCTGGGCAACGTGTCGTCGGTGGAACGGGAGGAGAACGCTGTGGCTCGACGTTTCTCGGGTGGATTAGCCGCTCTGCAGGTAATTAGTATCGTAGTATTGTACATACCGTATGTAGCAATAATTAGAATTAATTAGCATTATTTCTTGGAATTGACTGGTAGAGCTTACTCTACAAGATATATGCAGCAGCATTGACTTTCCCGAAATAGATAAATTGGTTAGTAGTTGTAAAAATTAAGCAAAAATTCGTAATATCAGTAATTAGGCAGTGTTGTTGGCAGGCTGGCAGTGTGGCCGAGGGTCTGGTGGCGGCCTTCCGGGGTGCCTACGAATGCATGCTGCGGAAGGCGCAGAGTCTGCCCAATGGGCAGCAGCTGCTGGATTTCTGTGAGGGATACCGCGAGGAAGTCTTCGGCTTGCTCACCAGCACACTGCTGCCCGATTTAGCGGCGCTGTGGACAGCCGCTACCGTGCGCGACACTCCAACATCCTCCGCTCCCGTATCCACCGGTTTTGATTTTTCCCTGGTAAGCCCTGATTTTTCCCCGTTTGTTTTTTTCCCCCGTTTATATTTATTGTTTTTTAATCGGCAAATGCCGAATGTATTTATTAAGGCTGATTATTTTTATTCTAATTTTTTGGATTACGCGTAGTCCATTGCACTTTTCTGCTAATTTCTAAAGAGCGAAATGATTTTGCTACGGAATTTACGGCTATAAAAAACAAAAATACTGATTGGTTAGACGTAAATAGTGGTCTGCAAAAAACGTTCCTGTGTGCGAGTGTTTCACATCTTTATACGCCTGAGATGGAAGTGTTGCGTGTTCTGACGGCCTGTTGTGCAGGTTGCCGTGCACCGGAAGTTGGGAAGCGATAACAGCATGACGCACGAGCAGTAAGTTTCCACTGCTCTGATACTTTGATTTCTCTCATAATTATAGATATGTTCTGGTTTCTAATTACCTCTAGTTTCTCTCATGAAGTTATTATCTATTGTTTGTGTACTGATTCTGGTAGCTTTGTATATATACGTCACATAACTTGGCCGCCACCCATGCGCCGCGCTACTTGATTTGCTGCCGGTCGCATACATTGCTTTTCAAATTCAGTTTTTACGAGAACCTAATGATGAGCTGTACAGCTAGGGAGATGACTTCGATGCGCGAAACTAGCTTGGATAATTGAAGCGGCACCAATTCTGAAAGCGTCGTTATGTTGAGCATTGAGTTTGGATATGGGGGTGGCGATGTAAACTCGTGAGGCATACATATACGCAAAGTGACCGAAATATGAGAAAATGGTTTTTCTAGTTGTATGAACCAATCGACGGTGGTGTTCATCAGTGATGCAGGGAAGTTGTTGCCTTGTCTGGACTCGTGACCATGTATATAAGCGGATGAATGTTGTCTAAGCGGCACTCCCTGTTCGGACCAGCTCACCATGCGCGTAGTGACTAGACACATTTATCGAAAGCTGCCCATTCTACTTCTGAACCTGATTTTAATTTTGGTTCTGCTTCCGTTCGTACGGGACGACGTCTAACAAATTAGCCCTGTGATCTGGTCGTACAGTAATAAACTGGTGTTGCTCGATTCTGGTAATCGTAATCAAATCTGATTCGTGACCTTGCATCCTTTTCCAACCTGTCCAGTCGTACGCTCCCTCGAAGCGCTGAGTAAGCAATTCCGAGTTGAGTTGCTATAAGAGCACCGTTTTTAATAATAACGGGGGGTCGGAATTAGGAAGTCAGAAAAGGTATAAAAAAGGGGTGCATCCAATGATGTTTTTCAAAAATGTCCCTCTTTCACTGAGTTAAAAATGATATACCTTCACAAGGTTGTTTGGCAGACACCGGGCGTACTTGGAAGCCTTGAGCCTGGAGTCACTGCTGACGGACACCCGCGCTGTCATGGACCGTTATGCTGTTGTTCCTCCGATCTTCAACAAGGACTGGTTGGTGGAGTACCTGAAGGTGCTGCGCATTCTCTTCCCGGAACAGGCTGGATACGTGGTGGTTCTCACACGCGGTGATTTCGATGGACTGGAGCTGGATTATGGAGCAGTCGTGACAGCGGATCCGGATCCCAAAGCTGTGCTGATCGTCAAAGGCTACCTGGGTCTGTGGAGTGGCTTTGAACGGGCGGGGGAGCGCCAGCGGGAATGGGACTTGTGGATTATGTCCAAGCAGATGCGGGACAACGGAGTTGCCTGCTTCCCCGAGCGCATGTTCTGGCTGTGTTTTCGTGGAGTGCACTGCGGTGTTGGGTGGCAGGAGGGAGCGGCGTTCCCCCAGCGCTACTGGCCCGGTCACACGGACATTTATCACGATGTGCGCCAGGAGGACTCGGTCCGGATCCTGTGTAATTTTGCGCAGATGGTTGTGGACAGAATGGTGCAGATGAGTTAATTCTGTCTGATAGCGTGACAAGTAATGGGAAAGACGTCGGCTATCCTTGGAGCTACAAGTATTTTACAATCTTCCTGTTTTGTAGTGCTGCACTTTTGTTTAGTCTTTACAGTACGGTTTTGTATGTTGTTCCCCAATGTTTGTGGTTTATACTGGTACATACCGATCAGACTCGTTAGCGGCGCCTACGTCAATCTGGATTAAAATAAGTGGAAGAACCTGCTACCTGGGTAATACGGAGGCTGTAACCGTGCTTTTCCCGAGAGTTGTACTCCTAGCTGCTACAAAATGAACTACCAAGCCGAAAAATTTGGGAACTGTTATATAAAAGTGTAAATGATTTTATTCTCAATGTGTGTGTACATCAGCGAGCATCACTCAGTAAACACAAAATCAAATAAAGAACTTATCCCAATTAACAAGAAAAGGGACAGTATTGTACACAGTACACTCATAGCATTACCACGCATAATCTCCAAACGTTTTAGTAATGTAAAACAATACTGTAACCAATTATCAACATCGACCTCTTATCATTATCGGTGATGGTAAATTTGTAACGCTGTTTCGGTAACAGAGGATAATTTCACCGTCTTCTCTTTTCATGCCGCTAATCTTTTCATGCCGCTAAGACTGGAGACCGCCATGGACGCAGTGGGTCGTATACGACTATATGTAGCGACGGTGTATTAACTACTTATATATCTGCAGTCGTTTACAAATTAAAAGAGTCTACTATATTTTATTAACCTGCTCGCTGCGGAGCCAACCACATACTGTGTTGTAGTAACTAAACACTGAACATGGCAACAGCACTGGACAAACTCACCAACAATACCGTTTGTTACGGCACATTAGCCATAGGCCAATCCATTTCACGAGATACTCGTACATCATTTTGTACGAGTACTCGTACAAACACTACAGGGTCCATGGCTTCTCTGACTCTCATGCCACCGCTACAGCATCACTAGTCGCGGGACCATGCTTAGCACTGAATTCCTCCCACTGACAATTCGTTACCTTATGGCCCAGACAACGGCAACCGTTTCGTTACGCGGCACTTGGACGCTGGGAATCCAATAAAAGCGCTAGAGTAGTATTTCATAAGAACGAATTGTTTTTAGACGACATGTGCGTCAAACCAAAGGTCGACGAATAGTCGGTGACCCGCCATTTCTGCGTGGGAAATTCGTCGGCCATCACTACACCAGGTTGACTTTCAAGCTTGAAAAAAAGTTCGAGACTTTTATGAGCAAATGCGTATAACTTAGTTTAGTTCTTAGTTGATATAATCCTGTGGCATTTGCAGTCGGCATTCGGCAACAGTTTTTGGCTCGCCAAATACGTATTTAAGTGTTTTAACGGTCACAAGGGTATACTCGCTCGCTATAAGGCAAACTTTTTCATAAGACGTTTATGGTAATAAATGTGAATATTGTGAATGTGAATAGTACGTGAATGTGAATGGTACGTAGTGATGGGAGTTGTTTAAATTGATAAACATGATCGGTAAGAAACTGCTTATTAGAAGACCGAAAGTCGTTCCACATTATTTTTTGTTTCGTCATTTGAATTTGGAATAATGCGTCGTAATGCAGTTAGCCCTGTGTACAGTCCCGTCTCCTGTAAATTCGGACAATTTTTCCTTTGATTGGATTTGCTTATCGAAGCTGGCTTTGTACATATTGCGAGTAAAAAGGTAAATCTGAGACATACTCGTAAAATACGTACGAGGCCAGCGGCAACTCTTTCCCATCGCTTTAGTAAATTACATCACTTTCCCTGCTGCATCTTACACGTGTGCAGGCGCTCACGTGATAGTTGATTTCAGCCGTTTCACGTCTAAACCGGTATGCAGCTGTAGTTGATTACGCAAACTGATAAAGAATATAAAAAAGCACGGCAGCCGAGATTTTGTCGCCGGCTCAGTAAGCGCTGATTACAATGGATACGATATCACGTGAGCGCGTGCACACGTGTAAGATGCAGCAGGGAAAGTGATGTAATTTACTAAAGCGATGGGAAAGGGTTGCCGCTTGCCTCGTACAGATACTAATGTACAATATTCAGCGCTGTACCGTATGCTTGTCGAGAGACCATAGCGCAAACAGAAAGAACAATGTGCATTATTGACTGAACATGATAATACCGCCACATACCGGCAATTTTTCGTAATTTGTGTTGCACTCTACTGTCTGTCCACAAAAACGGTCGTCAGCTGTACGCTTTAACTTTGACCAGTTTTCTCTTCTTCTAGTACCACTGGCTGAAACGCAACAGCTTGGCTGTCGTAGCTGGAGAAAAGCACCCGGGTGTCAGCACTATCCAGGCTGGTGATCTTCGAGCTAGTCCATTCATTGTTTTCCGGGTCATACATTTCCATCGTCGACAACGACAGGGCATAGTCGTTCTCGATTCGGCCGCCAAACACACCCACCCGACTGTTGGTAACGAAGGCGCAGTGATTACTGCGAGCGTTACGCAAGGAGGGCAAGGGTTCCCACGTGCGCGTTGTCCAATTCAGACGGGCGCAGGACCGTAGCGTTTCTACCGACCACACGAACACCGAGCGTCCTCCGAGAATGTAGACGTAGTTCTGCAGGACGACCGTGGCAAAGGCGCAGCGCCTTCCCGGTAACCGTGGTAGGATAGACCATGCATTCGTTACGGTATCGAAACATTCCACGTACATGATCTTGGAGGATCTGTCAGAAGGAGCCCCGATGAAGATAATGCACTGACTGACTGGCACTCCACACTCCATACGACGTATTCTGCGAGATGAGCTACGGTTGTTTCGTGAAAGCAATACGAGGACCTCTCAGAGCTGGTTTTTGCGCAATATGCGTTAAAACATTGTCTACTTGTTTCACGCCCTCTAATAACTAAATAACCTGTACTTTACACATATCTCACCGGTTGAGGTTTCGACAGACTGGCAAATCCTCCACGACAGAGCCGGAGCTCTGCAGTAAATCCACCTTTTTGAATGATCGGCACCGGATATCCCAGAAGTACAGCAATCTCCCAATGACAACAGGACATTTCATTAGAGCGGTCTGTGGCTCCATAGGAACGGAGAGGCAAGTCTGTTTAACAACGTCCCATGTCATGGTTTGAAATATTCGGGATGGGCTACCGTCATGCATTTCCGTGACCTGACATAGCACCTGGTTCTGATACACCCCGATAATCTGACCAAAGTATTTACGCCGCAACCTGGCAGGCATGGGAAACTGCCATAACCGAGTGGTTGCCGGATGAAACGACTGGGCGTACAGCGAATATCGGTTGGAACCGTCAAATATGCGATGCAGTATTATTATGTTATCCTGGGGAAGCTCGGCTTTCTCGCTTAGGCACTGAATTATGACATCCGCAGAGCTTCTATAGTCGCTGACGGACTGTAAGCAGTTACGACCACACTCAGCCAGAGCTGGTGGCGCCAGGGTGCTGATAACGGGTGTATAACCGTCGACTATCATCATAGCATACCGGTTATCCGTAGTTTCCTCTCCCGCCTCCGTCATATCACCGTCGGCACTCTGCAGCCAGTCCCGGTGGTTGCCCAGCACGCAGTGCGCTAGCTTTACTATAACACAACCTAAACTCCACATGTCGGTTTTGCGTCCGGGCGGTCGGCGTCCCATCCTTTCGGCTTCGGTTAGTGTGAATTTCTCCAGCATCTCCGGTGACATGTAGCGGATCGTACCGCGGACATGTGTCATATCTGTCGAGCACGTGACATCTCTCTGCATGCAGACCATAATATCGTCCAGATCGCAGATTATCAGTTGATCTCCCAACTGTCCCAGCCGTTTGACCAGTATGTTACCCGGTTTCAAATCACCGTGGATGATATGATTCTGGTGTAAGAAGTGCAGTGCTTGTGCAATTTCCTGTGTGTATCGAGCAGCGGTCTGGCTCTTCAGTACGCTTCCGTCTTGTTTCAGTTTATTAAGAAGACAAGCTAAGTCTTTTTCTGAAAATACGTTTGTTGTAAAACTGCATATCTGTTGTAGAGCACTAAGTTACCTTAGCGCACTAAGTAGCGCACTTATTCTGATGCAATAATTACGAGACTGTACGATAGAAGTAGAACAGCAGTGCTTCCTAAAAAATCTAGCAGTACTGTAATACTGGAAAGTGTGTGCTAATACCGTGATAGTACTCCATCATCGGTTCCACGCAAAGGAGTGTTCCTTCCCGTTTCGGGAAATGTATGGTGATTTGGTGGTGCCTGACCACGTGGTTATGCTTAATCTTCAAGAGTAACTCACATTTTTCACGTAGTTTCGTATAATTCTCCGAATTCCTCAGCAGCTTGGCTGTATCCAGCTGAATAACTTTGATGGCAACCGTTTCATCACCGGCGAAATTGCCACGCTCCGTCACAGTGGCGATGTAGACCTGACCAAAGGCACCACGTGCCAGGCAGTCGGTACTCTGGTATCGATACTGGCAGGTGCTGCCTAATACCACACTTTCCTCGTCCGCACCATACATGTTCAATAGTCTGAAGGAGCAATCGCAAAATGCTGTACCCTTGCCGATTACTGATTGCTGTGATTTGAAGTACCAGGCACAGGTGGAAACGTCGCCGTCTGTATCTGTAGTTGTTGATTTTGTTCTCGTTTACAGATAGATAAGTGCGATGCGCCTCAGGTCATAGAGCAGGCAATACTGGCAATCGCACAAATCAGTTAGCAAAATGTTGTTCATTTAATTATTACCCCGTAATCCGCGTGTATTCCAGAGTAGCTTTCCGACGGTATTACCTGTACACCAGTACGACTCGTAAAACTTGTTATCGCAGAATGTGGATTGGACTCGTGACAATAATGTGCACTTGTATCGTACCGCACAAATGCCGTTAAACGATCACTACGACTTACGAGTAAGTACTAACAGGAGATTTGTTCAGGCAATAGCCAATTAACACTGACAATAAGCCAGCGCTGAGAGGCACTAATAAAAAGATTTCAATTTTACACGTTACAGAAATAACCAAAATCATCAAAGAAACAACCATAACTTTAGTTGTACTAAAGTTCATTCCATACTTTAGTGTATACTCTTTACTAGATATTATTAATTTCAGTTGTCGTTTTTCTTATCTGTGACTGACCGGTAAGTATTACTTTAATAAAGAAGCTGCTACCGGATGCGCTACAGCTTCCTTTCAGCCAATGTGGAAAATACAGCAGCCGCTTACATAATTGCAGCGGGTCGTGGTTTGTTGTGGCAGTTTATTGTGTTCACACCATCAGTTGAGGGTGGAGTTTACGCGCTGTTCAAAAACGCTGGAAAGTGGAGATGGTACAATAATTATTATGATCCAACTCGATGGAAACGCATGAGTCAAGTTCGTCATCATTTCCATGATGCTGTTATTTTCCATGTTTACACTTGCGTCATTTTAATTTGATGAAGGCTGTTCCAGTATGCTTTTACGATTCTCTTCATACTTTCTACGTTTCTAAATTGGAATTAGTTAGTTGAAAAACAATACAGTAAGTACTTGCGATTGCTGTACGTTGATTTCTGATGCATAGGTATTTTACAGAGGTATTATGTATTATGCATAGGTATTTCTGAGTGTTCTTACAAAACCATAACCAATTCATTTGACTTTGCAACATTGCAAATGGTCTCGCTGAGTCGGTTGAGAATCGGTATTTTGGCGTTATGAGTGTGCAGCAAAACATATTGTCCATCAAATAATCTGCTCGTACGATTGTGTTTTCCAAACTTTACTGCAAAGGACACAGTTATGATGACAAATCTCAGCCCAAACCAGATTTTCCCATTCCCTGGAAATTTAAGGAAGAATTTGTAGCCGGGCGAGACTTTCCCTGTTATTTTTCGATCTAGCAAAATAGAATCCATGTGACAAAGGTCATCGGTAATTAGGATCGTTTTCGCCAAACCAAGCGACAAACCGCTGATAAGATATAAGAAGCGATACCGCAAAGGTCACGGCCGTATACATAATATCCAATCCGATCACCAGTCCGGTCCGCAGAGCAGCTGTACTTTACCGGCGCGCGTGCTGACCTTGCCGCTGTCGGTCTGGGCGGCGACGGTGGCGTTGTAGTAGCCGGTGGCGGGCACGCGGCCCTGGATGTACAGGTCGCCGGTGTCCGGGTCGATGCGCAGGTACGGCGTGCCCAGTAGTGTGTAGCGCAGCGGCTCGCCCGTGGCGATGGAGGCCCGGATGAAGCCGAGATGCTGGCCGGCGTTGCAGTTGAATGTCGCCAGGAAGAACGGGCCCTCGCGTTGGAACACGGGAAGGATTTCCTGTATGACCGATCACGCTAATTTCCCCTTACACCAACTGACATACGAACTTTTTCAATTGAGTTGGATAACAACAGAAAAAAATACATATTAAATAGAAACTCTACACAAATGCTATAAAAATGTATTACTGTATATAAATATATTTTAATAAATAATAGTGTGAGTCGCAGTACGATTTCACGAGCCACATTACATCAGTTGACATACAAATTTGTAAACTGAATTATCATTTACCAACGCAAGAAAATATCTACGTACGTATATATGAAAATTACACACGTACATATATACGTACATATATAAATAAAAATAGAGAAAATTAATACATGGAAGAGAGTGGTTTAACTGACCTGTTGTTCTGTGGGCGGAATAGCGCACGTGCAGTTGCACGCCAACCCGGAGATCATTACCGGCTTCTGCGCTGTCATCCCGCCGATCATCCCCACTAGTAATCCCGCCATTAACACCAGCGCCGCCATATTTCCCCCGTTGCTGCTCGCTGCGTAAAGAAAATTACACACCAGATACCACGAACGCCAACTGGTGTACCGTATATGTAAGCTGGGTGTCGTTGTGCATATATGTATTTAATATGGTATAGGATCCTGCAATATTCGGTGGCACGCTGTTATCGGGACGAGAAGATTTACGGCCCATTGTGTTGCGGCGCTTTCTCTGCCAGCCATATCGTATACAACCACAACGGCCACTTTTGACACTTCTCCGCAATCTACACTTCGCCAACCACAAAATAAATACTGACTACTACACAATAGCAATTAATCGTATGATATTAACCGCGCTGTGCGGTCCGTACAGCAGCGTCGCCGATCACATTTATTTCACATTTTCTTCTTTAAAATTTACATTTTACCTCATACATCTCTTATGTATATATATACATATTTAATTCATACCTTTATTTAGAACATCGAATATAATTATTGTTTTATAAATTCAAATTTATTTCATATTAATTTTTCTTTTTTTAAAATTCATGTTTAATTCAGTTTTTCTTCATATTCATCAGCACATTCTCTCACCGTCCCTTTCGAATTTTCGAACCAGAAAAAAATAATAAAAGAAACCAGCCGACAATTCACACAATATACAAAAGTACAAACTCTACCAAAACCTTGCAAAAGTATCCAATTTTCTCGTACACAAACCCAACTAAAATATAAAAGAAAATATACATGAAAACTACAAAATACAGGCAAAATAAAAGAAGGTAAAACTGGAAAAAATCCGGCAATATTCAGCTAGCCGGCGCGACTTGCTTTTCAACGAATTTCTGTCCGTCGACCACTAGATCATGCTGCTCGACGTAGTCGAGCCACTTCTTCCACAGGGGATCACCGGAGGCGCGCAGTGTAGCGCGACTGGCCACGACGATCATGCCGCGTTTGGCGCGCGTCATCAGCACGTTAAACCGGCGCCGATCCTTCAAGAAACCGATTTCTCCGTCGTCGCGGCTGCGCACCGCCGAGAAAATAATCACCTCCTTCTCCCGACCCTTCATCAAACATTTTACAAATTAAACTAAATTTATTCCCTTTTTATTTTTATTTTATTTTATTTTTATTTTATTTTAATTTATTTAAATTAAATTTTTATTTTATTTTAACGAATACAGATGGTATTAAAATAAATTACATTCAAATGTTTTTTTTTTCCCGCGAAACTCAAACTCCAATTTTAAATGGGATGATACATAATAAAAACATTTACAAAATTAAATGGAAGAAAGTTCCAAGATAATTTCTGAAACGGGTTTTTCCTTTATTTTTACAGCATTTTTCTTGCGTTCAGAATATTTCCTTATACATAGTTTTCGAAAATTATAACTAAAATTATTAACCTATTTTTTAACCTACTTTAACCAGGATAAAACAAAATTTTTTAATTAATTTATTTTTACACTGAAGCGAAGGAAACTAAATAAATTCTTAATATATTTTGAAGCTTTAATTGCTCACTTTCGTTTGTAAATTTTGTTTCAACTGCGAACGCCTTCATGAGTATTTTTTTACAACTATTAATTATAATTTTCGATTTAACTTTAAATATATTCTCACCACGATTATGCAAGGGATGTGCAAGGATCGTATAGAACTTCGGAAAAAATCTGCCGACTGAGGGAATCGAACCCACAAACAAATTGTATCGAAATGTTTTATGAAAGGATCCTATAGAGAGCGGATGCCGCTCTAACAATTACATTACAATCATAACAATTTTTTTTCTAAATACTTAACGTTTTTTTGTCATATTGTACCTGGAAGCCGTCGACGGTGACGATCTCGATGTCCTTGGCGAAAGCCTTCAATTTCGGCGAGATCGTGACCTTATTCTTCAGGCAGTCAATCTGGTCGCGGTAGGCGCTGACCAGGCCGATCTCCTTGGCTTTGACCGCGCCGCGCTGCTCCTCCGCGTCCACCATCAACAGCTGCTTCACCACCGCGACGACTACATTGGCCTCCGCCACATTCCACTTGGACCCCCCGCTCTTCTGCTTCTCCTCGCCTAAGTAGCCACAAAGGTCACGTTTATCAGAACAAATAGTTGACAACCAAATTTTGTAAATACGAGGTACATGATTTTAAAATAAATATCTCGCTGAATTCGAAATCGTTCGGGACGGCCAGCCAGCGCTTCAAGAAATCAGAAAAAGAAAAATTTAAATTTTCAGAATTTATTACTGAAATAATTTTCGGCGAAGAAATTGAACTTGTTAGTAAACTAAACGTCAAGTAATTGGATCAAATAAAATTATTATATACAAAATAAATTGTCAAATGTAGTTTGTTTAAATTTCATTTAAAAAATTCTATTTCCAATTTTAAATTTACAATTTAAAAAATTCTGTTTCTAATTTTAAATTTTAAATTGAAAAAATTCAACTGAACTTAGTTAAATTGAATTTTATGTCATTTTAAATTTCTCCGATTTTAAGCCTACCTTGGACATCAATCAGCACCACGGGTTTTTCCGGATGGGGCCACTCGAATCCTAGCGGCAGGGGGCGCTCCGCCGGCCGCACTTTCGCACGTAATCGGCCGTTATAAAATTCCTGCGAGCAGAAGTCAATGATAAACGGATGGCAGCGGTAGTGCTCGTCCAGCATCTGCACTTGGATGGTCTCGGAATGCGCCAGGCCGGTCGAAGAGCGACACGCTCAGATCCAGACCGGGGACGCCGGATTTGGCTAGCTCATGCACCTGCGGCGGCAGTTGCTGGTGGTCGCCCACTAAGACGACCCACGCGCGGCTTTGACGATAGCGATCAGCGCGCACGGCTCCGTCACCTGCACATTAATTTACCCAATTAAAAAATAATTTTATAATTTAATAAGGATTAATTCATATATTGATTAACAATATTTCTCTTAATTTTTAATTTAATAATTTATTAATTTACCGAATTAAAAACCTAATAATTAATATTATCAGTGAAAAATAAAAAATCGAGTAACTGAAAATAAATATAAAATACGCTATTTACTCAAAAATAAACGTGCAAAAAATACTACCACGGCTGAAAATTAACTTCAAATATATGATGTGCATTACTAATAACAAAGTAAACATAAATAATACTAAACATAACTAAACATAGTTTAAAGATAAACAAATATTATTACGGCCAAAAATATATTAATTATCCGTACTTCTACTCTGTTGGAATAAAAACCAGCAGAAAATAAGTACAAATTAACTGCTGAATAAATTAAAATAAATCTTAAAAAATGCACAGAAATTCAAATAGAAAGCCAAAAATTGATGGATAAGCAGGATTTACCTGTGAGGCTTCGTCGATGACGACGACATCGAAGGCGACATCCTTCAAATCAGCCAGCCCGGCGCCGACGCACGTGCCGACGATGAGATCGGCCGCTGCCACGGCTTTCTCCGCGCTCTTCTTCTTCTCGTTGCGCGTCTTCCCTTCCGCCAGATCCGCCAGCGTGTACCGGTGCAGATCCTTCGACACCGCCGATTTATCGCCCACGCGCACCGGTTTAAAATCCTCACCGCCTAGGAACAGAATCACAAAGGTCATCCGCCCACAACAACCGATATGCAACATCTCGCTGCGACAAATATAATTAATATAATCCATTGTTTTAGGAAAAAGAATTTCTATCAGAATAATTATTATGAAACTTACAAATGATGAATGTGATTGAATTTGATTTTACAAATGATGAATGTATTTGAATGTGATTTTACAAATGATTTTATTTGTATTTTTTCACCTAATTGCCGGGCTTTTAAGTGGACGATGCCGCGCAGGATGTTGTCGGCCGCAGTGTTTGTGGAGGCCACGGCCAGCACCCGGCACTTTCCGTACTGATCCATCAGCGCTTGCAGCATCCGCGCGATGGTGTGCGTTTTTCCTGTTTACGACACAACAACACATGCAAAATGCTGCTCAGAATAACAATTCACGTAATTTGCGATAAATCAATACGAATATAAAAATAATTCACCAAGAAAAATAAATAAAGAAATAATTAATTACATCACAATAATATTAGTCTCATCCAAAACTGACAAATTTAATCTTAACAGCAATAATGAAAAAAAAATGTTATTTATTGGAAACAAATTAATATTTAAACAGGAATAACTCAAGAAATCAAACACGGACAAGTCAGTAAAAATCAAAAATATTATAAAATAATTTCAGATTCATTAAAATTTAATTACAAACACTCTAATAAATATAATCCATAAAATATTTAAAATAACCACGCTTAATATAAGAAAAATAAATGGGAATTACCGGTGCCGGGGGGTCCCTGGACGAGCGTAATCTTCCTTGCATAAGCCATCCGCACCGCCTCCTTCTGCGACTCATTCAAGCCCTCAAAAAACCCCTCCACTTTCTTATTCCCATCACCAACGATTTCCTCAAACACCAATCCCATGATGGCATGAAACGCCAACGTCCCGTTCTCTTTCTGCGCGACGAACGTGGCCACGGCGTCCACGCAATGCTTGAAGGTGGTCAAGTTGCCCAGCACCTCCATCTCCCACGTCGCCAGCTCCACCTCGGGGGGCGGGGCGGCGTCAAAGTGGACGAGGATGTCGGGCGAAATGTCCTTGACCACGCCCACACACACCACCGGACCCGTGTCGGAATTTGTGACGGGAATGACCGGGGTTCTGGGTTTGGGTGTCGGTTTTGCGGGTATTTTTCCCAGGGCGGGGAATTCGGCGTCGAGGTTTTTTGTCTCGGTGATTTCGGTGGGTTTCGGCTTGTTCATGCGCGTGAAGAGGACCATGTCGCCGACGCGCGGACGCTCGGCGATGTTCTGCGCCCGGTAGTTGAATTTGATTTTCTTCCTGTAAAAATAAACACCCACCGTAAAAAAATCAAAAATCTGCAATAGAATCTATTTTGTATTTTTTTTAAATTTTTATAAAATTAAAAAATCATCAAATTAAGATTAAAACACCTGAAAATTGTGAAAAAGAAAAATTAGAAAAACTTAAGAAAAGTAATCACCGATAAGAAACCGGTAAAAAAAAATCAAAAAAATCCTATAGAAAAAACAATCAGAAAGAACTCATTAAAATACTTCTATTAAAAAAAGCGAAAAAGAAAAAAATTAAAAGATAATAAAAAAGGAAAGTAAATTACGTAACATCCTGTTACGTAACTGTGGCAGCTGGCAGCTGTGTTAACTGTCGGCTCAGCTACTTCCTTGTTACTTAATCGGAAGAAGAAAGTAACCTCCCGGCTACTTGTACTTTTTACTAGACTGTATGCGTAATTGTTTTACTTCGGTGCTGGCCGGTATAATACCAAACGCGGCTCTCGTGTTTTCGTGCATTGTAAGGTTTAGTTATCTGTTTTAGTTTCAAATGTCAATAAAGAAAAACCCATCGTTATAAACACAGGAAAAATTGTGATAATCATAAATAAGTGCAATCGTTAGAATTAAAATCTATTTAATTCAAATAAAAAATCAGAAAAGGTCAAAAATTAACTAAATGAATTAATTAAAAAAAACCTGAATGAATACTAGAAAAACGAGTACGCAAAAATTACAGATCATCACAACGAAAATAAAACACCTAAAAGAGCTTGAAAAAGGAATATCATTTATTATAAAGAATAATATTTGCTATAAATTATATTATTTATTATTTATTATAAAAAACATAATTTTTTAAAAAAAAGAATAAATTATTCATGAAAAACACAAAACTGCTAAACCTTGACTAAATAAAATTAACCGAAAAACCTGGTTCAAAAAATGTAAAAGAACAAGAGAAAATAAACGAAGAAAGAAGCGAAAATATTTAAAACGATAAAAGTTTGAACAAATTCATTCAAAAACTCTCTTTCGAAAAATCGCCAACAATACCCACTTTTTCTCGTTGTCCACATTCTCATCCGCCTCCTTGCTCGTATTCTCCACCAATTTAATCCGGAACTGGCGTTTCTTATTCCGCTTCATCTGGTTATCAATGCGTTCCCCCAATAAATCCCGGCACAACAAATACCCCAACCGCTTCAGGTAATCCTCCGCCACCAACCGCTCCTCGTTATTGAACAGGAGATCGTTGAATTCCACGCCGAAACTGGGATCTAAGACCATCACACTGGCTTTCAACAGATCACAGTAATTTTCGGCGTTGAACACGCTGTCGGCTTCCGCTTTCATCCGGTCGAGTAATCCGCCGGCGTCGGCTTCTTTTTTTCCGGTGGAGTCGGCGCCCAACGGGATTTGCAGACTGTACGCTAACGGACCGCTCCGCTGGGGCGGACGCCGGCTCCAGAATCCCGCGTCTTTTTTCGCCGCCTTTTCCGGTTCAGCTGCTGCCTGCTAAAGGTCACACTTTCAGCATTTTCAGTTCCATAATCATATTATTTAAAATCACAGCGTTTTAAAACAGCGGAAAAAAAATAGTTTTTCAAAAACCCTTCCGAAAATTCATAAGTCTGAATTTTTTAAAAATAGTTTCAACAAATTAAATCAAACAGGCTTTCGCGTGTACATGGTTTAAAAAGAAAAATTAATTTTTTACAAATATAATAAATCCGTAATAAAAATAATTTGTAACGAAGAAAACCACGGACTGGATTCATCATTAAAAAATAACGTCAAACTGGACTTAGCGTAAATCCGCTCTTCGAAGTACATGCTCTTCGAAATCCGCTCTTCGAAGTTTAAAATGAAAAATCCATTTCTATTTAAAAAAAATTAAATAAAACAGGACAAGCGCGCTCGAAGAAAATGCCTGAAAATGGAAACAATTTTAAATTTTACACATTTAATCAATTTTTAAATATAACGTTAAGCGCAGATTAGACCAAAAAAAGTTCAGCAATCCTAAAAAAATCAAACAGAGCTTCGCGTGTTTGAAATGCGCAATTTAAAATGGTAAAAACTGAATTTTTCCAATAAAGAATATAAACATTTTCCGCGTAAAAAATTCGATTTATTTTTTTTAAGAATCTAATTTTATATTTATATTGGAGTTTTTTGTAAGACCCACTGAACTAGTTAGTTTTTCAACCGCGCTGACCTTACCGTGTTTTCCTGATCGTCGTTGATGTCTTCGTCTTGGATTTTGCGTCCCTTGGCTTCCTGCAGGATGTGGCTGGTAGGCAGGGTTTCGCTGCTGCGCAATAGCGCACATAACAACTTCCGACACACGGCGGGAGGCATATCTTCCAGATGCCGGGCGAACTGGCCGGCCATCCGCGGAATATACAGCAAAATCTGCAAGACTTCTGAATCGGCGCCGATATTCCGGCCGTATTTATCCAGAATTGTCTGGACGAAATTGCAGCACCAATTCGTCTCCGTCTGGCTGTAATAGTGGATGACGCGGATCAACGGCATGAAGCTGTCCGCGTTCTTCTCCACCGCAATCACCCCGTCATCCTGCCGGATACAAATTAAATAATATCAAATTTAACAAGTCAATACAAACCATTAAAAATAAAATTACCATTAAAAATAAAATTACACAAGTAAAAAATAAATTCTCCAATTTTAAAAAATATTTTTCATCAGCATAACAGAAATAAAAACCGAATCGCTCCGCGGCGTGAAGTTGCAGGGGAAAATAATTCGTGAAATAAAATTTTAATAAACCAAAGGAGCCAAAACTAATTAAAAAAATACATCAAAAATCAAACAAGAAATTGCTGAAAATTTATTTTTTCTCGGTTGCGTTAGTAATAAACTGACTCGAAATCGCTTGAGCTGCGCCACTACATCCCGGTGTTGTTGCGAGGGATTGTCGAAATCCGGCGCGACGAAATCATCCACATCCGGCACACCGATCCGGTGCACGGGAATGGCCGTGTTCCCCAGGGACAGCGGGATTAAATTGGGCACGGTGCGCCGGTGAACGGGGCTGGCGGCGTCGTCCACGCTGCCGATAACGTAAATCTCCACACCTACGCCACACACATACATCATACATGTATCGTGTTTGTCAATAATCTTATTAGCCATTAAAGTTTTCGGTTGTAATTAATCCTGTTTTTGTTACAAACAGGAGACGCGACTGGCTTGAGCTAATAAAAATAAAATCCGGCTACTAATTCACTGCCAACAGGCAACAGTAGTACTCGTTAAACAACGAATACTTCTATACTTACAGAAATAAAAATTAATTTATTGGCAATAGCCAATCAAATAGCAATAATTGGTACACTACGCTGAGTTAAAAATAAATAAATCAGAAAAAAAAACATTATCTGGAAGGAAATACGTTAACAACAAAAACCGGTTCCTTTTAACCCTGTTTGTGAGTGCGAACAAAATGATCAAAATAACCAAGAAAATTTCCACGACACCCAAAATAAATCAGTAAAAATAGTGGCACCAGCAACATTCAGCAAAAATAAAAATTATGAAAATGCTAGAAATTAATAGTTGATGAAATAATTCGTCGTTATTTCCAAAAGCCATTTTACGGACATAATCAGATTATTCAAAAATAACTGCAGCAAAGAAAATTTCCTCAAAAGTAATACTACCAAATAAAATAATAAAAAAATACAAATGACAGTCAAGAAAATCAAATATCACGAACTAACCTATTAAGCGTTGTTTCTGGATGCGATCCATATTCTTCGTGTACACCTCCGAGAACCAGCGCCGCTCCCGCACCGCAATACTGAACTTGATCTCATAGTCCATCTCCAGCACATCCACCGGCAACCCCAACGCCTGGCACTGCTCCCCGGCGGGGGGTGGCGCTTCCGCCACCCTCTTCCCGCCGTTTCCCACCCGCTCCTTCTTCGGGTTCCGGCTGATGTGATTGGCCGGTTGCCCTTTCAGCCAGATGAAGGTATTGCCTTCTTCCTTCTTCCAGTACATCTGGAAACGCTCTTCCGCCAGAAACACCGTCATGTCTTTCGGGAGGAAGCGTTTCTCCACACACCCGTTGAATAAACCGAAGTACACGATTTCCCCGAGATCCGTGTTGGCTTCGCCGACTTTTAACGGTTTGGGGAAGTAGACGGCGACGCTGAAGTGGTCCGAGTACTGGAAGACGATTAATGATTTTGTGTAGTTGCTTAATGCGTCGCACAAGTGTTTCATGAAGGTGTTGTCGAATCTACGATGGAAAATCGAACAGTGTCAAGCGAAACTTACTATCAAATTTAATATTTTAAAAAAATTGTAGTTGATATTGATGTTGATATTTTTAAAACAAATGTATTCCGAAATTTAGCTTTTCCAACCGTTTGAAATGCTCAGAACTCCGTTCGATTTTGAAGTAAATCTGAAATTTAAAAGGTTAACTTATGAAGACTTTTTTCTGTAGATTTGTACTGTTATAAAAACAGATATGAAAGAAATTTTGATAATTACTGATCGGTGTTTAAAAAATCTGTTTCAATTTATTTAATCAGTTAAGCTGAACATGTAATTAATTAATTGAAAACATTAGTTACCACATTATTAACTTTAAATAAGTAATTAATTTCTTCAGCTAAAATTATTCACATAATAATTATAAAAATTGAATCACAACTTCAGGATAAATAAAAAATAACTTAGTTACAAATCAACTACAGTAGAACTCTCACCCGGTGTAGTGCAAGACCGAGTAGGAATAGAACAGCTTCCAATGCCGCTCCTCCACGTCCAGATACACCTGCTGCAGCTGTTTCGGCGTGATGATGTCCGAGCGGTTCAGCGCGTTGACCAGGATCTTCTTCGGGACGCCCAGCCACTGCGCCACGTGACGCTGGGCGAAATTAAAGCGCCGGAAGTCGATTTGCCGGATCAGGGCGTCCAGATCATCCCGGTTGTAGTTATTTTTGTGCCGGCTCCACCAGTTGCTGATCAGCAGCATCAGACGGTAGTCGCTCATGTTCATGTCGGCCGGAGGCCACAATATCCTGCACCGTTTCCAGGCTGAGCGACTCGCAGCTCAACCGAGCCGCCTTTCCTGACCTTTGCTTGAATTTCTTCCCTATACAGATAGTCAAAACTCAAATACATACAGATAGTCAAATACTTTCTCATACCGCGAATTCTTACTTCACAGTAAAGACGTACACAACCGTTTAATAGGCAACAGCCATCAAAATTAGACGTGCAATTTCAAAAAACAGTTTTGGCTGTTTTGAAATGCTTTCAGTTGGAACCGATTCGCGCTCAAACCGACGAAATCTAATTGAAGAAAATAATTCTTAAGAAAACTAAGAACACAATCGCAGCAAACTAAGAAAAATGCTCATACATCAAGAAAAACAACAGAACGCTCCACTTCTCCAGTCCATTCACGAATTTTTCAGACCAAAATGTGAAAAAGAACATTTACATTTACGGTCGATATTTTCCCATTTACAGTTAGTCTAACTGTAAATGGGAAAATATTATTAATGAATTTATTATTATTAATGAATTATTTATTAATTTTATTTAATGAATTATTCATTGATTTATTTATCAAAGAGAATTTATCTATTATTAATGAATCTGGAGCCCTGTACTATCTGTAGTGTGGGAAAATGTAGTGTAGTGGCTATTGTAACACTCACGAATGCTGAGAAAATAGTTCTTATCACGTACTCCTGTTGGCGGTCGATAAATGTCTAATCAGAGGCTTTTATGGATAAGAAAACAAACTTAAAGAAATACAGCAGACGAGACCGACTAATATTTCACGATGTGTAAACAAAAATTCCGTTGAGCTATCTGAAACCGGCATTAAAACTGCATGAACTTCTCCACGTAAAACTATTTAAAATAAGAATTTTTTTTTATAAAAGTAGAACGCACTGTTCCAATCAGTACACGAATTCTTTGGCGCATAAAATGTGTAAAAAATAATTTTCAAGCAAAATCGGAATGCATTACATATTACGGCATCAACATTATCGGCTTTGGAGCGGGGTTGGGAGCGAGCTGCCATTACACTACGTTTTCTCACGGCAGAGAAAAGACGACAGATTCATCACTGTGGATGAACAAACAAATCACAAACCGATTACTGTCAAAAAAAACCCCTGACAAAATAATTATTTAACGTACTTGTAATTTTCATAGCGCCGCTTCGATTCCTCCAGCATTTCCTCCCACACCGGCGTCTTGACGGGATGATTGGGATCGTCCTTCGGCGGATCCCGCAGATCCTTCGGCACCGACACCCGTTCCCCGTCCACCGCGCTGGCGAAGCGCTCATTCAGCCGCACACACTGATCCGACAGCGCCCCGTTCGGCCGCATCTTCGCCCACCTCCAGTACAAATTATCGATACTCCCCAAGGACGCGTTGTTGAAATGCGCGAAATACTTGATCATCCCGTCCAAATCGATCGTCCTGGCCTGTTTCTCCAGCGCCGCCGGATACCCATACGGTTCCTGCATTCTTCGCGGGATTAACCGCGGATCCCAGATGACGGTGAACTTGTCCCCGTCGAGATCGCCGCCGCCCGAGCAGGAGGCGGTGGAACGCCGTCCCCGCACCGGGAAGACGGCGCAGTCGACCAAATGCCGGCAGCCGGGGTTCTCCACCGCCCGCCGCAGCAGGATGTCCCCCGGGAACAGACAGGGATTCCGCACCAGCACGAGGTTCCCCACGAGGGGCGTGGCCACGCCGTCGATCGTCGGGGCGAAGTACACCTCGCCCTCCCGCAACTGCCCGTCTTCCGCTTCGTTGGGATCGTTCACGGCGAACACGAAACGGGACTGCTCCACCACGACGCTCAGCTTCGTCTTCGCGACGTTGTTCTTCTCCTTCGTACTCTGCTTCATGATTCGGCTGCACACCGCGTTCAAGGCGTCGTTGACCTTTGGCGTAAATCCTTTCTCGGTGAGTTCGGCGGCCAGCGTCCGTTTGTCTTCGCTGCAGAGGACCTTGAAGGCCACCAGGGGGTCCTCGAACATGACCTCCAGACGGCGGTAGTGCTCCTGTTGGACCTCCTTCAGGATCCCGTCGGGGATGCCCAGGGCGGACAGCAGCGCGACGATCTGCTGGTTCAGCTTGCCGTAGATGTACGGCCGGGACGCTTCCACGACGCAGAAGGAGTCGTCCGCGCAGGGAACTTCTCCTGCGACTTCCGGAAAACCACGTCGAAGGTGATCGACGGATTCACGGCCAGGACGCCTTTGAAGCCGCGGTAACGGATCTGGATAACGCTCGGCAGCAGCGGACGGTTGTCGAAGCGGTGTTTCAGGTGGTGGGCGACTTTTCGCATCAGCTTTGTCGAAATATACCTGTATAAGTACAGTTTCTAATTTCTTTACTCTTAGTTTTTTAAAAGGCGATTTGGAGTATTTTTAGGATTTCTTTCCGTTGCGAAATTCATTATGATTTTCTGTTTTCCCAGTACACGCAGTTTTTATAAATTTACCATGAAAACAGTAACAAATTATTGCGCATTGCGTACTGTCGCCGGTAGGGACGTGTACATATTAAAATAAACAAAAAAAAATTAGAAACAAATCTTCAATAAAAAACGCTACGTGCTTCTACCAATTTATAAAAATAATTCTCGAATAAAATTATTTTCACAAATCAAAATAATAAAGTAATTTAATTATCAATGATGCAAATTATTTGATATCAATTATTAAAATAAAATGTTAGTTAATAATAAAGAATCAATTTTTAATAATCAGTCTGTGAAATTGCTGCAACTGTGTCAGTCCATCATCCTTCAGGAAAACGATGAATAATACGTAATATCCGAAAATAAATAGAAAAAAATAAAGTGCAAAATTATTAGCAAGAAAATGTAATAAATCACAAAAGAATAATTAAGTATCATTAATTCTAACCCGCATCCGTCGGTAAAATTCTGATCGTCATCCTCGATGTCCGGCTCAACGGGATACCCATCTTCATGCCCAATCCCCTTCCAGGGCAGCTGGAACACCGGTTGACTGCTGCTAAACAGCAGTCCGAGACGCTTGGCCACTTTCGCTTCGCTCGTCAACTTGGAAAAATCGCCCAACTTGTTCCGCTCCTCCCAGCACTGCTCCTTACTGCCCTCGTACATCAGACACGTCTTCTCTTTTAACTGGCTGTTGGAGTGTCCGAAGAAGTTGAATTCCCGTCCGTTGACGCGGATCCCGTTCTTCAGCACTGCTTCCACGTATTTGCAGGCTTCTTCGTTGCGATTCACGGTTGGCGCGTTCTCCGTCCTCTCGGCTGGTTTAAAGTGGAGATTCTGGAAGCAGACCGAGAGCAGCATGTCGGGATTGTAGCGTTTGAGGACGCGGTTTAGTTTGGCAAAAGACCAGTTAAGCGTGATCTCCACGGCGGGATAATCCAGCGCGGTGAAGTTGAGACGCCACAGCTGGATTTCCTCGATGGGCTCATCGGGATCTTTCTCTTTCGCTGGCTTCGGTGGATCGCGGAAGTTGCTGATGGAGAGCTTCGTCTCCGATAGATCCTTCTTTACCAAACGCATTTTGAATAGGAATCACAGTTAATCGAGATAAAATAAAAATGTTGAACCTCTCCAAAATCAGTCAGAATCGAGACAAAGAAACGATGCAGTGGAAAAAACACAGCTTAACGGGTAAAATTGCTGTAGTGAATCAACAGTATATCAGCCATCAGAACAGGGAACGTAACGGCCACCGCCTTCAATCAACACACAAAGCCAGAAAGCAAGGCAAAACTCAGCTGCACAGGCGAAAAGTCTGTACTGAATTACTGATAAAGCAGTCTGGTGCAGTCAGAACAGGGAAATACAGGCCACCGCTGTCAATCAACACGTGTGTGCCTGCAATTCGTTAATCAGAAAACTGCGGCTACGGCGTGAAACAACAGAAAACGATGATTTCATATTCATAAGTGGCAACTGTACATTGTAGTATGTAGTGTATACATAAGAAAAACTGCCTTTACCGGCAAAACCAAGCGTGTGCTAGGTTATCGCATAGCACACCGACTGCTGAAATCTGCATGAATGCACGCTGTGCAATCACGAATGATTGCCGATAAACAACAACAGCGGACGAACAAAGAAGTGCAGCGCATGCGCCATCCAGGCCAGCGCCGGATAACAGTGCTGTGCAACCGGCTGCGTTTGATTGGCCGGATGCCGTCAGCGTGACCTCATCGTGATATCATGACGGCCTTATCTGACCGCAGCGCACTGGTTCTTTATTCGCTGACTGGCCGCTTTGCTGCCAGTACTGTAATTGACTTATTTGCTTTCTGGTGGAAGAGCTTTTTTCCTGAGCCTCAGCTGCTGCAAATGCGCGTATTTTCAAAAAATTTAAACATGTTCGTACGTAAATTACATCGTAGAAAAGCCGCAACGGCGCCGTGCACTTTACGTGCCGGTTACAGTCATTTGATATCTTATAAAACTTTTTTTAATATGGATAAGTATACGAAGTGTAGTGATAATTTTAACAAAAAGTATTTACAATAATTAGCTTAATTAGCTGAATATTTAATTGAGCCAATATTACTGAATTAAATGCTAACGAAATTCATAAATAATTATTTTGTAAATTATTAATACTATTTACAGCGCTACCACACGATCTTAGCCGATTTTCTTCAGATGCATTTTATTAGCACTAAAAAATATCACCATGCTTGCAAACAGCATACGCGGCATATTTCCACAATCTGCAGCATCTGCACACCGCGTTGGAAGCTCAATTTATTAATAAATTAATATTAAAACATTTCTTCTCTAAACAAATCATGCTGTTCCAGAATTTTGCATGCACTAACACATCCGAGATTTCTCTAAATAAAACGCTTCATAACTACACAAGAGCGGAAGGCACAGGAACGATTGCCGGAAACCAGGAACCATGCAACCGAATTAAATTCCGAATAAATCACAAAATAAATCCCACCACCGTCTACTCATCAATCATCCAGCCCTCAGCGGGAGCGCCGTCCGGGGCGGCGTGATCATCTGGGAGATTTTCTCGTAGAAGACGAAGGACAGACTGACGGCGGGCACCACCTTGGCTAATGAGGGCGCCAGGCCGCAGTACAGGCCGCGCACCACCCCGTCGCGACGGTACACGTCCCACAGGTAGCCCCACATGTTCTTCTGCGGCGTCTGGATCTGCAGGGCCTCGTAGTCGCCGGCCTGCATGCGGGTGCGAGGGAGGATCAGCGGGTAGGTGGCCACGTGCGCCACTGTCGAGGCTAATGTCCCGCAGGCCAGTAAGATGTACACGGGGGTAGTTGGCCCTGGGTGTGGTAGTGCGCTTTGTACAGCTTCTTCAGCAGACCGTACATCTGCAAGTTATCTGCTTTATTTTATTTTAATTTTATCCAGCTTATTCTTGTTAAGTATATTTATTTTAATTTATTTTAATTCTTTTGATTCACTTTAAATTATTTTAATTGATTTTAATATAATGCAGTTAAAGAGTACTAAGACCAGGTACGCCCAAAAAACGCAAATATAAATTATATAAATTCATGTTACATTAATCTGGGAACAAACTACACCTATTTAAAACTACACTTATTTATCTTTTTCGCTTTGTGTTGTCACTGTTGTGCTTTCTTTAAAATCTTTTCATTTGCTAATGTGTGCACACAAAACTATCTTTAAAACAACTCGTATACGTTAAAGCCATAAGGTTTTGCCACTACTGAAAACACATGAGGACAGTTCCATTAAAGTACGTATAACGGTAAAAGTAATTACAGAAATAATTACGTCATACAAGATGCTGGATTTTTCTGGATCCTTCTCAACAGAAAAGTCTGTTTATTAATAACAAAAAACTGTAATTTGCGTTCAAACTATTTAACAATGCTGCAGCATCCAAGCATAACGAGTGACATGGTCGAATGATTGCTGCGCCACTGCACTACGCTCTCGCCATTTTCCTAGCAATTACCGTACATTAAAGCATGACATCTTGCGGCAGATTCGGCTCACATTTCGGATAAACATATTCAATTATTTTAACAAAATTATTGCAAAACAGCATTTCCCAAAAAAAAAATATTTTCAGAATAATTAACAGCAACAATTATATACCTTATTCAGAGCGGAGCAAATACTTTTCCTTCCTCTTCCCAATTTCCATGTCAAAGAGGCAAATTAATTGAAATAAATTAATCTGCTTAAATCCTACCATTATTTTGCAGCTGATTTTCCCTAGTTTAATAATAATTTGATCATAAATTTGACTAGTTTAATAATTATTTCATATTGAGTTTATTAATAATTATTTGATTAATTGAATATCCGCTGAGTGCACTCACGGCGAAATCCAGGCCCATGGCCGGCACCATGGCGGTGACGCTGACGAAGAATCCGCGGTAGAATCCCGTCAGCCCCGTCTGTTGGTACAGTTTCCCGAAGGCGTCGGTGATCCCGGCGAATTCGCTGCCGAAGGGGCGCTGATTGGCCAGCCGCGTCTGCACGACTTTGAACGGGTAGATGCAGAGGTGCGAGATGAAGCCGGCGATGCCGCCGGCCCAGAAGCGGTCCAGGAAGGAGGAATGGTTGCCCGTCTGGGCCACGTGCACCGCGATCAGGTTCTTCTTGATCTACACCCAACAAGCAAGGGCATCTTTTTATTCTATGCCAGTGTAATCGTTCCCACAGCTAAAACACACTGACAGGCGACAAAATTAGAATTAATTAATCCAATATTACCATCAAATGTCTTCCAGTATATCAAAATAATTAAGCAAATGAATTTTATTCCTACATTTCAAAAAACGTGCAATAAATTATTAAACAACAAGAACATTACTGACTCAAACTCAATCAATAATATTTTATTTTAATATAAAGTATTTATTAATCTTGAATATGGTGGACAGCGTGTTATATTTTATTTTATATACCTCGTACATAAACACTGTCATTGAATATCCGTAAATTTATTCTACATGTGGCTAGAAAAAGTAATGGTCAAAATAATTACATTATATGAGCCATCAAATCAACGCTGTACCGATTTCCAATCAAACACAAGGACAGACTAACACATGTTTCGCCACTTCACTACATTCACCCTTGCACACTAGTTTCCCATTTTACAGTTCTGTACTTACGCTTGTTTGGTCAGAGTTTAAAAATCCGAGCAACGCCAATTTCGAGGATTTTTATTTCGCACAAACGCAGCCTAATCGCAATAATTCACAGCTACGAAAACAATTTGCAAAACAAACATAACAAGTAATTTATTATTTAACAAAGCGCAGGAAACGAAGAAGGACAGCAAAATGTTTTTTTCTCTTATTTTTTGAACATGGACGGGATTTTTCCCGATGAGATACAGTGTCACAATTTCAATCAGGTTATCCAGATATTTTTCACAAATTGACTTTGCTTGTAGTAGAAGTTAAAAAATTACCGGGTATGCCAAAATTTTTACACGACAAATAAGGTAATACTGCATGAATATTGAATATCGACATGATAGAACATCCAGTTTCGCCTTTACTCTACGCTATCTCTCTATCATATCACGGTATGCTTTAACTACGCCGTATTTGAAAAGCAAGACACCCCTAATTACACCCCTAATTATCTCGACGAGAAAGTTATCAAGGAAAAAAAACGGTAAAAAAATGCGAGAACAGCGTAATGTGTCTGCACAGTGTACCTCTTCATAGACGGCGAACTTGAGCGCCACCTCCGGGACAATCTTGACCAGACTGATGTCCAGCCCGCGGAAGAGCCCCACCCGCCAACCCAGCTCCGTGACGAAGGTGCGGACGGTGGAGGACATGCTGGCGAAGCGCGGGTCGTAGGGGAAGAGCAGCATGGCGGTGCGGGTGCGGTCGAAGGGGTGCGTCAAGAGACGGGCCCCCGCCCCCGCCAGGCCCCCGGCGATCTATATGAACAGCAGCCGTGCACGCGAAATTGCGGGAAAATCGATTTACGCACGTCTGTGTCACAACCGGCATTACATTACATTTTAAATTAATAATGCATTTTAAAGAAACTACTGTAGCTGCGCACGTTGATGGAATGCGCGAATTAAAATTTAAAAATTAAAAATGACTGGTAAAATAACAGAATGAATATTAAACTGCATAATGGATATCTTAATAAATTCATATGAAATTACTTAGTAAATAATAAATAAATTTATCAGTAAATCACCAAACATTTAAATTACTTCAAGCATTCATTTATTACGAAAAATCTCAATACCAATAATATTTGCATACACTTGTGTTGCAATCTGCAAGTGAAATCAAATACGAACAGAAGTACTGGTATTAAAATTAAAATGACAGGTGGCAGTCTTGCTGACCCTTACAAAAATAATGCAAAATAATTATACCGTAATCTTAAATAAAAAAAAACAATAAACAAGCAAAAAATAATAAAAAATAGAAATAATTATTAAATATTTAAATGTCAATGAAATTCGATTAGAAAAAATTCCAATAAAAATTACTCAGTTTAATACAGGCGGAAGGATACGGCAGCCCGTCTTACCAAGTGGCGCGTGCGCGGGGAGGTGAGGTAGGACCAGTAGGAGTGGGCGCCCTCGGCGTAGGGATGCGTCTTGCTGATGATGGCGGGGATGGGGACGGAGCCCCGGCCCGTGTCCCCAAAGGGCCGCTCCCAGTGCTGCTCATCGTCCACGGGGGCCGCCGGCGGGAGGTCCGGGAGGAGGTCCAGGGGAGGGGTGGCCCCCGGGGAGATCCGCAGCAGGTCCAGCCGGGATTTCTCCGCGGCGTCCTTGTCCTTGTTCGACATGCAGACAACCCACAAAAACAGCGATCAAGAAGCACTCTTCACTTCTGCAGTCCGGAACTCACAAAAAAATAAATCGACAAATTCATGTTGAAACACGAATGAAACAAACTGCTGAATCGGCGATTCGGCGCCTGCTGAAATCAGGCAGTGCATGCAGCGGACGATTGCACAAACCGTACATTTCACAAAGAAAATGCAAAGCTGCGAAAAAACTAAAAAAACAACAGAAATTTGCAACGAAGTTGACAAGAAACGGAAGAGAGAAAGCCTGCAAAGAAAACAAGCTGTTCCTGTATTCGTAGACTAGACTGTAGAATTCCATTTCGACACAGCAAAGTGCAGCGCACGAGGGCGGTCGTGCAGTCGACTAGCAACTAGCCGAGTGATTTCCATTACCGACTGTGGAATTGGATGCACATTCCACGCAGCCTAATCGGTCGCCCATCAGCGCGCACAAACTCGTTTTCCAAACCGTTTTCACAGCTGCGCAACTTTTCGTTTGTTGATGTTTTCGTTTTGTTTTGACGTTTTAGTTTTTAAATTTTTAACGCTTTTATTTACTAGTTAGTTGTCGCGAGTTGTTGACTTGCTGGCCGTTGGACAAGAAGCAGCAGTTAGTGGTTCGGGACGTTGATACAGGGAATTGTGAGCTACAGCGTTTTAGCAGAGAGTTACTGAAAGGAGCGAAGATGTCCAAAGCCCATCGCGCCATCCAGGAAGCCCAGCATCAGGGCCGCCGCGATCTGGACCTGGTGGATAAATCGCTCCTCAACTTCAGCGAAATCCCTCAAGTCTGTAAGTGCCGCGGGGGTGAAGCGTGTGCGCCGTGAAGCGCAGCAGGAGCAGTGGAGTGTGGTGTGAATGTGCATCGCTCCTTATATGGCCATGCTGTGTTTACTCTGCTTACCAAACTGCATTCTGCGCGACTGATGTCGTAACGTGGTCTGGTTTATGGTTATTTGGATTTATCGATGAATTTTTTCTTGCAGTGTCCATGCAGCAGTTGGTGCGCCTGAATCTGGCCCATAATAAACTGAAAAGTACGTTGCTGTTCAATCAATACCCGATTCTGATTACTGTATGCTGAATGCTGATTTATACCCAGTAAGCGTAGTGTAGTGGCATAATCCCGGAGAGTTGTGTGGAGAGTCGAGACTAATCGCTAATAAAAATGGGGTTAGCACTTAGCAGAATATTCGACGCTGATAATAAATTAATTTTTTTTAATTTCTTTCTTCTTGTACCAGTGATACGATACTACGTCTGTAAATTCGCAACAACAGCTGAAATTGTTCTGAATATTATAGCGCTTATTTAAGTACTTCTAAAAATTATTTGAATTATTAAAATAAAATTAGAAATTAATTTTCATTAATTCTACAATAAATTCTAACTTCAAAATAGTATGGTGCTTTCTGTGTTGTCGTTTTATCTTACTGTTAAGTATTTACTGGGTTTGCTCTACTTCTTCCCCTTACGTTTACTTAATTTTGACTGAAATTATCTCTGTACGATTCGCTCATGTTGTCGGCAGGTGTTCCGCCGGCCATCGCGGATCTGGTGAATCTGGAGAGTCTGAATTTATACAACAATCACATTGAGGTAACTACATAAACATGACATAACGCGGTTGTCTATTTCACGATCACTGATCGTTGCAGGAGCTGCCGACGTCCATTTCCGGTCTGCAGCGTCTGCGCATCCTCAAACTCGGGTCAGTCGCCTCTCTCCGCCGTCGATGTCAGCACACCGTGAATTTAAAATAATTTCTCTGATAAAGAATAGACTAATTAAAACCTCCAGTATTTATAGCAATAATTATTTATAGTTATTAATCACTTAATTATTAATCTGCTTAAGAATAATTTTGTAATTACTGTAATAATTTTTTCTGATTGCTAATAAATGACCTGTGTGTTATTCAGTTTGACAACAACGTCTGGAATAAATTTTATAAAATGGTAACAACGTCTGGTAACTGGACATGCTACTACCAGTACGGTTAGGCACATTTTGAAAATCTAAGTACAAGGAACTCATCTGATGCGCACTGTCTTAAAGAACGTTAGCTTTTACAGGCATGTTGACGGGGACGCGACGGAGTGTTTGGAGGCTTGGATCACGCGCGTTCATGAACTGAAGGAACAGTACAACTTGAAGGATAGCCGTTATCCGACCATTCCTCATGGACGTCAAGCTGTGAGAAATTTATCGCGTTTTATTAACTATATTTGCCATTATTTGGCCATGATTACTGTTTTCCTGTTTCTTAGTAGACTGAGACCAATGTTCAGTGCCGGCTTTGAGCTGCCGTCGACAGTCTCAAGTTTTTATGGACACTTCAAGAGAAAGAAGAAAAACGCTTGCGTGAAAAAAGGAACCCGCTATCCCGATAAGTTAAAAGGTTCCCAGTTTGAGGATCTACTCCCGTATGCTAGAACGTCCGTAGGCCGTAGCCTTACTTCAAGCCGTGCGGAACTGTCCACTTCAACCACAATTAAATTTGAACTGCAACGAAAGCTTCTGTATCTCAACGCGATCAAGGCCAAGATCAGTGAACTGTAGAAAAAGGAGGTGGTAGAAGAAAAAATTAATTTTGAATTGAAACGTGATGTTAAAAATGCGATTGGGTTGTGTAATATGGTAAAATTCGAAGCCCGTTGTGAAGGATACGCAGCGCTGAATGTAGTCGATAAATCCAAGCCGTATTTTTTATTGTTCGACCTGATCAAGGGCATGCTTGCTCTGAGTCGGGGTGCCACAAAATGTGATTATTAGTTTCAATAAAGATGGTTTTAGTTAGATTTTTAGAATGAATTGTGAGTTAAGAGTTCGAATAACACATGTGCTGAACGATTTACCGGTGAAACAGCGCTCGCGCTCGGTGAAAGAATGTGGTTAACAACCACCACTAGTTTATGGTTATTGGGATTTATCAGTGAATTTTCTCTTGCAGTGTCCATGCAGCAGTTGGTGCGCCTGAATCTGGCCCATAATAAACTGAAAAGTACGTTGCTGTTCAATCAATACCCGATTCTGATTACTGTATGCTGAATGCTGATTTATACCCAGTAAGCGTAGTGTAGTGGCATAATTCCGCTGAGCTGTAGTGGAGGGTAATCGCTAACAAAAATGGGGTTAGCCGATTATTCGACGCTGATAATAAATAAACTTTTTTTATTTCTTTTTTCTTGTACCAGTGATACGATACTATGTCTATAAATTCGCAAAAACATCTGAAATTGTTCGGAATATTTTATCGCTTATTTGAGTACGTCTATAGGTTGTTTAAATTGTTAAAACAAAAATTAAAAATTAATTTACATTAATTCTCCGACAAATTTTAACTTCAAAATAGTATGGTGCTTTTTGTGTTATCGTTTTGTCTTTATTGTGAAGTGGTTTAATGGGTGTGCTCTACTTCTTCCCCATACGTTTACATACTTAATTGACTAACATTATTAGTGTGTGATTGGCGCATGTTGTGGGCAGGTGTTCCGCCGGCCATCGCGGATCTGGTGAATCTGGAGAGTCTGAATTTATACAACAACCACATTGAGGTAACTAGACAAACATGACATAACGCGGTTGTCTATTTCACGGTGACTGATCGTTGCAGGAGCTGCCGACGTCCATTTCCGGTCTGCAGCGTCTGCGCATCCTCAAACTCGGGTCAGTCGCATCACTCCGCATCAGCACACCGTGAATTTAAAATAATTTCCCTTATAACGAATAAACTAATTAAAACCTCCAGTAATTATAACAATAATTATTTATATTTATTAATCAGTTAATTATTAATCTGCTTAATAAGAATAATTTCTGTAATTACTGTAATGATTTTTCTGATTGCTAATAAATGTATAAAGTATTCATTGGTAATAAGAATAATTTATTTCTGATAATAAATAGTATTAATCGGTTAATTATTAATCTGCTTAATAAGAATATTGATTTAATAATTGTAATAATTTATAATAATTGTTTAATTCGATTAGATTGAACCGGTTGTGGAGTCTGCCGCGGGGTTTCGGCGCCCTGGCCAGTCTGGAGATCCTGGATCTGACCTACAACAATCTCAACGAGCGCGTCCTGCCCGGCAACTTCTTCATGATGGGCACGCTGGCTTGTCATTTTTCGCTGCCTCCTGCGTCTAAGAAATGACATATTACGCTTTGGCTTGTAGAAACGCTGCGCGCACTGTATCTGGGCGATAACGACTTCGAGATGCTGCCGGCGGAAATCGGCCAACTGCACAACCTGCAAATTGTACGCCACGCCGAATAAGCATTCCTTCAGTTATTTTTTAGCAATTTGTTGGGATTTTGCTAACTGTTTATGTCTTTTCTGATTTATTTTTGTATGTGCTGATTTATCTAGGCAGTTTCATATTTGTGTGTGTATATGTATGTTTTCTTATATGGTTCTTTAATAGTAACGCATTTTATGGTTTCTTGATGCATTTCTGATTTTTTTTATGCATTTTGTTCCTTCCACCACTACGAAGGAATCGCATATTTATCTGGATATTTCTCAAATTTATTTTTGATTTATTTATCGGTTGTGTATAGTTGGTGCTGCGCGACAACGACCTGGCCAGTCTGCCGAAGGAGGTGGGCCAGTTGAAGAATCTACGGGAGCTGCACATCCAGGGCAACCGGCTGCAGCTCCTCCCGGCCGAGATCGGTGCGTATAATGCGTCAGATTCCTTTATTTCGCCATGACTGCATTATCGGTATCTGCGTTGCAGGCAATCTGGACTTGGTGGGCCCGCGGCAGCTGTTCCGGCTGGAGGACAATCCCTGGATCAACCCCATCGCCGAGCAGCTGCAGATCGGCACGCAGCACCTCCTCGACCTCCTCCGCTCCGTCAACTATCAAAGGTCACTCGGGTTTTTCTCTGATTTATTTTGCAATTTTGATTTCGACGGCTGTTTTTAGCTGAATTTATCCTTATTTATTTCTCCACCGGTGTTCCTCAATTTGTTTGCTCTTTAGTTGCTGGTCATTTTTACTGCAATTTTTGTTGCATTTATTTCTTGGTCGTCTTTTGCTGAGATTATTTTCCATGAATTTCGCGGTCGGTTTGGTTTGAATTTTTTCCACTTATTTTACCGTTATTTGTGTTTGTTGTTTTTAAAATTTCTTTCAAAGTAATTTTTTTCCTAGGATTTAGTATTATTTTTTTTCACAGTTTACTTCACCGTTTTTCAGTTAATCCCATGGACTTTTTTTCTGAATTTGTTTTTCTTTGATTTAACGACAGCTTGATTCTTTGATTTGATTGATTTTTCGATTGATTGATTGATTCTTTGATTTCATTACAGAATTTATTTTGTTAGCAGCCGTTTTACTAGAAACCGTCGTTGCGTTGTTTTTCATCCTTGAAAAATGAATGAATAATAATACTAGAAAAAAATAATTTTATTTTTTTGAAAATAAAGTTATTTTTCTGGAATACAACTGATTCTTTTTTATTTTTTACAGCATTTCTTCGCGGCATCTGCAAGCGGGCGCGGCCATCCCGCCGGGGATGCAGGATAAATCGCGCAAAGAGAGCCGCCGCAAAGACTGAATCCCCGCCAAGAAAAGCAGCCTTCTCGCATCCTTTTTTTTCTCTTTTACGACTTTTTTTTCCTCCTTGACTAACGCAGACGTGCTCGTGGGAAATTGTGCATTTTACTCCTTGAATTTTTTAATTTTATCTGTTTAAAAAACTGTTAATAATTCTGCAGCTTATTGTTTTGAAAATGTTATTTTTAACTTTTATTCTGGTTTGTTTTGTGATTGTACCGGTGACGGTGTGTGGAATGTGAAAAAATGTCGGCAGCTATCCCTTTTTGCTCAGTGAATATTTTGTGCCTAATAAACAGTCGATTTCTAGTAAATGCATAATTATGTGCATTTATTTATTTCTGAGTTCCGAATAATCCAGATTTATATGCGGAATTATTCGAGATTATCAAAGTGATCAGAATAATAATTCTTCTATGGAAAAATAGGAAAATATCAAATAAATCTAAAATAAATAAATACAGTAATATAATTTATAATACATAAATAAATTTATTTATTGTCATTCCCGAGTAATCAACATTTATGTGCGAATTATTCGAGAATAAAAAATTTTCGGATTAATAACTGCTCTACGGGAAAAAGGAAATAAATGTGCTAGTTTATTCTGTTATTTATTTAGGCGTAATTTATACACGTTGTGCTCAATATGGCTTAACAGAAAATAAGAAAAATTTAAAAATCAAAAAACGACCTAGAATCTGCAAATACACTTTTACAAAAACAAAATCGCATTGGCAACGTAAAAACAAGAGGAAATCGAAGAAACAGTTAGTGTTTGCCCGGCACAAGGGACAGGAACGCCGGAAGTTAACAAAACAGGTCACGCCCACGGTGACCTTTAGAGATGCTGCAACGCGCTTCCTTTGTGGGGCAGGAACATCTCCATGTTGTTGTTTAATGAGCGGTTGCCGCTGACTTCCGGCTCGCAGGTACAGCCCGACTCCACCAACACGTAGTCCTGCCCGAAGATCGACACCGGGCCTGCAAAAAGGATACATACACTCGCACTGCAGCACAATTGTAATTAATTCCAAATATTTCCATCATATATATACAGCATCAGCATACTTGATATTCCACAATTTTTAATTGGTTTCCTTCGTGTTCAGCAACAATGATTACATACTACGGTTACAAATTCCAAAAACTGTATTTATACTGTATTTCCGGCCGAAATATTGTCATTTATACTGTATTTCCGGTCGAAATATTTGATATTTAATCTGGAAAATTTTTTGATGTTTTTCTGGAATAATAAAAACTTTGTTTATTTAGGCGTGGTATTCAGTCATTGACGTGAACCACCACAAATGAAAACAATGATTGATACCGGCTCTAGCATATCGGAAACGGAAAATTTCGTTATTTTATTTTGTGAACTTGAATAAATGCAGCGATTAATCCAGCTGCGGCTGACGTACCGGGCGGGTGCGTTATGAGCAGGTAGGGACTGAAGGTCTGCTTGCACGCTCCGTTCAAATAATAACACCGCGACTGCCTGTAAGACATGGGAAAAATAAATATCCGTTTTAAAGATTAAATTCCGGTCAATTTTTTTATGGCGCACTTGCACTTGGTGTAGGTGATGGTCTGGATGAACAAGCCGGGATACTGCGCGATCCATACCGTCTCGCCCGAGGTGGCGGAAGTGGCGTTGATGGGCGTCACCACGTCCGAGGTCGTCTCGCACATCGTATTAGGCAAATCATAACACCTGCCATATTCCCCAAAAACTCCACAATTTTGGCACATTTTTTGGTAATAGATGTTACATGTGAGTGCTTAACCATTTATTAAACGCAGTTGCGCAGCTAAAATAAATACAAAACAATTAACGCAGTAATATTATATATTTTGTTTACTATATATTTTGTTTATTAATAACGCTATTATTTTGTTTATTTGAATGGATTTTTATTAATTGTGCCGAGTTGTGCCGAGTTAATATTTAGTATCACATCCGGCGCTATAAATCTCTTAGCATTCGTCTACGACCATACCACGTAGAAAACTCCCGATCCCGTTCGATCTCGGAAGATAACCTACGTCGGGCCCGGTTAGTACTTGGATGGGTGACCGCTTGGGAACACCGGGTGTTGTAGACTTTTTGCCTTTTAACTAGACGGCTTTTTGGCCTGTTAGCTAACTAAACTTAATTTATTTATATTTTGTTTAATAATAACGCTAATGTAATAGTATTTAAATGGCTTTTTAATAATTGTGCCGGGTTGATTCGGCAACACATCCGGCGCTATAAATATCTAAGCACTCGTCTACGACCATACCACGTAGAAAACTCCCGATCCCGTTCGATCTCGGAAGATAACCTACGTCGGGCCCGGTTAGTACTTGGATGGGTGACCGCTTGGGAACACCGGGTGTTGTAGACTTTTTTGCCTTTTAACTAGACGGCATTTTAGCCTGTTAGCCAGCTATACTTAATTTATTAATTACGCTAATGTATTAATGTTTAAATGGCTTTTTATTAATTGTGCCAGGTTGATATTCGGCACAACCGGCGCTATAAATATCTAAGCACTCGTCTACGACCATACCACGTAGAAAACTCCCGATCCCGTTCGATCTCGGAAGATAACCTACGTCGGGCCCGGTTAGTACTTGGATGGGTGACCGCTTGGGAACACCGGGTGTTGTAGACTTTTTTGCCTTTTAACTAGACGGCTTTTTGGCCTGTTAGCTAACTAAACTTAATTTATTTATATTTTGTTTAATAATAACGCTAATGTAATAGTATTTAAATGGCTTTTTAATAATTGTGCCGGGTTGATTCGGCAACACATCCGGCGCTATAAATATCTAAGCATTCGTCTACGACCATACCACGTAGAAAACTCCCGATCCCGTTCGATCTCGGAAGATAACCTACGTCGGGCCCGGTTAGTACTTGGATGGGTGACCGCTTGGGAACACCGGGTGTTGTAGACTTTTGCCTTTTAACTAGACGGCTTTTGGCCTGTTAGCTAACTAAACTTAATTTATTTATATTTTGTTTAATAATAACGCTAATGTAATAGTATTTAAATGGCTTTTTAATAATTGTGCCGGGTTGATTCGGCAACACATCCGGCGCTATAAATATCTAAGCATTCGTCTACGACCATACCACGTAGAAAACTCCCGATCCCGTTCGATCTCGGAAGATAACCTACGTCGGGCCCGGTTAGTACTTGGATGGGTGACCGCTTGGGAACACCGGGTGTTGTAGACTTTTTGCCTTTTAACTAGACGGCTTTTTGGCCTGTTAGCTAACTAAACTTAATTTATTTATATTTTGTTTAATAATAACGCTAATGTAATAGTATTTAAATGGCTTTTTAATAATTGTGCCGGGTTGATTCGGCAACACATCCGGCGCTTTAAATATCTAAGCACTCGTCTACGACCATACCACGTACAAAACTCCCGATCCCGTTCGATCTCGGAAGATAACCTACGTCGGGCCCGGTTAGTACTTGGATGGGTGACCGCTTGGGAACACCGGGTGTTGTAGACTTTTTGCCTTTTAACTAGACGGCTTTTTGGCCTGTTAGCTAACTAAACTTAATTTATTTATATTTTGTTTAATAATAACGCTAATGTAATAGTATTTAAATGGCTTTTTAATAATTGTGCCGGGTTGATTCGGCAACACATCCGGCGCTATAAATATCTAAGCATTCGTCTACGACCATACCACGTAGAAAACTCCCGATCCCGTTCGATCTCGGAAGATAACCTACGTCGGGCCCGGTTAGTACTTGGATGGGTGACCGCTTGGGAACACCGGGTGTTGTAGACTTTTTTGCCTTTTAACTAGACGGCTTTTTTGGCCTGTTAGCTAACTAAACTTAATTTATTTATATTTTGTTTAATAATAACGCTAATGTAATAGTATTTAAATGGCTTTTAATAATTGTGCCGGGTTGATTCGGCAACACATCCGGCGCTATAAATATCTAAGCATTCGTCTACGACCATACCACGTACAAAACTCCCGATCCCGTTCGATCTCGGAAGATAACCTACGTCGGGCCCGGTTAGTACTTGGATGGGTGACCGCTTGGGAACACCGGGTGTTGTAGACTTTTGCCTTTAACTAGACGGCTTTTGGCCTGTTAGCTAACTAAACTTAATTTATTTATATTTTGTTTAATAATAACGCTAATGTAATAGTATTTAAATGGCTTTTTAATAATTGTGCCGGGTTGATTCGGCAACACATCCGGCGCTTTAAATATCTAAGCACTCGTCTACGACCATACCACGTACAAAACTCCCGATCCCGTTCGATCTCGGAAGATAACCTACGTCGGGCCCGGTTAGTACTTGGATGGGTGACCGCTTGGGAACACCGGGTGTTGTAGACTTTTTTGCCTTTTAACTAGACGGCTTTTTTGCCCGTTAGCCAGCTATACTTAATTTATTTATGTTTCGTAAATTATTATTTACGCAAGTGTCATTAATTAAAATAGCTTTTTAGTGATTGTGCCAGGTTGATTCGCCATCACATCCGGCGCTACAAATACAGTACTGTATCAAAGCTTTCGTCTACGACCATACCACGTACAAACTCTATAATGATGATACTATACAGGAATGCGAAGTTTTCATAATAAGAATTCAGAACACAAATCAACCGTCATGCCGAACGGTTCGACGTGTGTGAGTTATCTCCATGGGTCACTGCGAGATAAGGCTGCGCTTATGGATTGGATGCACGGAACCGTCAACACATGCCCACTTTAAGGCAACGTTGCATAAGTTTGCCTTATCGTAAATCTACTCTCGACTAGATTTACGATTCGGCATCGTTGACTTATCCATGCAGGCTGCAGTTGTTTTACGTGCCGTACGCAGTTTCATCTATGGATAATTGAATACCTGAGCTATCATTAAAAATAACTTCCGCCGTTATTGCGAATCTTCATTATCTAATTAAAGCACTATTTCAGTGACTTCTTATTACGACAATAATTAAGTTCGTAGTCGATTCAGTTAAGCAAATTAATTAATGCTAATTCACACAAATATGTCATGTAGATGTTTTGGCTACTCTGATGTCGCGTAGTTGCAAAAAGTTCTTTACCTTCACGTGCTTTCAAATTAAATAAGAAGTAAAATTTTACGTTCTTTATACAGTGTTCCCCGTACGGAATGATACGTATGATTTACCGTAAGTTTGAGCGTTCAAGTATCGCAGCCGTCACAGTTGCTGCGTTATCGCATTATTGGCTGTTTTTTTGTGCATCATTTGAGATTACTCACGCGTTCGTTGACGATGGATAAGTCGAACTTATGTTTCGGCATCAACTTTGAATTCTATTAATACTGTGGTATTAAAATTAAATCGTGAGCGTTTAAAAAAAATAGCGTACGTACTACTTTACTTGAGTTAATAATAAGTAGAATAAACTTGAATAAAATACTAGTTTTGAAAATTGCAGAGTAATTAAGCAATCAGCACCACAAAAAGTGCTAAAATAAAACAATTGCAAAAACACAGTAGATATCTGAAATGGTTTAAAAAACAGAGTATACAAGTCGAAAACAGAGAACAACTCGAAAAATTTAATAGTATAATAGTTTACAAAATAATGAAATACACATAAAACGTATGTTACAGAAATGGCATTATTATTAGTTTAAAAAATCCCAAAAATGTAACAAAGGTAGCAAATACAGTGAAATACTTTTAAAAACATTAAAAATTATAATGAATAACCATATATACAAAAGTGTCATAAAATGCTTGTTAAAAAAATAGCACCATATTCCTACATAAAAAATATAAAAAGCAACCGTATTTTTAAAAAATGTTAAAATAATCATACGCACAAAAGATGTGTAGACAAAAATAGTTGATTACTCGTACATACAAAAATGTGATAAAACAATATTTTTAAAAAAAATAGTACTCATTCTAAAAAACAAGAAAAATTCGGGGAAAAAAGTATATAAAAAAAATTCGCGGAAAAAAGAATATAAAAAAGTATATTTCAAAAAGTATATAAAACAAGGAGTTTCCGCACCCTTTTTCCGTACACAGCTGGTCATCTTTTCTGGCCATACGTAACTGCCGCCCGGTGTCCAATAATTCCCGCATGTCGGCGTGCACCTCCAGCAGGGATTTGGGGATGGCGTCCATATTGGCCGGGAAGGGGAAGTTGGCCGGCGGACCGCCGCCCGCGCTGCGCTCCTGCCGCGCCATCTGCAGACAGTTAAGGTCAACCTGCCCCGTGATATACTGCAGATGCGCCGGCTTAATACAGGCCTCCACACTGGCCTGGCAACCAACCGGAAATGACCACCAGTACGTTATTAACACGGTGAAAATACGCATTTCGATGGTGGATTAAATGAGGATTTTTCGAAAAATTGTCGGAGTGTTGACGGATGCTGTTGGCGTGAGAGCGTGGCGTTTGATGCGCGCGCACAGATTCGTATTACTTTATTAGCCGCGGGCGCATCCTGACATTTGCGCTGTCATTTCAGTAGAAATTTTTTGTCGCTTGTTTTCCCCGCGGAAAAATGACCGCTACGCAATTTTCTTGTCACTGAATTGTTTTTTTTTAAATGTCAAGAACAATTTTATTTTTTAATCATTTAATATTTTTTAAATGTAATTCCGCAGGTTGTAATTTAATTAATTTTGTTTGAACTTCAGTTCTCTTATTCTGATTTTTATTGCACTAAATTAGAAAAATTGTTTTAGAAAAAATATTTAAATGTTTCCTAAGTTTTGTTTCTTGGATTTTGTTGTTGTTGCAATGTTTATTCGATCAAAATAAGGTTGTTTCGAAATTTCGAAAAATTAAAAAAAACGTTTTTAGGCTGTAATTTTTATCTTGGTTTTGATTTCTATCGCAGTATTTCTTATTCGAAATTAAGTGATTGGAATAAAAATTTAGAAAATTAGAAAACAAGCCTGTTCTCAAATTGTCAATTTATTTATCTTGGTTTTCATTACACTATTTGCTAAAGCAAAAGAAATAAAACAAATATTCAAAAATTAAAAAGATAAATTTTTTTGGACTCTATTTGTGTCATCCTTGATTTTTGTTGGAGCATTTATTCGAGAAAAATAACGTGACTCGTCAGAAATTAAAAAAATAAAATTGAAAAATAATTTTTATTTAATTTTTATAAATCTTTTCCCATTTGTGTGCATTGATAAAGGTTTTATTGGGCGCACAGTGCGCTGCTGTGTGTCGCGACGAATAAAATCCAGTAGAAACAGTGAACGCTCCGTGTTGCGCCACAATCAAAGTGAAAAATGGGCTAAAAAACGTAATAATTAATTAACTGACTGGCGACACAATCCACGCACCGTCAAAATCACCAGTCACCGTTAAAAACACAAACGCCTAGACACTGATGCGCGCAAAAACAAGAGAAACACACCCGGAAAAACGCCGCGGTTAAAACGAAAAACACATTTATTCCGACCATTCAGTGCAGTAAAAATTCACATTAATTTCCCCGCCAAAAGAATCCCTTCCCGCGCATCCGCCCCAAATGACACCCTGCAATCCAGAAAAATAAAAAAAATTTCAAAAACAACAATTATTAAATATTTCATAAGTCATGTCATAATACGAGAGTCTGATTTGTCGCAATGTCAAAAATTAAACCAGCATCAAAAACACAGCTACGTAACAAAACGAAGATAGCAATTTATTTTCAAAAGTAATAAAATATGAATTCCATTACGCGATTAAATTACAATTTCGATTCGCGTTAAATACCTGAATTTTTGCAAATTCAGCTGGAAATCAATCAGTAAAATAATTTATTTTTTCCAGAATAAATATAATTTAATTTTTCAATCAGCATAAACAGAAGCTAATTAAAATTTAATTTGCATTTCAAACGAGGAAAAAAATTAAAATTTAAGAGTAAATACAACACAATTCAATTGTCAATTTAATATGCGACGGACTAATTCAGCAATAATTCAGGTTACTGAAATGCGTTCCAAAAATGTAAAAAAACACAAACAATTTAATAAATAAAATAAATAAAACTTAACTTCGAATCCAATAGTCGACTGATGAATCCGGCAATAATTCACATTATTAAAACGATTATTTAAAAATGTACAAAACGAAAAAAAAATTTTAAACTATAATTAGGAATCAAACTGAAATTCCAATGCAACTTGTAAAGAATTGGTTTAATAATTCTAATAATTCAATTTTAAATAATAGTTTTAAAATAATCGGCAAATTAATTCGGCAAAATAAATCAGGCTGTCAAAACCCTCTTTTAAAAATGCAGAGAAAGTGCAAAAATTGTGCAAAATTGATCTAAAAAGAAAAAAATCGAACTGCCAACGTAATATTCGGCTGATTAATTGGTAATTGGGCAATACTTTTAATTATTTACCGGCGAACGAAGCCCAGCGCCTTAGTCGTGCATCTTGTGGTTGGACGGGAGGTTGTACTTGACGTAGGGCACCTCCACGTCCTCCCCCTCCAGATCGTTGCAGCACACCTCGAAGACGAGGGAGCGCACGTGCGGCTCGATCTTGCGCCGACTGATCTTGCGCACCAGCTCCGTCATCTTCCAGTCCATGCGCTCCAGGGCGCGCTCCTTGGGCAGGAAGAACGAGTACAGCATCGACACGCCCTGACTCAGCATCGTCACTTCCAACTGATACTTCTCCTTGAACATGTTCAGGAACTCCTTCAGCGTCATGTCCCCCTCCACCTCGAACCGGTCCCACAACGTCCATTGCTGAGCGAACAAAAATCATCCGATTAATCCTCGCATTCAGCGAATATCACAATAATTTAACATATAATTATCTAACCGGATTTTTTCGACCAATTTATTTAAATTTTAATTTTTTTCACTTGGAAAAATATTTCATTAGAATTATTTTTCCCATTGCAGATCCTTTACATCGCTCATATAATAATAAAACCACCAAAATACAGCAATAAAACTGTAAAAAAACATGCAACAGAAACGAGAATTCAAGCAAAATTCAAACAAAATAACAGTAATTTATACTGTAATTTATTACAACAATAACACGCGAAAATGCATTCAGCAATTTAATGCACAGCAATTTAACAGACATTTTTTCTGGGTTTATCTGGGTATTTTAATTTCTTATTCTGGGAACATTTTCGTCATTAAAGATCCTTTAAAACTTATTCAAATGTATACACCATAATTTTTAACAAGTAAAACCATAAAACAGGATTTTAATTTTTTATTTTGGAAACATTTTCGTCATTAAAGATCCTTCAAAACTTATTTAAAAGTATACATCATAATTTTTAACATGTAAAACCATAAAACACATTCCTGCAGAATAGCCACAAAATCATCAAATCCTTTTTCAAATATTTTTAATAATAAATTTCGCTGCATTTTTGTATGTAATTTTTCCAGTATTAATGTAATGTTAATAATACACCATAAATGTAATAAAAAAAGTACAAATCCGGATGAAAATAATTTACCGTGGATCCGTAGGAGTTTTTGGGCGCCGGCATGGGCTCACTGAAGCCGAAATAGGGCAATGCCAGGTTGACGAAGGAATTCTTGTACTTGGCCAGATCCGCGTGGCCCTGCAGGATTTTGTATAATTCCAGACAGGCCAACCCGACCACCAGCGACGTCGTGGTGGCGATGGCCGGGATGATTTTCCCCGCGATCAGCTTGGACTTGTGCCGATCCGCCGGGGCAATGTCGTAGTTCTCCGCGCGCAGGTTGGACGTGGCCACGATAAAGTCCATGTGGAAGTTGGTGTCGTCGTCCTTCTCAAACTCTATCGGCTTCATGTGGAATCCCGAGCCTAAAAAAATCGGCGAAATTTTTAACCATTGAAGAAAAAATTATCTTAAAAACACCGAAAAATTCCCAGACAATATTAAAAAAACTCAAAAATTATCCAGCAAGAAAAAGAATCATCCTGAAAAAACATCCAGCAAAATGAAAAATTATCCAGCAAAATGAAAAATACTACAAAGCACAAACCATAAAATTAAGCCAGGAAAAAATTTCCAGCAAAACATATCTTACAAACAGAAGAAATTTCCAGGAAAAATAAAACAGCATAATAATTATTACAAATTATCCCGGGAAAGATTATAATTAAAAACTTATCATGTCCAGAAAAAAAACAACAGAAAATTACCTTCACAATACTAACAAGAGAATTAAGGAAAAAATTCTTGCAAAATCAATGAAAAATCCCCAGGAAAATCTCTAGCAACATGACAAAATTATTCAAATATCCAAAAAAATGCAGGAAAAATTGTGTAGTTACCTTTGAGGGAGGCGGGCGGCGGGAGCGCGGCGGCCAGCTCCTCGACGTGGCCGTGCTCGACGCTGGCGGCCTCGGCGGCCTGCTCGGCCTCGGTGGTGGCGATCTTGAGGCCCTGCTTGGGCTTGAAGGCCGCCACGGGGATCCGGCCGGCCAGCTCGTGCAGCTCCTTGGGACTGAGGTTGCGCGGCAGCCCGTACATCTCCGCCTTCAGACTGGCCGCCGCGATCACAAAGCCCAGGTGCATCGGGTTATCCGCACTGAACTCCACTACAAAACACACAGCAATTAAACACCCAATTTTGGCAAAAATACTGTACAACAGATATACTGCCAACAAATTGCACAAAAAAAATTCATTTAAAAATTAGGAATACAACAAAATAAAAAGTTTAATAACAAATACATACAAATAAACAGGAAAATATACACGCATAAAATAATTAATGAAAAACAAATTAAAAACAAATAGACAATAATTCAGAGAAAAATGTATTAACAAATATTCGATAAATCGAATAATAATTGGGAAATATTCGTGGAAACACGTACGGGGATGCGGGCAGCGTTTGGGGCCGGACCAGAAGGGGGCGCCGGAGGTGGTGACCTGGTCGCGGGGGAAGTTGTAGAGGAGCTGGCTGATCTGGTTGTGGAAGAGCTCCTGGAACTGCTGGCGCGCCCAGGCGATGCAGTCGGCGAAGGACGCCGGCCGCTCGTCGATCAGCGCCTTCTTCAGCGACTCCAGCATCTCCGTCGGCTGAGCACCGGGCAGCTTCATCACATGCTCCATGAACTTGGCCTCCTCCATGTACCTGTCACAAACCGATGCGGTAAATGACGGTCAAAAATACTTTGTCCCGAATAAACGGGACAACGTCAATGATTTTGGATGTTTTTTTAACCTTTACATTTAAATCATTTTAAGTAGTGTGACCGATGTTGTTGTTCTGCGTCTCTTTGATGGCTTTTGCCGAATAAAAAACAAAAAAAAAATTTAAAACTTGTATTAATACTTATGTCGTTTTTTAGAACACACGGTGGTATCAAACGGTAAAGTGAATCGTAACAGGAAAACGAAAAGCTCAGCAGCGCAATACTTCATCGGGACATTGAGGATGTTAGTACAGTACTACATGTCAGCGGTCGTAGTGTAAAGGCTAACACATATCGAATGCACAGAGGATGACGTTAAATTTCGAATACCGGTGCAGTACTGTGATTTCAGAAAGAATTCAGCTGCGATCTTCGTAGCATTTGTTTTTACTTGAACAACCACATTAATAAACATAAATCGGAAATAATTTAAAAACAAATCCGGTACGCAACCGAAAAAATAAAAGCAAAGAAATATAAAATAAAAAACAAATGCGATAATACTAGTAAACAAGAAAACAAATCTCGATAATTAAACTAAAAAGTACTCTTCGATAATTAAACAAAAAAGAAATGGGGAAGGCTCCGCACACCACGTTTCACCACCAAAGTCTCCGCACACCATGAAGCACCACCGCCAGGCTCCGCACACCACTTTTTATTATTTTCTAATTTTTTTACAAAAACCACCGAAATCTCCGGCCACCACCAAGGGCAGAGTGCACACCACCACAGTCTCTGCACACCACTTTTTAAAACAAAATTAATTAATTGTTATTACGGGCGGAAAAAGACAGCTCTTTCGTCTCGCGGCCTGACTCCTCTTTTTTGATACCACTCGTTTGCCTCCGCTTCCGTTGTAGTAGCAAATTTTTCGGTTTTACAAACTTGCCGAACGCAAGTTGTTTTTGTTTGCGGATGGTTGCTTGCCGAAAGCAAGCAACCACCTGTTTTTTACTGTGCTTACTTACTTAAGAAGTGCTTACTTACTTTTTGCTGTGCTTACTAAAGAACTTTTTGTACTTACTGACTTGCATTACGCTTGCAGTATTAGTAAAGATTTGCCTTGCGCTATATTGAAACCCAAAACATTGTAATTTATCGTTAGATACAACGTAATATAAGTAAAGTACTACCTGCTGTACAAACACGAAAAATACAACATAGCTCATATTAGTCGTATATAAACTGCGAGTATACGGTGGTGTCCCGAGACTGACGATATTTTAAATATATATGGTGGTGCGCAAAAATGGTGGCCCGAGACAAAACGTGGTGCGAACAGTGGTGTGCGCAGCCCGGTCGTGGTGAAAGGTGGTGTGCGGAGACTTTGATGGTAAAACGTGGTGTGCGCAGCTTTCTCCAAAAGAAATCCACAGATAATTCAAAAAATAAATCCGATAATAAATAAAAACAAATCAGAACGCTAAAAAGTCAAATCAAATCAAAAATCAGAACGTTGCAGGAAAAACGCAAGATAACTTTTTTAACTGAAATTCTTCTGAAAGTAGTGCACAATTAAAAGTTTTATTGGCAACAGCCACCCAGATAGCAATAACTGCAAGCGCTGGTACACTACATAATTAAAAATTAAACAACACTGCACAATTCCGCACCGGTATACGATATTCACGTGCCGATTTTTCATTGCGCCTGCCCTTAGGCCCCTTACACTACGACCACCGACAGTTCCTTTAACGTACACATTTGAATCTTTTACCTAGGTAGTATTACGCCGATGCACTTTCTGTTATGCTGGATGGCTTTTTGCCCAGCAAAGTGAATCAGAAAAATTCCTAATATTACTTAAAAATTAAAAAAACCGTGAACATTATTCAGAAGATCAAAAACCGTGAAACAAATTATTCACAAAAACAAAAACCGTGAATAAATACAAATAAATGCGATAATAAATCGCCTTACCGAATCACATAGGTGGCCGGCGCACTGAACAGCCCCTCAAAGAGATCCCGCGCCCACTGCAGCGTATGCTCAATGGAGTTGGGGAAGTTCTTCAGCGTACAGATCGGGATACTCTTCTCCGGGGGGTCCTGACTGCTCGAATAGCTCTCCGTCAGATTCGGAAGCACCACCTGCACATTGCCCTTGGTCCCGAGCGTCCCGGACTCCAGGAGGGGCTTCTTGTAGAAGACACAGCGCCGGTCCACGTACATGCGGGCGTCCACGTTGTCTAACGCGTTGGCCACGCCGTCCAGCGCCTCGAAGAAGCTGTCGTCATAAATCCGCTCCGTGTCGGCGCCGACGCGGTTCTGATGCGAGATGATGTTGATGTGCGGGTTCATGTGCTTGGCGGCCAGCGCCGCCACGTCCGATTTCATCTTCTGCACGTCGTGCGGCCGGAAGAGGAACTGCCGGTTTAGGTTGGATTTCTCGATGGTGTCCATGTCCGTTACGAAGATCTTACCCTGCACAACAAATACGAAACGATAAAACACTGCACAATTATGTCTGTGCAAGTTAAGCTAATCAAATTAAACCAAAATAAATCAATAAAATATAAACCAAAATTAATCAATCATACCAAGTCATCAACGTTAACATCGGAATCTCTGTGAGATTTGTTTCAATTTATTCTGCTAAAAACGGTCGTAAGAATAGTCTGTTCGCACGTGTTGGTTCTTACGCTAGTGATACCGAAAAAATGTTCACCCCCGATAATTGGCCCCCTAACATCGGGGTGCGTGAGTGGGCATTTGCCCCCAAGGAGCTGTAATGGTTTGGTCTAATTATTTTCATCATCCTTCGTCCTTTCTGGTACTTAGTTTGTACTTGTACTGCGATACTTATTAAAGGTTCATCCACCATCAACTAAGGAAACGTCACTATTATCACAGAAACTATTATCACAGAAACTGTGTTGATCGTAGTGCAGTGGCTACCATCGGTACGTCTCGTAACTTTGAAAATGTCAGGATACCAAATAAAAAGAAAACTTTCCGAAAAATTCAATCACTGACTTGTAACATCAAATGTTTTTTTTCCTACTATAAAGCACAATCATTCTCCTTAAACGCAACAAATTAAAACCATATGACGAACCACTAAATACAAAAAATGCTACAATTAATACAATAGTTTCTTTTTATTCGACAACAGCCTGTACTCAATGACAAGAAGCCTGCGCAAATTTAAACTAATTAAAATGATTGAATTTTAAACATTGAAAAAACATTGTAATATAGACAGAAAAATTAATGCAATATAGACAGAAAAATATTGAAAACCATTAGTAGAAGGAAGTGAACTGTGAGAAACAGAAAACACAAATAAAAAGCAATAAATTAATTAAAACTGGGCAAATACAGCAAAAATCAACAGACCCCGCGGTCTCACTATCCAGACAACTTTTTCCATTAAAAAAAACCGGCAAACCGCTATTTCTGCTCACCTTAGGTCCGCAGCCGAGTCCCATCATGGCGAAGTTCTTGAGCAGCTCACAGCCGATGGCCCCGGCGCCGACGACGAACCATTTGGAGTTGTACAATTTCTCGGCGAACTGCCGGCCGAAGATCTGCACCTGGCCGTCGTAGCGCGAGCCCGTGGGCTGCACCTCGCTCTCCGCCAGCGCGGCATCGGGCAGACACTCCAGGGCGTCGAAGTAGAGGAACTGGAAGACCGGATGGAATTTCCCGGAGCAGGCCTTCATCACTTCCTGCGCGATGATGGACCCCACCACCGACTGCATCGGCGGCAGGTCCCCGCGGCACGTCTTGGCCAGGTTGCGCAACGTCTCCTCGTCCAGCGGGTCCACTTTCGTCTCTATTTACAATTCCCACATTGAGATATACGGTCAGTGTAACGAATTAATTATCTACTATTTTTTTAAAAATAGCGGATAATTTATTTTTAATTTTTTTAGTTGATTTTTAGTTGATTTTTTGTCTCGGAAAATACCTCCTAGAATCTTAATGAAAAACTCCATTAATTGGATGCATATCTTATGCTCTTCTAAACCGGAAATGCATCCAGTTTCGAATAAGCAGTAAAATCATAAAAATTAAATAAACAAAATTCAGCACAAAAATTCTTAAAACAAATAAAATGTGAAACAAAAACTGTGTCATGAACTAGTCAGCCTCAATTTATAAATCAAAGAAAAATGTACGACCGTTACGGAACCAAAATAATGGCGAAAATAATCATGTACCTGGCGGCAGTTGTTCATTAACGCTCTTGCACAGCTCCAGCAACGCCTCGGCGTCTTCGACATTATGCGGGCGCGGCAAATGGCCTTTCTTCTGCAAGAACTTATCCAGCGCCAGAAAGCCAATGTGCAGCTGGTGCGAGCGGCCAAACTTGGCGATGTCCATATCCATCAGCGCGGGGTGCTGCAGGGACTCGCGGAAGGACTTGAAGTGCAGATGCTTGGCCATCTTCACCTGCGTGACGATGCCGCCGCGCGTGTACGGCGAGAAGTGGCTGGTGTCGCCGATGGCGAAGGAGTACGGATTGACGTACTTGATCTTGATGGGCTCGTGTGTGTTCAGCTCCGTCATGCCCTGCACCTCCTGGAAACTGTACAAATAACCCAGCGTGAAAATGCCGTCTTTGCGGGATAAATACAGATGCAACATTTTTATTTATGACAAATAAAACGATATTTTTCGTTCACTGAACAGTTTTATTCAGCAATTTTATTTGTTGCTTCGTAGATTCTCTGTTCTTTTCAGATGCGCAAATAACATTCGCAGAAATAAATAACAACGAGAAGGAATAAAGAAGCAAAATCGAAACAATATTTTTCATTTATTTGCTGATTCGCAAGAGATCATCTATATTAAACAGAATTATTTATAAAATATTGAATAAAATTAAAACGCCATTTTTTTATGTTTTTTTTCCAGATGCGCAACCGACATTCACAAAATTAACCCGAAAATATTATACAAAAATAAACCGCGATTGGTCGTTTATTCACAGGTTTACGTTACGTATTGAAATAGCATTAACTTTAAAATTAAACGGTATTTTTATTTATCGTCATACGAAAAACGGAGGAAGTACGATTTAAAAATTCAATATCAAATACTTAATAAAATTAAGCGCTATTTTTCATTTTATTTTCCAACGCAAAAATAATTAGAAAATTTTCAAGAAAATTAGAAACTTTATTTTCCCGTCATTTTGTGTTGAGTGTGCTAGTTTTCGCCGCTTACGTGACATGATCGCCGTCCTCCAGGCCGTGGCGCGCCTCGTCGGCGGCCGTGACGAGGCCCTTGTCGTCGTGGGTGATGAGGGAGATCATGGCGGTGAGGGGCGGCTCCCCGTTGGTGTCCAGCACGGTGAAATCCTTGCCGAAGTCACAGAACACCTGCCCGAATAATCCCCGCGTGTTGGCCGCCAGGAAGGCCGCGCCGTGCTCGCGGCAGATGTCGTTGACGCGGATCATCTCCTCCACCGTCGTCTCCGTCAGCACCACCACCTGCAGTACAATTACCTTCAGCCACCACAGCATCGCGAGAAGAACCGCAAAAACAATTACTCGAAACGTCGTCAAGACCTTTTTATCACATTACACTGTCATGGCCAGAAATAAAGCACTAAAATCAGCTCCAGTGCTAACAGAGAAAACTCGGAACAACGAAATAAATACACGAGCACAAAATAAATAATAAAAAAAACTCTCTAAAAATAGAAGTATACATACAGAACACCAACAGAAAATAAATACAGAAACAAATACAGAAAATAAATACAGGAAATAAATACAGAAAATAGATACAGAGATAAATATACAGTTAGTATAAGGAAACGAAGAAACTGTTTAGGAAAAAATTTTGAAAAAACCTTACGGCTCAAGAATATACACCGATAGAATGTAGTGAACGTAGTGCAGAGGCTTTCAAGGATTACGTCATCTACGGAGTTAAAGACCGAACGAAATGCACGTATAATAAATGTAGAAAAATTTCAACTAATTTACGATCATGTACAACATTTTTTGTCCACTAACAATCATGATAATTCTCTTGCTATTCTGGAAATGATAAGTACAACAAAAAATTCCCGGTTGCAGTTTACACGTTTTTTAACAACCCCACGACAATCCATAAAACTGTAAAAAATAATTACCATCAGCGAAAACTGATAATAAAAATACAAAAACAAATCTGTAAATGGAAATGAAAAAACTGAATACTTAACAATAATTTATATTAGAAAATTATAAGCAAAATCGCAGCATAATTTGCCGTAAATGTTTTCATTATGCGTCCTTTTCGAAAAACCTGTACCTGGAACTTCTTGAGGAAGGCGGCCGTCAGCGGCGCGGTGTGGGGCCGCACATCGACGTAGATGTTGAGCTCGGCCAGGCGCGGGAAGCAGACATCGGCGCGGTTCTTCCCGACGTCCTCCTCGCGCAGGAAGAACTGCGAGGCCAGATCGGCCGGCTCCACCTGGCCCTCGTCGTGCAGGCAGACGCTCTTCACGCCGCCCAGGATGATGTTCTTGGCGATCTCCACGCCCAGTCCCTTCAGACCCGAAATCAGGATGCTGGTGGCGCCCATACGCCGCATGGCTTCGTGCCCCAGCACGTACAACTGCCGCGAATACAGGCCTTCGTCGATGTGCACCTGCCAATCAAATATTACCAATTTTCCATCGTTTTTTCATTTTTCTGAATTTTTCTTATTTTATTCCACAACAATTGCACCAATACTTTCATCTAATTTTAGTATTTATTAGTATTTATTATGCAAATGATTCTACAAACCGTCAAATTTATTAAGTCCAGATTTTTTAGGCATAAATCATTTCAATGTGTGCCGCAATAGATACTATGCCGCAATAAATTGACTTTAAGGAATATATTTATGCGTATTTTGCAAGTATACTATTATTCACTTATCATGATTGATAAATTTAATTTTTAACGATTTTCTCAGCTGGCTGTTTCTGCCAAAACAGCATGCCAAAATTTGCTAGATGTACTTTAATTTATTATTCCGTATACTGGCAATATCACACTCCGTAATAGTGTCGAAAAAAATAAAATAAAAAAACACATTTCCAGATTCCAGCTGGTTTCTATTAACAGCGTTTATACTGATAGTTATTTTTCACAATATTTCGACGGATTTGCACAAGCGTCGCGTTACCTGGTCGCCGGAATGGGAATCGGCGCGCTCCAGCACCCCGTTGGTGGTGTGGGGCAGGGCGCCGGAGAAGCTGGCGGCGCGCACGGCCGGCTCCATGTCCTGGTCGGAGGCGTGGCTGTTGCCGTTCTTGTTGTGGTGCAGATCCGTCATTTCCTGGTCGTGCTGCGCAGAGGAGGAGGGAGCCGCGCTGAGCAGACCGCTGCTCGTGCCGTTCAACGAGGCCGCCGACGAAGCGTTAGAGGCGGAAGAGAAGGAGGCGTCCGTGCGCTGCTTCTTCACCGGGGGTTCGTTGGGCTTGTCCGTAGGCGATGCGGATGCGGATGGGGAGTGGCTGGGATGAGTGGACATCGAAGATCACCTGATCAGTAATTAGGCCAATTATTCCATCAAGCCCCAGTTTAATCAGAGTTCAGTGCACTCTTCCGCCGAACCTTGCTGCATCATGTGCCATACCTTATAATCAAATTGCTTAACTGCTGCCAAGAAATTTTGCACTCGAAAAAAGAACGATTAAATAAAAAATACAGCTTAGAAGGATGCTGGTAACCTTCTCTGTAATTTACGCATTTAATCATTCTCATTTAATCATTTTATGAAAATTTCACAGCAAAGTTTTCATCCTCAATCACATAATTTATTAAAATCTGCTGCTTTTGCAATTACAATTACTGTATTAATTTAATACTAATTTTGCAGCGTGCAGTTTATCTTTGTAATAATTTAACTCCAGTAATTTTACAACAATTTATCATACGAAAGTGAAATTAAATTATCATAAAAGTGATAAAACCGAATATTCTGTCGAAATATGTAAAACATGGACATAAGTACGAGAAATTTTGGGAAAATCCACTGCAACTATTTTTTTACAAAAAAGGCTATTCCACGTGTCATAAAATCATAGTTTATCAATAATCTAAATATCCAGAAATTTCTTTAATAATTATTACAATATTACTCCATCGTTAACTTCCCAATAATTCCAAACAGATTCAATGATAAAAGTTAAACTGTGCTGAACGGTTATTTCCCTGTGCGACACTGCGCCAATACGTATCAACAGTACAGGGAAATCCCCATGCCAACCCTTCTAACAATGATATTACCAAGCATAAACAAGCTGTGCAAAATTAACGCGATGCCAAGGTTAAAAGCCATCTGTTCAAAAGAAGAGAAGTCTTCGCCGACACCACAAAGCACATTATTACCAGAACTTACTGTTTGCTGTGAAAATAAGGATCCGACAGAATGGATGAGTGGATGAATCCAAACTGTCCCAGATTAGCCGTGTCTCACGAACCCGAATAACTTTACTGAAACCGTCAAAAAACTGAAAAAACGTACAATTTCTACAACCTCTCAATTAAAACGTGTCGGCAACCCGAAAAAATCGCTAAATTCAAATAAAAAATCCATCAATTTTCAAGTCTGATCCTTTCGCAATGATCACGACCAGACGTCACGCGGAAGTGAAAAGTGACAAAAGTCTGCCGAAACGTCGAGAACGCTAACTCACCTCACTCTCTCTCAACAGTACAAAAAGATGATTAATCAGAGTATGCTCTTGAAGGGTTTCGACTAAAGATAGCGCAGAAAAAGAGAGGAATTATACTGCAGAAATCAATACTATCACATTCACCTTAACGACCATCCTTCGTTCCACGCAGAAACTGAATTTTTCAAAACTTGACTGGGCAAAATGCGTTATCAATTTCAAATCCATACTGCACGCTGAAACATGCACGTATGCTAATCTAGCGCAGGGTGAATCACCACCTGGACGGTGCGATGTGACGCCCACTTCCAACACCGCGTTGGAATTGTCCAACGCTGTCGCAAGTTCAGGCTTCAAATATTTGTATTTCATTTCGAATCGTTGCAAAACGGCTCAAAACTGTTTAGAATTCAATTTAAAAACAAAATGTCAATTTTAATTTTGTTTCATTTTGAATAATTTAAAACACGGCCCTCAAATGGAATTCAAACCACAGCGCAACGAAAATGGCGATGCCAGTCCAACTCCACTGGCATTGGAAGTGCCATCCGGAAAATTATATCCGTTTATTTACGCTGCCACTCATTTTCTTCGCTCAGATTTGTAGAAAAAACTTATAAAATTAAATTTTCGTTTGCTTTATGTTTACGAAGTCCTTTCATTTGGGAAATTATTTTTCCGGGAACAGATGTGTAATGTGGTGATGCGGGGAGAATGTTCCATCTGTTTTACGGACTGTACAAGCAGTGCACGCAGAAGGACGAGTATTTCATTCTGATTCTAGGACTGGACAACGCTGGCAAAACAGTGCGTATTTCAGCTTTCCTGAACTCTTTTTCTGCGCGTTTGATTCCCGTTCTTCTTAGACACTGTTGGAGCAGGCGAAGGCGCAGTTTAATTCCTCCTACGTCGGACTGAATCCCAAGAAGATCACGGCCACCGTCGGACTGAACAGTCAGTGGGGAATTTCTCAACACGCTGATTTTTTTCGCAGAATTATTGGTGATATTGAATATTCTGATGATTTGTTCTCCAGTTGGCAGAATCGATACGGCAGGAATACGGCTGAATTTCTGGGATCTCGGAGGTAAAAATTTCACTAAAAAAACGGGAAGAAAATAATTGGTGGCTTGACTGGCTTTGATGTGTGAAATTTTATGGCAGAGAAATACGAAGAAATAAAATTAGCAAATTGCTGCTAATAAATGCAATTATTAAATAATAATTATTTTTGTATTTGCAGGACAGGAAGAACTGCAATCGCTATGGGATAAATACTATTCCGAATGCCATGCCATTATTTATGTCGTGGATTCCGGCGATCGGAATCGCCTCAACGAAACCAAAGACGCTTTCGGTAAAATGGCTTTTTTATATAAAATGTTTTCCTTTTTTTTAAATTTAAAAACGTTGAATTTAAGAATGTTTTCTTAAATAATAAAAACTGGTAATTAATGAAATTTATTTCGTCTGCATCACCAAGAAATTTATTTCGACCCGAGAGATTCGAATCTGTTTATAAATATTAAATTGTAGTTTGGCAAATAAAAAAAATAAAAAAAATTCTTGAATTATTCGCTGTATAAATATGTACTTTAAATGAATTGACGGAAAAAAGTTTTGTTGTATTTTTCTCAGCGACGATGATCCATAATCAGCATCTCGACGGTGTTCCCTTGCTTTTGTTGGCCAATAAGCAAGACATCGAAGTATGATTATTTTTCTTACATTTACCGGAATTTTACCCGAATTTGCCTGAATTTTACCGGAATTTTTGGAATTAATTTTCCGGCAGGCGTCGATGCTGGTGGCGGAAGTGAAATCGCAGCTGTCCAGCGTGGGAACGCCGTACATCGGCCGGCGCGAATGCCTGGCGCTCGGCTGTTCGGCATTAACTGGGTACGATATTTTCCGCATTTGACTGGTTCATAATTATTTTAAATTTTTATTCTCTGATGTTCATCAATTTTTTCATGATTTTTTGTGGTATTTTATTGGGTTATTCAAGTGAGTATAGGTTGTAACACAAGATTAAATTTCATCAATTTATTTACGACGTTCGGGATAAAATGGTTGTACTTCCGATTGGAATATTTTCTTCCTTTTAAGGTGCATTTTAATCGGCTGCACCCAGTTCATTACAACAAAGGGGAACTTAATTAAAATAAAATCAAAAATTTAATTGGTGATTATTTGAAACGCATATTCTTACCAAGAACTACAAAATTAGTACAAATTTCGCCGCCCAATGCGCCTATGGAAGTGGACTAATGTCGTAGTGCAAGGGCTCTATAGATTCAGCAGAGAATTGACGTTTGATGGTTCTCAGTTACAGTTAATGTAAACTTGCTAGATAAAAATTTCCTTGTACCTTCTAAAATTTTTCTGGTTGTTTTTTTAGGGCCGGCGTGAGTGATGGAATCTCGTGGGTGGTTGAGCAGATCAAACTGAATCCTATCCGACCGGCGCGGACGCAAATTTAAATCGTTTAATTATTGTTTTTTCTGGTGATGTTAAAATTACCTCAAACGGCGCTTGGATTTATGGGCGGTGTTTTCTTGAAATATCAAGAGCATTTTGTTTTTAATTTCGACGGCTTTTATTACGTGCGTTGGAAGGAAAACGGCGAATGCGATGAAATAAACTCAAACGACGGAATTTTTGCAGCAGTTAAATTATAATATTTTATTTAATTCATTTTTGTTAATTCAGTTTTGCCGTCTGTTTATTGTTCAAATTTAATTTATTTTTACTTTAATGCGGCGGACAAACTAATTATTTATTTTATTTCTTTGAAATGTATTTCCACGGAAAAATTTATTAGACATTCTATTTAATTCGTATTTTATTTCTTTTTAATTTATTTCGGTGGACAAATCGATTACTCATTTTAAATAAATTTTATTTATTTTTATTTTATTTCGGCGGACAAATTATAGAGTAGCTGGAACACATTAACGGCACGGGTTGTTTGTTAATTAACGGAAGATACAGGGAAATAATGCAGCGAATAATTCTAAGGCTGATACGGCGTGATTAGCATCTTGGAGAAATTCTCCATGGCCTCGCTGCCGCGCACCTCGTCCTCCAGCAACGGCAGCTTGATCACGTTGAAGTCCTCGTATAAATCTTCAATCTGTTGCGGAAAATAACAAGTACAACCGGTTAATTTTGTGGATGCAGATGGCAGTTTTTCAAGGGAAATGATCACCTGTTTGACGTATTTTTGCTGGAGACGCTCGCGCGATTTACACAGCGAGCAGGGCTGGGTTTTGGAGGGATACACCAGCTGGTTGACGATGATGGTGTGGATGTCGATGCCGTGCTTGGCCAGCGCTTGTACTGCCCGATAAAAATTATTTAAAAAAATTATTCCAACAAATACGGATCAATTTTATAATGAAATAAATTTTTCAACAAATATTCCAAAGATTTTGTTCGTTTTATTTTTTAATTTCAAAAGCAAAATTAATTACCTCACGTAACGCATAAGAAGTTATTAAACAGAGTTTTTATTTCTCGACGGCAACATTAGTTCAACGAAGAAAATTCAGTATTAAAAAATATATAATGAATTTTTTAAAAACTTTACTGTGTAATCGTACTCTTTCCTGTCAATTTTAAATTCAAAACAAGATAAATGATACGTATAAATCATCCAAACGATTAAAACAAATCTTCCTAGACAGTAAATGCTTTTATTTTTTATTTAATAAATCGTTTCAACGAACGAAACTAAGGTTACAAATGGAATAAATATATAAAAAATAACTGTATTATTTTAGTAGATTTTCTTATTATTCATCGTGATAAAGCTCAACATAATAATTATTATTAAAAACTAGAGAAAACTAAAATCGAAAAAAATGGTAAAAAAAAATGGAAATATCGAAAAAAATGATAAAAAACTGGCAATAATACTTCGTTAATAAAATTAGTAATTTATGTATCGCCGATTTTCGGTTGATTACGGCATCATTTCCTTACCGAGTCGTTCGGTCTCGAAGAGCGAGAGGAACTCGGCGATGCAGACGCCGACGAAGGTGGTCATCTCGGGGTTGTGGAACTGCTCGTTGATCTTGCGGATGGTGGGGATGAGATCGTCGAGCTTCTTGGAGATCTGCTCGAAGTCGGAGCTGGTCTGCGGCACGCCCATCACGCTGGAGATCTGCGTGAAGAGCGGCCCGAGGCGGTTCTTCAGGCGGATGATCTTGCTCAGGCCCTGCTCGAACACGTCGGGGAAGGCCAGCAGACGCAGCGTGTGCCCCGTCGGCGCCGTGTCGAAGATCACCACGCTAAAGTTCATCGACTGGATCAACCTAAACCAAAGACAATCCAATGTGTCAGGCCTAACCAGAAATTACAATTTTAACCGATTTATTTCCCATAATAATATTCATTTCCATATTTGTTTATTTTCGGAATTCCGGAAGTGATTTAATATTTTCTATTTTATTTTGCTGTTGCCCTGTTTGTCTATTTTCCCAAAGCGTTTTGTCTGTTTTCGTATTTTTCCGATTTTATTTGTCTATGATTTTTTTAATTTTCTATTTTCGGAAAAGTTTCTTATTTCTCTGTTTTGCTTTTTATTTTCCGAAAGTGATATTCTATTTCGTTTTCGTTTTTATTCATAATGATTTTCCTATTTTCGTATTTTACTATTATTTTTTTACGCTCTCAATTTTATATTCCAATTTTCACATTTATTTTTTTGTATTTTCAATGTCATACCTAATTTTCTGTTTTCCGAAAACGGTAGGATAATTAAAAAAACCACATACTTCATGACTTCCGCGTAGCTCATGGCTTCGTCGATGCCCGGCAGGGAGTTGGTGATGTCCAGCATCATTTTCCGTCCCGTACTCCATAAATCTAATTCAACAACCACCGCGATATAAAACTGAACATCAGATTTGTCAAACAGAAATAGAGAAAAAAAGCACTGAAATGGAAATCTGGGGAAAGTTTGAAAAATTCGCTTTTAAATTTAATTTCGTAGAGAACAGCAGTTTCGCAGCTTCTCTTAAATTCACAATTTTATCCAGGCAGTGGTAATTAACAAAAAGATGGGAATAACCTGAAAAATTCAAAAAGCTGTTTAACAGCAAAAGAGAAAAAACTCCGGCAGTTTAACTGTCGAAACAAAGTGGAAAAATGCCACGTACGGTGACGTACCTTCTTCATCAGTCTGGACATGATCCTCAATCTCGTCGATCTTCCCGTGCACTTGCGGATCGATTTCCTTCAAAAACAATCACAACCACACCCCATTAGACGCGGCCACTGCGGCAAGCAAACCAGATCCCACCATGGCGTAGAGGTTGGCGAACCCCGTGACGAGTGTGGGGTACTTGGTGAACTTCTGTCTAAACGCGTCCGACACGTTGTGCGCCGGATCCGTGGAGATGAGCAGGACGCTCTCGCGGCGACGGGCCATCAGGATGGCCAGACTGCAGCTGCAAACATACACGGTCAGACTGGGAACAACCAGGAGCACGTTCAAGGCTGTTTGATCGAAGATTTTGCAGCCAACCTGCAGGTTGTTTTGCCCACGCCACCTTTCCCTCCGACAAACACCCAGCGCAGCGTCTCCTGCTCTAGCAGGCTGCGGACGGTGGGTTCTAAGTGGAATTCGGAGATTTCTTCATCCTGGGGAGATGTCGCCATGTTGGGATTAATCAGATTCTGCAGTGTGGAGAATGAGAAGGAACGGAAAATCGTTAAATTCGGCTCAAAGATCGAAATTCAAAATTTAATTTCGAACATGTTGCAACGTGCAGCGACGACAGCGATGTGCAACGAAACCACGGGCAAAGCCGCAGTACGTGGGCGGTTGCAACGAGATCACTGTGGGAATTGATGGAAAATTGAAAATATTGAAAACAGACTTTTCAAGGTCTTATTAACCGGAAAACTCCGACTTATTAGCCGAAAAATATGTAATTTCTTCGGTAATAATATTTTATTTGATTACGAACGGGTCTGGGAACAATTAAGGAATCAGCAAATTTGACACGGAACTGCTGATGCGACAACGGGCGATATGCAACGCAAGCATTCTGCAATCATCGACCATGCCGCAGTACGGGGGCGGTTGCAAATAGGACACGTTAGTAAATGCTAAAATTACTGTACGTTCTCTGCTGCAAATTTTCGCTTAATTTGACCTTTTCCATCGAGAACAAATTATTTGTCTGCTGGTAAAACGTCAATTTGGTGTGGAGAATATTTATTGACATGGTCATAGGCCTGCTGCAATCGCGATTAATCAAATCTTTGTTCGATAAAGGTCGAGCTCTGGAAAAATAAATAAACGAAATTATATATCACGCGTATTAAATTTTATATTCGGCTTTAATCATGTTAAGAATTATTATGCGAGTTGTGTTTAATTTGTTGTGATTCCAAAGACTCCAGTAAAATGTGGCCGATTATAAACGACACCGGCATAGATGCAAGGAGACGTTTTAATTCACCGCAATCCACGAGCCCGATTTCTGGAATCGGCTGCTATGCGCTAATTTTATGGCGATGTTGTTGCTGGTGAGTGGTGGGCCGGCATGTTGGAAGTGCCTTTCGGAAACAATAGCCCGTACCTTGTCGAAGATTAATGACGCTCCACATTAAGACACTCACACACAATGCCGCGCGAGCAATTAGACCCTGCGTCCGATAAAGCGCACATCGTAAAACGACCACTGGCGCACAGACTGCTCTGGCTCGTTTACGACCGTCTTCTCCCTTCTGCTTGCAGACCAGAGTGGGGAGCAGATAATCCGTGCAATAAGCGGCAGAATGTGTTTTATTTGAGCCTGGCCTTTTTATGGTCTTCTCTCGGGCTCTCAGTGTCTCATCATGTAAACGGACGCTGGTCTGTCTGTGTGCGGCCGACCAATCACAGTGCTGCGTTTAAGCCGGGTTTCATTTTATCGCATTCTCTCTGTTCTGTGTCTGGCTGATCACACAAGCGGACGCTGGTCTGTCTGCCGTCCAGCAGCACCGCCCCGTCCAGCAGCGCTGACCAATCACCGCGCAAAGACGTCGTTATGCAGCGATAAATCGCCACACAATACCTGCGTCTGATCGCCACTGATTTCTCCGACCTTCATTCAATCCGAATCAGGTCGAGGACGTCTTTTATTTCTTTGGAAATCTCTTTTACAAATTTCCTGAGTGCTTTCGCGGTTGTTGAAAAATACCGAAGATTTTGCAGCGTCGTATGATGGAGTTATACGCGGTGTTATTGTTGACCGTGCTGGCGATTTATTACGGAATTATGCCGGTTGCAGCGATGGCTTTGCCGGTTGGCGACAATTCCATGGACTCGGTGTGGATTGTTCCCTGTGCATTTGGCGAGTATCGCCGGCTGAACGGGACGTGTGCGGCGTGTGCGGTGTGCTCCGATGGGCAACAGGTGCTGGAAGACTGCACGGAGCAGTCGGATACGGTGTGCGCCTGTCAAAGGTCAGCCGCTTTATATTCTTTACAGGAAAATTAAAGTATCATTTTTTAAAATAAATTATATTACTTAAATAAACAAAGATTTATTCCGAAAATTTATAATTTTTTTAATCTTTTTAATTTTATGTATTATCAATTAAAATGATTATTTCTTCTAACTCCATAATTCAAATTTATATGGAATGTGGATTTTTAGCGGGACATTTCGGGATCCGGTGAGCAACGGGTGCGCGACATGCCGGCAGTGTCCGACGGGAACGAGCGTCCAGCGGGAGTGCAGTGCCACGGCCGACACGGAGTGCAGTGTGTGCCCCGACGGCGAATACTTCGACATGGTCAGCAACGTGTGTATGCGCTGCAGCCAGTGCGCCGCCAACGAGATCCAGCTGAGCCGCTGTCTGCCCAATTCCGACACGGTCTGCATCGGTAAGTACACTTCTTGCCGCCCGTACACATTTTAAAAATTCGCTTTATAATCGGGCGCCGGGCGCACATAAATTCCGTGCAATTTGTGAAGGATTTTTTGTTTATAACATTTATATCTTAGATAATCAATGTGCTTGACAAATGAAGACAGATATTGTATAAAATTTATACAACGCTTATTATTTTATAAAATTTAGAAACAAAAATTTAAATCTACAAATAAAATTTAAATCTACAAATTTAGAAAAAATCTACTGAACGCTTATTTATATAAAAAAAATAGAAATTTTACAAAAAATTATTAAACGCTTATATTTTCATAATTTTTTATTTAACTACATTTAGCAGAACATTTAGTTGACCTTGAATTTTTTTAGTAAGGGACATGGTCAGTTTGCGCCGGTTCAATCCCTCGCACGCCAAACACACTGCCAACGCGGCCGCACCACCGCCCAAACGGCCCGCAACCGGCAAAAAACAGGACAAGGAAGACGTGGACTACGACCAACCCAGTGTCCTGTATTTCCTGCCGTTTTGCGGAATTATTCTTGGTAAGCAGCATTCAAAGCTGAATAAAAATTCGAGTGAATTAAATTAATTTAAATTTAAATAGTTTAGGAATTTTATGTAATTTTGTGCGATTCATATAACATATCACAGTAATACTGCTCTGCTTTGCAAATACAGAGCTTTCTTCAAAAACAATAACACAACAGAATAAATTAAATAATATCAAGCAACTACAGTTTTAAGTACCGTAACAAAAAATAATTAAAAAAAAATGTGAGTAACAATAAATAATTTTCTCTGAAGTAAGTAAATTATATAAAGGTTGAGGAATAAAGAACAGTACAAGAATGTGTCGGTTGACGTTTAATGAGGTCATTAGCAGGGGCTGCTGTTTTTCTGGGTGGAACGAAATTAATGGTCAGTCGGCGCGGAACACATATGCTTATATATGTTCATGTGAATATGGCTGTCTTATTTTGTGTACACTAATGGGAACCAGTGAGAGTGACCGGTGGCCATTTGATCAGAACCGGCGTTCTGCCTGTTCGGTGTGTAATGCGCAGCCAAATGAACATTAGCGCTGCAGCCACTCCACTGACCCTAATGAGTGCTGTCCCACACCGGCAAGATTAATTGTTCTTTAACGACTTTTTTATGGGTATATCGCGGCACAGCCACAATCACAGCTGCCATACCGCGTCTCCTTTTCGCACCGTCCCATTCACTGTTAACGTCGTCGTCGGCTTCGAGAGAACGCCGCGAACAGTCAGAAAAGGGAACCATTAATAGGAAGACGTGTATATTCTTCCGGCATAATTTCGTGAAATTTATTTATTATTTTTCCTGGACTGGTGAAATCTTGTAGAACAGCGGATCTGAACGCCAAATAAGTGGCGAATAATAGAAGACTAGTCAAAAGAGCTCCGTGACCTTTAAAAAACTACGAAAATGCACCACGTTCAACGCGCCCGATATAATTATGACGGCACATTTTTCCTTTTATTATTGAAGTTGTGCCGGTAAAGTTACTATACGGTATTCCCGCAGGAGAGAAGTTAAGGCAGCGCAAAATTAAAAACAACTGCAGCGAAAATATCACGAGTGGATACGGGAAGTTTTCAATACTTAACCAAATTTGGTTAAATGCTATTTATTTAGTAAATGCTATTCATTCGGTTTCATAACCGGAAAAGTAATTAACAGCACAAACATAATACTGGATACTGAAACTTTTATTATACGTAAATCAGTACGAGTATGTTTGTTAATATTATGCATTAGTGCCTCATAAATAATAAGTTCAGATTATATAAAATAAGTTAAATATAAATAAACATAAATAAATTGATCTATAAATAAACTCGCAGTTAGAAGTAGGTCGTTCATATAAAGAAGTATTTGATTAAATATACTGTACCGATTTTCGGTACAACAAATTTCATGCAGATAAATGCGTATATTGCAAAAAAACAATAAATTTATACTAATGTAAACGCGTACTGCACAAATTAAATTTATCTAATTTTTACTTATAAATTTATATACCATACATTTACCGTATATGTACAATGCTCTATATGAGTATATAAATATTTATTGCATACAAATTTATCAAGTACAGTAAGTGTAAATACAAATGAATGCGTATTTAATGAATTACTGGAGCCTTTAATAAATATCGTCATGTAAGTACAAACTGAGTACTAGAAAAAATGAATTTATCTACAAATAAACGCGTATACTATAAGAAATTGATTTAAAAATAAATCCTAGATAAGTGCTATACACCTATAATAAAAATTAATGTAATTACAGTGACCTCGATCTACGCGGCCATCCAGACATACAGCAACACCACCCAGCGCCCCCTCTCCTGTGGCGGCTGGCAGCGCCTATCCAGCCTCTTCCGACGCGCCCAGCCCCCCACCCCGCCCGCCTTGACCATCACCGTCAACCCGCGCATCCTCCACCGCCCGCCGCTCCACCCGCCCGTCCTCACCCGGCCCAGCACCGACGCCGGCGCAGCGCCGCTCCGCAGCCCCGCCGCGCCCCCGATCCCCCCGGCCCCCTTTATCCTCCCCACCTGGACCAGTCCGCGGCGCTCCATGCTGTTGCATCAGGAACGCGCCGGCACGGAGTGGGAGGAGGAGTGCGCACCGCAGCCCCGCCCGCGGATGCCCACCGCCTGAATTATGCCATTAAAATTGAATTCTGTTTTGTTCCTTTGCCAGTTTTGTTGATTTTTTTGCAAGGATTATTCCGGGAAAGACGTTTATTTTATTGTGATACATAACGCGTATACGATACACATGGGATTTGGTTCAGGAGATTTATGGGTGTGTTTTCAGTTTTTCCATGGGACATTAAGGGAGCCGGCATCGTGTTGCAATAAAATGATACGAAGATTTTTATTCCATGGTATGGTTAGTGATATCTTCTCGACTTCTCTCAACTAATCCGCGAGTATTCATAGCAATATCAGTGAGAAAATTAAATAAAAAAAATTGTTAAACCGAAATTAAATAAAATGACTTATCTTATTGAATTCATTAGTATTCACATTAATTTCACAATTTGCATGAAACGGAAGTATTATGGAAGAAAATACAGAACGACACCACGGGCGGCAGTTACAGTCGCCAGCACCGGATTCTCAGGGTGGCTGCTCTAATACCACGATTTTCGTGTTTCGACATGCAGACTGTTTTGCAGCTGCAAACAGCAAAGGCTGCAAAGCAGCAAACAAAAAACTTGGAAGATCTTTTTCGAACTCCTCATTCCGTAAATCACTTTTTATCTTTCATATTCCGATATTTTTAGAATTGTAGCTTATTTTTCTGAGTCGTAGCACGTGTTTATAACGTTTGCATCAACCACGGTATTATCGCCAGCGATTTGCAGTGAAGAGGGGGGTACCAGGTATCTGGTTGTAATTTATCGCGCGACGAACTTCCTTCGCGTGCCTCGCGTTAAGCACACACGATCATGGCGGTAGACGACGCGGACGTGAAGCCCCCTGTCAGCCTTCTCCCGCCGACGGAGTCTTCCGCGCTGGATGACGAGTCCCCCGCCCCGAAACGCCGTCCTCCCGAGTTGTCGTCCAACCTCCCGGACCTTGTGACGAACCTCCCAGACGTGAACGGGAGTATCTCCTCTACTTCTGCCCCTCTTCCCGACATGCCCAAGTACATTCTCAACAACTACACTCGACTGTACCAAATGGGTAGGGACGGTTTATCCAGTATCCATAAATCGATTGATTGCACGATCGAGTTGGATGAGACTGGGAGTTCTTGATGTGATTTGCAGATCAGCGTCCCGACTGCTCGGAGGATCTCTGCGTGCTGGTGCATACGAACAAGTCAGTCGAATAATTTTTTTCATTTATTTATCTTTTTCTTATTTCTTCATTATTTATTTGCTATTTATTTTGTATTTTTATTTATTTTCGATATTTTGTTGCGATTTATTCATGTTATTTAATATTATTATTCAGGTTGTGTGTTATTGTGCTGGCGCCGTCGCATCCCGTGGTGGCCTTGAAAAAAGAGTGCCTTAGCGTCAGTTTCACCGACTGTGATGGTTCGGATCGGACGCAGAGCCACGGACAAGGCGCGCGGAAAAAGGTACACATTAGCGGAATTTACACAATATTTTCGATATTTTACTCACTTTCTTGTTGTTTGCCGATTTTCTTTCAATTTTTTCGTTATTTTCAGCCTTAAAATATTAATTCCGATATTTTCTTTTTATTCTTTTTGGTCAAGAATTTTCGGCAGCCGTCTTCGCGGATACCTTGATGTAGATATCGTTTAAATAAATGTGTGTAAATACATTTTTCACTGCTGTTAGATTTATTTTTTTCTGTGAAGTTAATGTTTCTCGTAGGGTGCCCAGTTTATTGAGCACGGCTCGGTAATCTGCCGCGTCGAGTGTGCCGACCGCAGCAGCTACGTGGTCAGCAGCGGGATCCGCGGTAAACTCCTCGAAGTCAACACCAATCTCTCCGCCCGACCGTCTCTCCTTTCCTCAAAGGTACACATTTACATTTGCCGCAGCATCGAACTGTCTGCTGAATTTTTACAAATTATTGTTGAATTATTTTCTGAATTTTTATTAATTATTGTTGAATTATCTGCTGAATTTTCAGTAATTATTAGCAGATAATTAATTACGTATTTGCTGAATTTTTATTAATTATTGTTGAATTATCTGTAGAATTTCTAGTAATTATTGTTAAATTATTGGCGGAAATTATATTAATTATTTTTGAATAATCCGCTGAATTTTCTGTCATTATTGTCGAATTTTTATTTTGTTATTGCTGAATTATTCACTGAATATTTATTTGATAATTATGGCTGAATTTTATTAATTATTGCAGCCTTTTTCCACGGGCTACCTGGCCATCATCATGCCGAACGCCATGGAGATGGACATTATCCGTGCGTCCCTCCACGACGAAGACATGTTCCGTCAACTGCGCAAAATTTAATAATTATACGAGTATTCATTCTGTCTTCCCAATTTTGACCAATGTACCAACGCGCTTCTCTAAGTAGAAAAATCTGCCTTTTAAAGTAATTCAAACTGTACAAAAACCCCGAGAAAATTGACAAAACTTCCATGCATCACTCAAAAAAAAGCAAAAAATGTCGTGAAGAACTGTGATGAATAAAGATAAATAAAAACGTTGAAGAGGTGAATTTCAGGGAGATTTCTCCAGGGTGAGGGTTTGCGCGGCCGCCGTGTACAGGTAGCACAGCGCGTCGATGGCGGCGGCGCGGCGGGACGCGGATTTCGTGGCGCCCGTGCCGAAACAGACGACCTGTCGCGGCAATGTCAGGGTGATCAGGCTGGCCGCCGCCACCGGTTGCGGAAACGTCGGTAGCGAGATTTTCTCATCTGGAAAACCCACGAAAAACCATTTTAATAATTATCCCAAATTTCTGCAATTATTTTACGCAAATATTCGTATTCTAGACGATATTACTATATTTTTTATTAAACATTTTCACTTTAACCCACAAATAATTTTCATTGTTTTGTTGTAAAATGTTGTTGTTTAATTTCTTTACATTTTATTCGCGGCAATTTTTATTATTTCTTTTAGTTTTGCCGTACATATTTGCAATTTTTCCATTTATAATGTTTTGTATCATTTTATTTTAAATATACTGTACGTAAATATTAGCGCAAATATGCTTAATGCTAACAAGTAATTATTCAGTTCGTTAATTAATTTTTTAAACGAATTTTTTTACCGAGAACATTAAATTTTAATACAATTTTATTAGTGATTTTATTTCACATTTTTTCGTAATGCTAATACATGGACGTAAATTGCCGCGGCAGTGTCAACGTGATTAAAATGGCCGCCGCCACCGGGTGCGGCAACGTCGGTAGCGAGATTTTCTCATCTGCAAAACACACGAAAAACCATTTTAATAATTATCCCAAATTTCTGCAATTATTTTACGCACACGATATTATTATATTTTTTTATTTAATATTTTCACTTTAACCAGTGAATGATTTTCAACGTTTTGTTTTAAGTTGTTGTTTAATTTCTTCACATTTTATTCGCGGCAATTTTTTTATTATTTCTCTCATTTGTGCCGTATTTGCAATTTTTCAATTTATAATTTTTTGTATCTTTTTATTTTTAAACGTACTGTACGTAAATATTAGCGCAAATATGCTGAGTGCTAACAAGTAATTATTCAGTACGTTAGTCAATTTTTTAAACGAATTGTTTCCCCGAGAATATCAAATTTTAATACAATTTTATTAGTGTTGATTGTATTGTACGTTTTTTCGTAATGCTAATACACGTAGGTAAATTGTAGTACAGTGCCACAGTACGATACAAATGCGCGCGAAATGCTGGCAATAATTACCATGTTCGTTAAGCAATTATTTTACCGACTTTAATCGATTTTTAAATGATTATTTGTCTGACTGACCCTTGACGCGGGTGAAGTCGAAGAGATCGTCGAAGAGAATGTCGAAGTGGAGCTGCGTGGCCAGCTCGCGGATGACGTCCAGCGGGTCGGGATGGTTTAGGACCTCGTTGAGGGACAGACTGCGCAGCGCCGCCAGCGAATCGCACGTCTGGTTGGCCATCAGATCCTTGTACAGCGTCTGCATGGGCGGGGCGCGCTGCGGGATGGGCTGGCGGTGGCGGTTGTTGCGGTTGCTGTAGGCGCGCGCCGCATACGCCTACATCAACACAATAATCATGATCAGCGTCAATAAATCAATAAACAACAAATAATTCTTTTTATAAACAACAATTTTTCATCAAAGATTTTTTACAACATATTTTTCTTTTAAAAAGCTCAGGATCAATTAAAGATTTAACGGAAACAACTGGAAGAAACGGGATAAAATAAAGAAAATTATAAATAATAAAAATGAGTGAGAAATTCTTGATTTTATGTTAATGATTTAATCGAGTAGAAGCGGAAATTTTGCGAAAAATATTGTACCGGAAATAATTATTGCAAAAAGTTATTTCTATTCAGATGGAGTTTACTACAATTAATGGTCCAATAAAAATTAAAAAACAACCGACAAAAAATAATAAAAAATGTGTGAGAATTGAGAAATCAGTGATGTTCTATTAAACAATTAATCGGGTAACAGCCGGAATTTTTCGAAACACAATCGCGCAGGAAATAATTCTTTTTTTAAAAAAACTTATTTTCAGTTCAAATCAGATTTTCCAAAAAACCAGCGCCCACCTCGGCGCGTTTCTGCCAGAGCTCGAGGACGTCGGGCGCGGTGCGGAGGATCTCGTACATGTTGGCGGCGGCCATGCGCTTGGCCTCCTTCTTGGACTTGCCCCGTCCCAGCGCCTTGTAGCTCCACACGTAGCAGCAGATGCTGAAGGTGGCGTCGTGCGCCGCGCCTTCCCGCTCGTGCAGCTCGAACTGCGGCGGCGGCCAGCGGATACTCAGCGTCAGCTCCTGCAAACTACACCCCCCACCCCATTTGATTCCAATAGTTTTCGGTATTAATTATCTGTCACCAGAATCCAGAATTAAATCGGCGAAAATAAAGGCATTATCTGCTAATTATTATCCTATTTTTTAAATTATTATTTATTAATTGAATTAAATCGGCAAAAATAAACGTATTATTAATTTTGTTAATTATTATCCTATTTTGTAAAATTATTATTTATTTAATTATTTGTGACCAGAATTAAATCGGCAAAAATAAAGACATTATTCGATAATTATTATCGTATTTTTTAAAATTAATATTTGTCAATTACTTGTGACCAAAATGAAATCGGCCAAAAATAAAGGCATTATTGTTAATTATTATCCTATTTTTTAAAAATTATTATGTAGTAAATAATGCTGTTTATTGCGTGGAAGTCAACGTACCTGCCGACGGGATTTTCCTTGCGGCAGTGCGGCACCGGATACTGCTGGCCGGGCTGCGCCGGAAATCGTCGGGCGCCGGGCGCGGATCCGGGGGGCGGGGCGCTCGGCGAAGCGACCTCCGGCGCGGCCGCAACGGGCTCGGTCGCCGCCGGCGCCGCGGCCGTGTGCACCGTCACCGTCGCCGTCGAACCATCCACAACGCTGCACAAACAGACGCCACAAACCAATAAATATAAAAAAAAACTGCCCAACTATTTATCATTGATAATTATAAAAGAATAATTATTACGTTCGAATTCTAATCCACAGCGAATAAGTAACCCACTTAATAATTTAATTATCATTATTCATTCCCCATTACCCGAATAAAATCATTCGAATAAATTAAAAATCATTTATTTCGGACTTTACAAGGGAATAATTTTTTTTCTTAAAAATTCTTAAATATCTAATTCGAAAAAATTTATTTAACGTTTACTAAATCATTTTTTCTATTTTATACTGATATTTTTACACTACGTATGTATGTACTTACAATTACAAAACGTCCATAAGAAAATAACGGAAAAAATAAATAGCAAAAAAAGCGAATACAATCGCACCACAGCCAGCACAAATTCGATAAGGATGGTCTAAAAATAAATATCAAAATTCATTAAATAAATTATTCACCTGCTGGTGTCCACCAGGGGAAACTTGGCCGCCAGCTGGATATTATGCACCCCGCGCCCCACCTCCTCCACTTTCTCCTCGACCAACGTCTCCCCCTCCCCTTCCATCGCATCCACCTCCGCGGGCGGGAGCCGATTGAGCTTGATGAGGAGATTCTTGGCGGCCAGCTGGCGCGCCTCCTGTTTGCGCCGTCCGCGGCCCTGCGCCTCCGTCCCGTCGACGTGCACCTTGTAGACGAAGGTGGGCTCGTGCGACATACCCTCCATGCTGACCAGCTGGTAGACGGGGGTCAGTTTGCGCTCCTGACTCAGCACGTCGTGCAGGATCGTCACGTAGGATTTCGGGCATTTCGACGGGGAGCCGCCCAGGCTGGGTTCCAGAGGGGTGCCCTGCGAAGGAAAAAATTGAGTTCATGTTAAAATGAATGTTTCGCATGGATGGGGAAGGTTGTAGGCGGGAATGGATGGAATAAGAGTGCGTTGGGGAAACATGAACGAACCTGTCGACTCTGCTCAGTATCCATGACTGATTCGCTGTATTTCTCGATATCCAGTTCTTCTCTGCCAAATAAACAATCAATTCATCCCCTAAACAATCAGGGAGATGAACGTAAACAAATTTATTGTGAATCAATGAAAATGATCCTCGAAATGACGAAATCAAAAGTGAAAAAACGGAAAAGTTGAAAGTCAAAAAAACGACGAAAAGACGAAAACATATCGAGGCGAGAAAATCGAGGCACTGACTCTAAACTGCTCAGCACACGTAAGCGTCATTCCATGGCGGTTGCTTTAAAACTTTTAACAAGACAGCTTTTTGGTCTGTTAGCTACTTAATTGTTTTTCGCTTTATTCATGTTTCGTTAATTATTCACTGCAAACGTATTCAATTAAATGGCTTTCGAGTTTTAATTGTGCCGGATTGATTCAGCATCACAACCATTGCTTTTTAACTAGACGGCTTATTTGTCTGTTAGCAAGCTGTACTTAATTTATTTATTTTATTAATTATTAACGCAAATGTATTATTTAATTAAAATGGCTTTTTAATAATTGTGCCGGGTTGATTCGGCACCACACCCGGCGCTATAAATATCTAAGCATTCGTCTACGACCATACCACGTAGAAAACTCCCGATCCCGTTCGATCTCGGAAGATAACCTACGTCGGGCCCGGTTAGTACTTGGATGGGTGACCGCTTGGGAACACCGGGTGTTGTAGACTTTTTTGCCTTTTAACTAGACGGCTTTTTGGCTAACTGTACAGTACTTAATTTTTTTATATTTTGTTTGTTAATAACGCTAATGTATTAATATTTAAATGGCTTGAGGATTGGATGGCCTCCGACCGCAGCACATTAAGGACATGCTGAGTTGTAAAGATGCTGTCGAATCTCCGCTATGTATTGCGCTGTGCAAGTTGATAAATTTTCTTGTTGCTGGCAAGTTACCGGAGGAGTTGAGACCTGTTCTGTTCGGCGCTAACCTGATTGCTCTGTCGAAGAAAGATGGTGGTGTTCGTCCGATTGCTGTGGGAAATGTAATACGAAGACTTGCAGCCAAGATTGTCACGAAGCGTTGTGGGAAAAAAGCGAATGAACTATTCACTCCCACACAAGTTGGATGTGGTACACGCGGCGGAGCAGAAGCAGCTGTACATGCAGTCCGAAGTTTCATTCAAGAGGAGCACGACGGCCTACGAGTTTTGTTTAAAATAGACTACAGAAATGCTTTTAACACTGTCCGTCGTGACATTATGTTACAGTGTGTCCTACAACACTTCCCGGAATACTATCCGTTCGTTTTGAGTGCATATGGAGCGCCGTCTGTCCTCTCGTGCAGCGGCAGTGATGAGGATTTGTCATCCGCCACGGGGATCCAGCAGGGCGATCCGATGGGACCACTGCTTTACTGCCTCGTCTCTCTTCTATTCTGTATAAATCTGTGTTCAAGGTTGAAGGTGTTTTTCTTGGACGACGGTGCCCTGGGAGGTACGGTGGAAGAAGTTGCCGAAGATTTGGTATCAATCATCACCGCCAGCAGCGCCGCTGGACTACAACTGAACCCCGCGAAGTGCGAAATGTTGCTCATTGGTGGAAGTGTTGAAGAACGCGAGGTGGCCAAGAACAGGCTGCACTCAATTGCTCCCGGTGCGATTGTTTTGCAGCCTGAAACGGTAACGTTTCTTGGTGCACCATTAACTGACGAGGCGATAACTCACTCACTGCAACAGAAAATTGCTTCGCTAAAAATTTTTGCAGATCGTTTGCGATTACTGAGCGCACATCATGGATTTTATCTTTTGCGGAACTGTCTGTCCATCCCGAAGCTCATGTACACGCTACGGTGTAGCCCCTGTTGGAAGGTACCTGAACTGTTGGACGAGTTCGATGGTCACGTTAAAGAAGTCCTGGAAGAAATAACCAACACCGAACTGGACGGACAAGTTTATACGCAGGCTACACTCCCTGTTGCCAAAGGGGGTTTGGGTGTGCGACGAGCGAAAGCGTTGGCTCCTTCAGCCTTTTTGGCTTCCATGTTTTCGACCCGTCAGCTAACATCACGGATCTACAATGGCGATACGGAGAAGTTAGTCAATGCTGCATGTGAATGCTGGAAGCGAGAGTCCGCCTGTGAAGAGTTACCCCTGGATTTGGCACGCGTTCACCAGTGTGTATGGGATACAGTGATGGGTTACTGAGTTTTTTGGACCCCTTACTTACTTTTACTTTTGCTTACTTTTGACTTACTTTACTGTTACTTTTTCGCTGCCGCAAACGCTACTTTTACTTACTGTTTACTAATTCGCCTTAAAGATTACTTACTCAGTAAGCCAAGTACTAATAGCTATAGCTTATGTGAGGAAGCAAATTTCGCGCGAAGCGCGAAGGTGACGAGCAAATTTATAGTGAAATCGTAAGAAATTCCAATAAAAATCGTATTGTCAGTAGAAATATTGCCAGTCTGAATTTTTCTCTACTTTTTACTTACTTTTACTGTTACTTTAAAAACCTTACTTACTGTTACTGTTACTAGAGGTCCAAAACGTTACTGGTTACTGAATACTTAATATTAGGCTACTGTTTACTGAGTAACTTTCCCTTACTTACTGTCTACTCAGTAACCCATCACTGATGGGATAATGCTGTTATACAAAGGGACGTCACTGAGATATGGAGCAAAGCCGGAGGCAGTAAGCAAGACGAAGCACGGTTGAGAGCTATCAGCACGAAGTATGCCGGGGCTTGGCTTAACGCTCTTCCCGCAAAAGTGTTCGGCAATTTTTTGGACGATCAGACTTTTCGAATTTCCGTTGGCTTGTGGCTTGGCGCTAAAATTGTCGAGTGTCATTCGTGTGCCAGATGTGGAAAAGATGTAGCAGAGAACGGATACCATGGGCTGGCCTGTAAGAAGTGCATTGGTAGAAGGGAACGACATAACGGTATTAACGATATTATCTTGCGAGCGCTATGTAATGCCGGGATTGAATCGTATCCAGAGCCTATTGGCTTTTTGCGCGAAAATGGAAAGCGTCCGGATGGAGCCACGCGCTGGAAGTGGTACCGCGGGCAGCCTTTAGTATGGGACGTGACCTGTAGAGATACGATGGCGGATTCGTATGTCGACGCGACCTCAAAGTGTGCCGGTGCGGCCGCTGAGCTGGCTTCCAAGGAGAAGATTGGGAAATACAAGTCTCTCACTGATCGATGTCATTTTGTCGCCTTTGCATGCGAGACTTTTGGCACTTGGTGTGAGACTGGCATTGTTACCTTAAAGGAGATTGGAAAGAAACTGTATTTGAGAACGGGCGAGAGTCGCTCGACTTGTTTTTTGTTTCAACGTTTAAGTTTGGAGATTATGCGTGGTAATGCTATGAGTGTATTGTGCACAGTCCCTTCTCATGTAAATTGGGACAAATTCTTCATTTGAATATAATTGTTGAGCGAAGCTCGCTTTGTACATATTGAGAAATAAAATCCATATTTTAAATGGCTTTTTAATAATTGTGCCAGGTTGATATTCGGCATCACAACCGGCGCTACAAATATCTGAGCACTCGTCTACGACCATACCACGTAGAAAACTCCCGATCCCGTTCGATCTCGGAAGATAACCTACGTCGGGCCCGGTTAGTACTTGGATGGGTGACCGCTTGGGAACACCGGGTGTTGTAGACTTTTTTGCCTTTTAACTAGACGGCTTTTTGGCTAACTGTACAGTACTTAATTTTTTTATATTTTGTTTGTTAATAACGCTAATGTATTAATATTTAAATGGCTTTTTAATAATTGTGCCAGGTTGATATTCGGCATCACAACCGGCGCTACAAATATCTGAGCACTCGTCTACGACCATACCACGTAGAAAACTCCCCATCCCGTTCGATCTCGGAAGATAACCTACGTCGGGCCCGGTTAGTACTTGGATGGGTGACCGCTTGGGAACACCGGGTGTTGTAGACTTTTTTGCTTTTTAACTAGACGGCTTTTTGGCTAACTGTACAGTACTTAATTTTTTTATATTTTGTTTGTTAATAACGCTAATGTATTAATATTTAAATGGCTTTTTAATAATTGTGCCAGGTTGATATTCGGCATCACAACCGGCGCTACAAATATCTGAGCACTCGTCTACGACCATACCACGTAGAAAACTCCCGATCCCGTTCGATCTCGGAAGATAACCTACGTCGGGCCCGGTTAGTACTTGGATGGGTGACCGCTTGGGAACACCGGGTGTTGTAGACTTTTTTGCCTTTTAACTAGACGGCTTTTTGGCTAACTGTACAGTACTTAATTTTTTTATATTTTGTTTGTTAATAACGCTAATGTATTAATATTTAAATGGCTTTTTAATAATTGTGCCAGGTTGATATTCGGCATCACAACCGGCGCTACAAATATCTGAGCACTCGTCTACGACCATACCACGTAGAAAACTCCCGATCCCGTTCGATCTCGGAAGATGGCCTGAACACCGGGTGTTGTAGACTTTTTTGCCTTTTAACTAGACGGCTTTTTGGCTAACTGTACAGTACTTAATTTTTTTATATTTTGTTTGTTAATAACGCTAATGTATTAATATTTAAATGGCTTTTTAATAATTGTGCCAGGTTGATATTCGGCATCACAACCGGCGCTACAAATATCTGAGCACTCGTCTACGACCATACCACGTAGAAAACTCCCGATCCCGTTCGATCTCGGAAGATAACCTACGTCGGGCCCGGTTAGTACTTGGATGGGTGACCGCTTGGGAACACCGGGTGTTGTAGACTTTTTTGCCTTTTAACTAGACGGCTTTTTGGCTAACTGTACAGTACTTAATTTTTTTATATTTTGTTTGTTAATAACGCTAATGTATTAATATTTAAATGGCTTTTTAATAATTGTGCCAGGTTGATATTCGGCACCACACCCGGCGCTATAAATATCTAAGCATTCGTCTACGACCATACCACGTAGAAAACTCCCGATCCCGTTCGATCTCGGAAGATAACCTACGTCGGGCCCGGTTAGTACTTGGATGGGTGACCGCTTGGGAACACCGGGTGTTGTAGACTTTTTTTTGCATCGTAATGAGAAATGTAATTTTTTTTAAAGTGCTTATATGATTATTTTTATACGTTATGGAACGTATTATGTTATTAGAGTCATTAAAAATTACATTAGTACTGTATAACTAAATTTTTAAACAGAGAGCAGTACCAAATCTTCTGTAGAAACTGCTTTATTGAGACACATTTGGGCGACATACAAAGTGTAATGACAAATTTTTCAGAAATGACAAGAAATGTGCATGTGTCATGCAGCGGAAGCCGCCAGGAACCAACCGGAACTGCTGCGCACTAAGTTGCCGACGCCGGCCGTTTTCGTGGACGCCGTGGAGTATCTGCAACCGGTAAGACGTCCCGCAGCCACTTTACATTTTCTGCTGAAATCAGAAAATTTACAGCGAACTGCATAAAAAAAACTGCAAAATCGCTACACATGATTGATCGGTGTGTCCAGTAGTATGATTACGCTGTTGCAAGATTGTCTGCCTATGAGATCACTAATTACTCAAAAAATTTATAATTTTCTTTGCTCCGATTGAAAATTAAAATGTATCTGTTGTCTTTAACGTTGTTGGTACCGTTTGTGACCTATGTGTGTGGTCAGCTACCTTCCGCACAATTTTCAGCGAAATACCCTCTCGACCGGAAGTTACAGGTCGCCACCGTCGAAGTAAGAAAACGGCCGCATATAAGTGACCTGAAGATTCTCGGGAAGCCGGAAATTAAATTAGTCGCTTATAATTTACTTAATTATGTGTTAATTTACCTAACAACTTACAGATACTAGTTATTCTATTTATTTTCCTTTTTTTAGTCGTTTTTAGTATTAATTAATACTAAAAAGGACTAAAAAAAGGAAAATAAAATAGAATAACTAGTATCTGTAAGTTGTAATATTTTATTGTAATTGTATTGTATCTGTAATCCTATATATTAATAAAATAAGCCTTAGCGAATTCCATTTCTGTCTCCCTTTTTTGAGCGAGCCACTGAACCAAACTTTGATGTCTATATGTCATTCAATAGCCGCGAGTTTGCAGATTTGCAGAAACCAGTCAGTTTTTTGAAACTATGTGAAGTTTCAGAGAAAATCTTAAAAGAACTTAACATACAAAGTCTACGGGAAAAGTGGAGAACCCACCACTGCAAACCCACCCACGCCACCACTATCACGAACAGCATAGGAAAAGCATCCATCTACATACACTTGATGGAACTTTGGTGTCCATTAGTTATCAGAATGCCTTTAGTCCATAAGATTTTTATTAAGAGTTAGTTTTTAAAATATGTAGGCTTTGAAAGTGATATTTCTTAAAGACTGAACATGCAGAATCTCCTGGAAAGTGGGAACGACCCAAATTCAAAAAATAAAGTACTGTAGTTGCCTTTCGCAACGGGTTTATTAGATTTATTATTAAAACTGCTTCCACAGGGCGGTTGGCTTTGGTAATATCGTGCTGATGTGCCAATAAAGTGGAATACCCTTTTTTTCAAATCGCCAATAAACATGATTTTGTGAGAGACTTAAAATCGATTTTGAGAATTTTGGTGTTCGACTGGAAATGATGTGGACTGCTTGAGCAAATCAGCGAGTGCCAGTCCCACCTGGAGTACGGACTAGGATTCGAGTCTAACAACTGCCCGGGATAGAAGGCGGCTCAAGGCCGCAAATCTTTTCCGCCGACTGAAGTGAGGAGCGCGTATTTTAAATGTCCGCAGAGGGAGGGAGTGGAGGTTAAAATTTTTCGAAAGGCTAAGGAACGTAGACAAAAACGGTTTTATGAAAACAAAAACCGCATTTTTAGCATTTAAAAATTTAAAACAAACCGAGGATTTAAAAAGCAAAACTTATCCGCATTGTAATCTATCTTTCCGCCAGCTATAAAGCAATCCGTCAGATCATCTCCCATCAAAGGTCAAAACAAAAAAATTAGGGGAATACCCTAACCGGTGTGCCTGGGTGCGATGCGCTACATTAATGAACCATCTGTGCGGACGTAAGCGTGAAGCGACAATGCGTTTAATGGGTTGGGGATGTTGTTGGCGTTTAATGGGTTGCGTTGGGTTGGGGATGCGACAATCTGCAGCGGGGGTCGCAAGCAATACACTGCGCTTAAGTTGTCGGCGTTAATTAATAATAAAAAATTCACCAAAGAACACAACGAAATTTTGAAGTCTTCATCAGGTTTAAATTGTTTTGTGTGTAAACAGCAGGAGGAAACTAGACACTGAAAGTATTTTCATTCTAAGTGGTCTAAAGGTTAACATCGGTGGTCGTACCGTCGTATCACTGGATTGTTTTGTCGGTCACAACGCAGTGAACGCAGTGACTAAAATTTAACGAGAACGAAGCTCCGAATGGTATTTGAATCAGTAGATGTACGGTAATACGGCTACAAAAATTCCAGTAATTGTGGAGCTTATCTTATTTATAGTTGTTGACAACTAACCGGCACATGCTGCTGATTGATTTGGGAGAAACCAAAAAATTTTGTTTTATAATTGCAAACAAAAAGGGTTTATTCCTGGAAATTTTCGAATTTTTCGGGTCTAATTTAAGGTTAGACCTGAAGTCAGCGGAACGCGACAATGTTTTTCTCAAAACGGTCTTAAACATTTAATTAAGTAGTAAACTGTGATATTTGTACATTCTAACTGCTACTAATCTGTCAGTGAACTATGGCCAAAATAAAGAATAATTTATGACAGTAAGTTATGATAAGAAGTCAACCGAATAGGTATTTGGCAAATACTGTGTCTCTGCCAATGAAACTATATTATTATTATCATTATTATTATACGCTCCGCTCAATAAAACTAAATTTGTAGTCATGGGTTTGTACTTTGTACTTTTCCTAAATTACAATTTATCGCCGATTTATTCCGCGCAGTTTGCGCGGGGTCAACTAGTATTTTCTATACTGATCTATTTTCTGCTTATCATTATCAATTTGTATTTCATTCGATTAATCCAAATTCATCTTGGAAATTTTTTCTGCAGATCCCGTATCTGTTCAATAAAGCGGACAAATCCGGTTTCTTCCCGGAACTGCTGAGACTCCTGGCCGAATACGGAAATCTCAATGTCGATCTGGATAATATCCATTTTTCCACCAATTTCGACGAGGCGAAGGATTATGTGGCCAACAAGGTGACCTTTACTGTCGCCATCCGGCTTGACCGCTTTGCTGATTAGTTAAATACTTAATAAGATTAAATTAAATTCGTCTATTTAAATTGACTAAATAATTGCAAATTAATTTTATAGTATAAGGGTATATTTTCTTGGAACAGGAAGGCGACATTTTGGCCGTCGCCGTGGAGAACGACGGGATCTACAAGAGCAACCTCAACTTCACCTATCCCATTTTCGGCTCGAAGGTTGTCCAGGTGAAGAGCAGCCAGCATTCCGACGTCACCACCGTCTCCGTTCTCAGCACCACGCCCACACAGGACACCATTAAAGTATGGCATTTTAAAAAAAATTTGATAGGAACTGGGCCGGTAGAGAGTACAGTTATCTTTATTTTTAAATTTATTTACTTAACTGATTTAACTAATTTGTTTAAAATGTCGATCTTTTTAGGATAATATCTTAATTTGTTTCAATTTTTTAAAATTGATTTTTGATTTTTTATATATGGTTTTGGTGATTGTTTTTGTATATATGCGGTGCTGACAATTCGTGACCTTTAGGCGCAACCCGGCAACTTCCCCGGTATGAGCTCCAACCTGGGCCCGCCCAGCGGATCCTCCTCCCAACCGGGCTCACTGGACGACGCCCTAAACGCCGTGGAAAACGGGAAAGCCACCTTCCTGGGGCGGACGCCGGTGCTGGACACGGCGGTCCGTTCCCGGACATCCCTGACCCTTTCCGACATGTCCACGCCCCTCGTCGTCTACTCTGGATTCGCCGTCGGAAGCGGTACGCCAACTCCAGTGTTTTTCATAACCTCCAACATAAAAACGTGACCTTTGTAGCGCCCATCGTCCTGGAGCGTCTGAACGCCGCCATTATTAAGGCGCGTCTGAATAACGCCACCCAGAAACTCTTCCTGGCTAAATTCCCGCATTCCACGTTCCTGGAACCACCGTTGGACAAGTTCCCCCAGCTATCGACGGCCATCGCAGCTTTCTCCGGAAGTTCCACGTCGAATCCGGGAACTTCCGGCACCTCCACGCCGCTTCCGGTGACCTCCGGCACCTCGAAACCGACGACCGCGGCTCCCGGGAAACCCACCCCTCCGCACGGCAAACCCAAACCCCCGTCGCCCCACCAACCTTCCAACGCCGGACCGGGACACCCCCGCCCTCCTCCCCCGCCGCACCACGGCCCCGGTGGTCGTTCGGAGGGTCGTGGAGGTCATTCCGGAAGCCGAGAAGAACGTCCCCACGGGGGCGAGCACCACGGCCGCCCGGGAAGCCGGTCTTTCGGACCACCGCCGCCCCCGAAACAGGGCGGTGAGCAATCGGACTTTGGAGGTTATCCCAACGGTCCGGGAGGGGACGGACAGCAAGGGGGTTCGTGGCAGCCGCCGTTCGGGATGCCGTTCGGACCGGGCGGCCCACCAAACGGTCCGGGAGGCCCTCCTCCGCCGCCACCGCCGGGGGGTCCGCAGTTCGGGCCCGGAGGTCCGGGAGGCCCTCCGGAGGGATCGGGCGGGTATTCCGGGCCGCCGCCCAATCACGGCCCGATGTTTGTGCAACCCGGCGGCGGGCAGTATGGTTATGGAGAAATGAATGCCGGACGTGGCTAATTTTTTTGATTTTTCCCACAATTATTAATCACGGCGGTTTATTATTCTCATAGCGATTTATTCTCAGTTTTACCGGATAAGGCCAATTTTCTACATTTAAGCCGTGTATCGGAACATGGAAAATCGCTGTATTACTCGTACATTCTTTACGTCAAGCTCTTATGCACAATCGAAAGTCACGTGATTCCGGAATTAAATTAAAAAATAGGCAATTAATCTAAATTTGAACCGGATTATTTTCGATTCAAAAATTAAATTATATCCGAATTTAAATTTAGAAAATAAAACGAAACCAAATTTAAACCGGATTATTTTGGATCTACAAAATTAAATTTTTAAAAGAATTAAATTTAAAAAAAAACACTAAAAATTTAAACCGGGGCAATTCTGGATTTAAAAACTATATCACAATGGAATTACCTTTGTAAAACATAAATCAAATTATTTTTATTATTAGATATTCTTGTATCCGACAATATCCGTCGAAAACTGCACAGGGCATTGGTAATAATAAAAATAAGTCGACAAAACTACAAAACGCGAGAAAAATCATCAGCATCCGGATGAAAATCCGGGGAAAAAAACCGCAAATGTACTTTACTCCGCTGCATGCCTTCGTTGACGAAAATGTGCCCACATTCCACGGCGGATAACGGTGCTCCTAAAACCATGGGAATAATCACCCAATAAAAAACCAAAAAAAAAATGGAATAAATAAAATGAATCAAAACAATATTAATTATCTATCAAAACTAATCTAACAACGGTTACATAAAAAATTACCGATAAAATTCATTGAAGCAATAAAAATCATTTAAAAAACTGTAAAAATAATTTGCCAAAATTAATCCAGCAACAAATCACAAAATTAATGAACTTCGAAGCATAAAATCCTGATTATAATTAATTAAACTCTAAAATTTAAATATCAATAAAAAGAAATAATATTATAGTGAATTAATATCGCCAAAAATTCAGAAAAAAACTCTACAGCAGCCAAAAAAATCTAGAAAAAGGCAGTAAAGTATATAAAAAATTAAAAACAAATTTCCTCACCGTTCGACCATCCCGTTCAGACAGACAATGTCACAATAATTCACAATATCGCGATTCTTCAGGCATAAGCGCACAGCAGAACTAGAAAGCAGGAACGTCACTATGTTACAGCACTTTATCCTGATTCCTGATCAAACAGGCGAAATTAAATCCAATTTTATTATGATGACTGTTAAAAACTGCTCGGATATTCTAAAAAAAATGAAAAAATTACGCACACTGCCATCAGCAACGAGAAATGGAAGTAAAGAGAGCGAACAATAAAACCACCAATAAAAGCCAAAATTCAGCAATAAATTCGCCAATGAGAGAGCGAATAGGAAAAACACGGATTAAAAAGCCAAAATAAAATTCTGATTAATTTGGGGATGTGAGAAATTCTCCAATCCAGGAAATCTGTACAAGGAAAAATATTCCAGGAAATATTTTCCAAAACATATCCTCAATGTCGCGCGCACGTCCGTTTCCGCGTCTGGAGCTCCGCCCCGCCGCGGCGCCCCTCTGACGACCGCTCCCGCTTCCCCAGACGTCCGCAGCTCCCTTCCCGGCGCGGGGAAAACTTCTCCCCGCAGCGCTTCGGAGATTTCATTGGCGAGAACTTCCCATCGTGGCCCTTACGGGGGCTCCGCAACCCCACCTCACTGGGCCGGCGGAAGGGGTCCACCCCCCGCGAGGAGGAGGGTTCACTGCGGTCGTCCAGACGCAGACCGTCGAGGGTGACCTCCGCGTCCAGGGTGGAGAAGTGCCCCCCGGGGGCGGCGGCCGGGGGGTGCGGTTTAGGGGCCTTGGTGGCCTTGGCGGCCAGCCAGGCGTTCTGGGTGAGGGCGCCGGCCAGGGCGCGGTTGAGGAAGGTGCGGTTGTGCTTGGGGACGGGGTTGCGCTGCCAGGCGGTGGCCCCGAAGGTGGCCGCGCGGTCCGAGGCGCGCTGGGCGTCGCGCAGCAGCTCGGCCACGGCTAGACGGTCCAGGTCCACGTCCACGGTTGGGTCGTCCGTTTCGCAGGCTTCCATGACGTCGGAGCGGGTTTGTAGGTACCCAGATAAAAAAAACAGAAAAACCTGTATCCAGAGAGAAGCAAGCAGTTCGCCAAGATCAACACCAATCGAAGCTCAACAAATCCCAGTAAAATCAGTCATGAACAAGGTGCTTTTTTCGGATAATTTTCCAGTCTACCGTAGCGTTTAAACACAAGGAACAGCAAGGATATTTTCACCGTATATTATGGGGAGAATTAATAAGGCAAAACAAGGAGATTGAAGACGAAAAGTTCGACGAGGGAATTTGTCAAATCGAACGACTCTAATATCGAACTCACGAGACACGAGAAAAATCCAAGAGAAAGGAAGAAAATTAATCACGCACTACGCAGTTTATTTACGTAATCCAGCTGCCAGCAGAAATGGGCATTCCAAAAGACTTGCGTTCGCCAACGACTTTGTCACCAATTCCATTTCTGTGACGTCTGTGGCTCTGTGCTCAGACCTGCGAATAGTGGTAATGCAATTCCAAAATCCAAAAAACCAAAATAATCTGCCAATTCCAACCTCATGCCAATTCCATTCCGCCCCCATGCTAACAGATGGAAATCCCAGTGGATCGGAAGATAGTTTCCATTTCTGGTGGGCCATTTCTTGTTGGAATTTGCCGTTGCTCGTCAAAAAGCACAACATTAGAAAACTCACGCAAACCAGATGTACTATTTGTAATTACAGTAATTTGTTAATTTTCTAGCTTCCACTGTTTTCTTCTCGTTTCTCCTGATGGTTTCCACGTTAAAAATTTAAAGAGGCGTAGTTTAAAGTCTAGACGATGCTTGATTGTCGGTTGGCTGTCTGTTTAATTTCCCGTTGACGTGAAAATGACGTCCCCCGCTCCGACAGCGGACGAAGCGACCCTGCAGCTGCTGCACAGCGCGGAATCCCTCTTCGCCGAGTACCACCAACCGGCCACCAGTAACCCCCGCAAAGCGGCCATCGAGATCCAGTTGAAGCAGTCCTTATCCGATCCCCGCCACTGGAAATTGTGGATTGATTCGCTGTGCCTGAGCAGCAGTCCGTATTTGCTGCTGCACTGCCTCAATCTCCTCAACGACCTCATCACGCATTTCTGGTCCACTTGGACCACCCCCGACCAGAAGCAGTACATCAAGGTACCCTTAGAATCAATCCCAACTTTGAAAATTTCACCTAATTTTCTATCTTCTAATTAAAGTCATTTTAATATCAAGCCGGGCCTTCGCGTGCTGGACGTGATTTAACATGGAAAAAATTCGAATTTTATTTTTTTATTTTAAATTAAATCGTGATTAAAACCGGAGAAAATCGTGGAAATAAATTATAATTTAAAAAAATATGTAGATAAAATTATATTCGATCTTCGAGATTTCTTTCCCTTGCACTGGTGTTTTATTTTCCTAATTTTTGTATTTTGATGTCTTATTTCTGGTATTGTGTTTTTATTTTCCTTTTTTTTATTTTTCGTTGGTAATTTATTCTCCAGTTTTTAACTGACGATTTTATTTGCCTAATTCTTTTCCAGTTGTAGTGGAGGATGTTTTACTTATTCGTTCTCGGATTAAAACGCACTATTTTTACGAAAGGCAGCTGCCGAAATCCTTTTAAAACATATTACGAAAAAAATAACTATAAAGAAATAATTAAAATTTAAAAAAATAAAATAATATGGGTGGAAATGAAAGTTTTCTGAAATAATCTCGTATTAGTTGATTGAATACGAGTATTGAACATCATAATAAATTTTCAGCCGCACAAGCTTCGTTGCTTGACGAATTAATTTCAGATTATTTTATCGAATTAATTCCGGTTATTTTTAAAACAACTGAAAGTGTTCGAATTTCATTTTAAATTTTATTTATTTTAGGACCGTCTCCTGCACTATTTAACCGACCCCACGGCGCCGGCCCTGCCCGCCTTCCTGCACACCAAACTGCTAAAACTCCTGGTGGACGTGGGACGCAATGACTGGCCGCACTTCTACCCGGCCTTCTTCCAGCACGTGCAGATGATGGTGGGGGAGGCGCGGCTGCGACTGGTGGGGCTGAAGATGCTGCGGCTGGTGTGCGAGGAGTTTGTGGCGCCGCGGGAGGACGTGCGGGCCGAGCGGAAGGAAGAGCTGCACAAGCTGTTGCTGGGCAAGGTGCCGGCGGTGTGGGGCATGCTGGAGAAGGTGTTGGTCCCGGTGGCGGAGGGGTTGAGTCGCGGGGAGAAGGCGGCGGCGGGGAAGGAGGAGGTGCGCTGCGCCAGTGAGGCGCTGCAGGTAAATAACCGGCGTTTGTCTGTTTAATTTAATTCTGTCTATTTTTTTCGCTTTTTTTGTTTAGCTGTCTGCTTTCCCGTGTTCTCCAATTTTTTTCATTTTTTATTTCTGGTTATTTCACTTCGTGACTGGTGATCCTGATGATGTACTTTTTTTTCAAAGTTTACTGGTTTTTTTATTTTCCTAGTTTTTTTTATTTATAAAAATGTTTTTGTTGTACAACTTGCGCGGATTTTTTCTTAGTGTCTTTATGTTCTGTTTCGAGTTTTTACTGGCCGCATTTTTACTGCTTTTGTGATTTTCTTTGCTTTTTTTGCTGGCGTGTTGGTTTTTTATTCTTAATAATTTTTTACTGGAATTTTTATTCTTTAAATTCTTACTGGTATTTTTTTATTTGTATTTGTTTTGGTTTTACGGGTATTTTTATTTTCGTATTTTTTGGGTTTTTGCTAGTACTTTTATCCTTCCTCTATTAAATCCATTTCAATATTTACTGATAATTTTATTTTGTGTTCCCTTTTTTATGTTATTTGCTTCTTAAATGTTCCTGGTATTTGTTCCGAAATACCTTTAGGAATCCAGTATTTTTCAGGTAGCAGTAAAGCTTATTATTTTGAATAAATCGTCCGTAAACAAGGTCGAACTGGTATGGGTTGATTTGCAGATTCTGAACCAACTGATAACGTGGATCCCCGCGGGAACGGCGGTCCCGGCGGCGCTGATGCAGGTGCTGTTCTTCCTGGCCAACTGTGATCTGCAGACGGGGCAGCTGTTCGAGCTGGGCGCCGGCGGCATGGCCTGCCTGGTGGAGATGGCTGGGCGCGTCTGCGCCTCGCCGGACGTGGAGAAGAATCTCTGGACCATCTACGAGTTCGCCTACGTCCGTCTGGAGGCCGTCAATCAGCAGCTGGAAGGTCGGTACTCCCGTTAATCCGCATTAATCATTTATCTACACGTTTTGTTTGTCGGAAACATGTTTAATATCAGAATTATTTATAGACTGCATTTCCTAGTTTTTCCAGTCATTTTGTTCTTGCGATCATAGGACATTTTTCGTTTCATACAATAAATGGATAAATGCTTGAATAATTAAAATAGAAAAATTACAAAGAATGAACACTAAAAGATTATAAATATTTTTTTTTTATTTCACAATATGTACAAGGCGAGCTTCGCTCAACAAATATGATCAGATGAAGAATTTGTCCCAATAACATGGGAAGGGACAGTGCACAATACACTCATAGCATTACCACGCATAATCTCCAAACTTGAACGTCGAAACAAAAAACAAGTAGAGCGACTCTCGCCCGTTCTTAAAAACAACTTCTTACCGATCTCCTTTAAAGTAACAATGCCGGTCTCACACCAAGTGCCAAAAGTCTCGCATGCAAAGGGAACAAAATTACAGCGATCAGTGAGCGACTTGTATTTTCCAATCTTCTCACGGCAAGCCAGTTCGGCGGCGGCGCCAGCTCACTTTGAGGTCGCGTCGATGTAAATATTCATTACTAGAAGTAAAGAATAAAAGGCAAGATGAAAAATGCTGCAGATTTCTAAAACGATGAATAAATAAAAAAAATAGTTATTTAAACAATAACAAATTCACTGTAAATAAACAAAACTGAAATATACTGACTTCCCGTTTTTTATGAAAAATTCTCGTTCCAGTTTGTAAAGCGTAAAGAGAAGCTGGTAAGCGTAAAGAGCGTTGTTGATTTTTATTTTTATAGCGTAGGTATGAACCCCTTGCACTTGCGCCACTCTACTACAATATCCTCGCACTATAACGTAAAATAAGAAAATACTTTATGTAAATTAAAAATTTAGCTTTCTGGATTTTCGATTAGGTAAAGTTTTTTAAAATTGTTCCTTATTTCGCACTTATTCATTTTACTTGTCTTTTTAAATCGCTCTTATTTCTCAAATTGTGTCGAGTTGACATTTTCTCATGTTTTTAATTCAGTTTTTTTTTTAAAAATTTATCCAAATATATTTTCCACATTTTTCCTTCGGAATGTAGATTTTGCAAATCTGCTTGGATTTTTCTTACTGAATTTTTCAATTTAAAATTTGAATGAATATTTTTCCTGATGTCGGATGTGGAAACTGCGCCTTTTCGAAGCTGTCCGTCTGTTGTGTAGGCCTGACGGAATTATCCGACACGGCCAGCGAGTATCTCCAGCAGTTCATCGAATTACTACGCCCCTTATTAACCAGCCATCTGCAGCGCTTCGAAGCCCACGCCCACTTCCCCACACTGAACCTCCTGTCGCGCTTCTTCCAGTTCACCTTCCACCTGCCGGCCGCCGACCTCTTCCTGCTGTGCACCGACATCTGGAACGACTTCCTCGACCGCATCCTGGCCGTTTCCTCCGCCCGCGCCTCCAGCAGCCGCGCCGCTATACTACAATCGTACGCCGCGCCTATTTTGGCGCTGGTGGAGTGTTTATTCAAGAAAGTGCAGCTGCAGTATAACCAGGAGTTCCTGGAGAGTATGCAGGAAGACGGTGAGGAATTTGGATGATTTTTCCATTTATTTTGTGCTGGATTTGTCGTAGTAGTAATTTTTATCGGTTTCCTATTGATTTCTCCCTTTTTTTAAATTTTTCTATAAAATTTTTTATAAATTAAATTGAAGTTGATTTAAGTTTCCCTTTTTTTAAATATGTTTAAATATTTTCCACCGTAATTTTTGCTCTGTTTTGCGCTTATATGCAATTAATACGAGTATATATGGTTCCTGAATTGTCCATTATTTCGCGCGGCTTCGGATGGTTTTTTATTACCGTTTGTATTATTTTTTAAAGCTGTTTTTATCGTATTATTTTATTTCCAGTCTCATTTTCTCATTCATACTTTAAAAATATTTTTCCATTAATGGGTTGTCTGTTGTTTTTTTTTTGGTTGAACTACTGTAAATGTTTTCGTATAATCTGCCATTTATTTTCTCCCGTAATTGTCCCATCTGCCATGGTAGTATTTGTTTAATTTTTTTAACATTTTAATTAGGTGAGGGAGAAGGCCGGGAGCAGGAGGAGTATTTCGGACGGTGTATCGGGGTGATGATTAAGGCCGGGGAGATCGCGCCGCGGGAAGTGCTGGAGCGGCTGGTCGGGCGGTTTCGTGAGCTGAACGGGATGTTGGCCGGCGTGAAGAATCTCATTCGCACAGGTACACTCAACGCTACATCTATCAACGCTTGCCAGCAGACTATTTTTCATGCAATCCGCTCTTTCCATGCTTTTCCATTCTCGCTCCTGTGTTTTTGTATATTTTTTTTTATCTAATTTCTGATATTTTTTCCCTGATAATTTTATTTTTCGATTTTCTTAGGTTTTTTTTCTTGGTTTCTTAGGTTTCTATCTTTTACTTGCCTATATTTTTTTCACTTGTTGATCTAAGTTTTAAGCAGATTATGACCATGAAAACCGTTTAAGAAACCGGATAATTTTATCGTTCAAGTTTCTGTAATTATTTTTGCTCCGTTGTTCGGTTTGTTCATTGTTCAACGAGATGGGGCGAAGATAGTGTAGAAGAGTGGCGCAGTGAAATGAGATTAGCACCAGCGCTACAAATCAATAACGGTGTGTTACCCTTTCAAGTAAACGCAGGATTGATAATTTTTTTTTAATACTTTTTGTAATAATTTGCGGCAAATTGTTTATTTAAAATTTAGTGTTGTTTTATTTTGTTCATTTGTATTTTTGTTATTTATTTATAAATTGCTTATTTGTAAGTTATATAAATTGTTTATTTATAATTCTGTTTCAGTTTGGTTTAGACCAAAAAACTCATCCTTTACGTTTAGCTTTTTCCGTAGTTTTTAATCTTGCTTTTTACTGTGTACTTCTAATATTGAACAATTCATAATTTTTGATGTGGATTCTTTTTAATATTTCTGTTTTAATTGTGTTTGTGTAATAAATGTGTGTTATTTGCGTAGTTTCCTAATCATCAGCGGTAGCATTGCATACTTTTGTTATTTTCTTTTTTTGATATTTATTTTTTGTAATTCTTTTATCCCTATTCCCTAAAATATTTGTCTAGACGTGAACGGCAGCGTTACCTTTTTGGAGTACTGTTAAAATTGCTCTTTTAAAATGTTTATTTTTTTGAAAATGTTTTTCTAGACGTGGGGTATACTTTTTTATTATTATTCATTTTTTGAGGAAAAATGTTTCGCGTTTGCTTAATATTTTCCAGACATGTGCTCGGCATGAGCCGTAACTTTTGGGACTTTTTTTTTATATTTTTTAAAAAATGGTTTTAGAAGCGAACGGCAGCGACACGGTGGTAACCTTGGCCATTAGCCAGGACACCGACATCCAGAACCTGCACGTCCTCCTGCGCGACCTCAGCGTCGTGTCGCAGGCCGCCGCCTCCCACTGCGGCCTCCTGACCGGCGACCTCTTCCCGCCGTACGCCGCCACGGTCCTGGCGACCCTCCAGTCCCTCCTGGACAGTCTCCAGCTCCTCAACCACGACCTGCACGCCCTCTACCACCTCCGGGCCCCCGCGCCCCTCCCCGCCGACCTCCTGCACCTCCACCGCGCCCTCTACAGCGCCCTGGAGGCCGGCGTCCCCTGGATCGCGCAGTTCAGCACCGCCGCCCCGGATCTGGGGGGTCTCCTGAAGACGATGCTGGAGACGACGCTGGAGCCGGTGTTCCGGAGGGCGGATCCGCGGAGCGCCGCCGCGGGGGCGCAGATGGCACGGGCGCTGGTCAAGGCCATCCGGACGATGAATATGGTGGGTTTGGAGCCGGTGGAGCGGTTGTACGGGGTGGTGGTGGGCGGGGCGATCTGGGAGATGGAAGCGGAGGTGCGGGTCAACGTCCTGTGTGTGCTGCACAGCGTGTATACCCTTCCGGTGGTGGGCGTGGCCGAGGAGGGGCAGGGGTGGGAGGAGCGGGTGGAGAAGCACCGGAGGGTCGTCCAGGCGGTCACGGAACGGTTCTGCCGGGTCCAGCAGGCGGGCAACGCCCCGCCCACTCCGCAGGTACATTTCCGGCACAGAAAAAGGATTACATAATGGTTACACATTGAAATAATAATTATTAACAATTATTGTCAATTAATAACTCTTAAAAAAGGTTAATGGATAAATTACAATTTAGATATTAATTATTAGCAATTATTGTTTATTAATAATTTAGCAGAAAAATTTATTAATAATTTAGCAATCGCTAAATAATCAAATTAAAAATTAACTGAAATTTTTCGAATTTTATTAAATATTTTATTCTAAAAGCCATTTAAACTGATATTGAGGTCACACTACTGCGAAATGATATTTTTGCAAACTAATTTTCTTAGGTTATAAATCAATAATTTTTGAAGCTGTTTCTTGTTTTGAAGAAGTTGTTCTAAAGTAAAATGTGTGCAAATATAACACAGCTAAGAAGAAGGAAAAAAGCGCAAAATTTGTCCGGAAAATAAATACGATGGTGAATTGACCTAACGGACAGGTGATCGCCGTGGTGCGGGAGACGTTGGGCACGTTGAACGCGATTTTGTTGTACTGCGTGGACGAGCCGAAGAAGTCCAAGCAGATCCTGCTGCAGAACATCACCCCGGTGCTGCACGCCACCGCCGCCATGCTGCCGAGCATCTCCGGCGTCCCGGAGCAGCGCTCCGCCGTCCTCCGCTTCGTCCTCAACGTCTTCACCGCCCTCAAGTCCGCCTTCCCCGCCGACCTCACTCCGCCCTTGAGTGACCTCTTCGAAGGTACGCTGAAGCGCTTCAGAACGTTGCCGGTTGTTTTTTCTAATCATTTCCAGCATATTTCATTGGAAATAATTACTCAAATTTGCAATTTTTAAAACAGTGCGATTGTAAAATTTATTTTTCAGAAATTTTCACGGTCATAAATTTTAAAAAAATACGGTTGATTACTCGCATCACATACTTATATGTCGTTATTTTCAACATTTATTCCATTGTAATATGTTATTGATCAAATTGGCGTTTGGTATTATGACTATTATTCACAAGTATAATTTTCTAAAATTGTTTTTCTAAAAACTTTTGGTGACCACTCCGTACACATCCTTTCACACCCTTTCACTCCGTACACAACCTTTTGCACTCCCTTTCATTCCGTGCACAACCTTTTTGCGCACTACCATTCACTCGGTGCACTACCAAACTCTTATATATATCATACTTAAATACTTGTAATCTATATTACTACAGAAAAGCAAAACTACAAATATTGGCAAGCGAAGATTGAAATATACAAGTGTTACGGAGCAGATCTTGCGGAGATTAAGGGGAAAACGTTGCTGTTCAAAATCAGAAAAACTGTCGAGATTACGCGTTTTGCGCGTTGGCGTTCGCGGCAGAGATTGCCCTATATGGAAAAGACCCCGCGGCAACTTCTTACACAGGGAGGGACCTTCGAAACTGTGTCAAAACTCCTTCAAAAGCGGCGCTGTCCAAACCCTGCGAAGAAAAACCGGCACAAGGGCGCGTAGAATTATTCTCTCACGGGAATTCGATTTTGTTACTGCCTGTGATGCTTTGAAGTATGCAACAATAACTGCTGTTTACGAAAAAACGGCAGTTCCAGAAATAACTCTGCTGTGAAAAAATTAACAAAATGTAAAAGGTTGTGTACGGAACGAAAGGTAGCGCAAAAAGGTTGTGTACGGAGTGAAAGGGTGTGAAAGGGTGTGTACGGAGTGGTCACCAAAACTTTTTCTAATTTCTCTAAAATTCCTTAAGTAAAATTCGCAGCCTAATTTGTCTAAAATTCTTTAACGAATAGACAAAAAATTCAACTTCTGATTTTTAAACCGCTGCAAATTTTAAAATGAAATTAATTGAAAAGAATTTTTTTAGAAAATCATAATTTTTAAAATAAACTTCCCTGGATAGTTTTCTCTTACAAATAAAGAAATTAAATAGTGTATACAATATTTAAATATTAAAATAAACGAAATACAATATTCATTCGGCGTTTAATCTGATCAGTTTCTCCCGTTAAAATTATTTCAAAAATATTTTTAAAAATCCGTTTTTAATTTGCAACGCTTTTTGCAGGTCTGTTCGAGCAGTTTCTGGATCCGGAGGAGCTGCTGCGCACTTTATGCACCGCCGACCCCCTCCAAGCCGAAGCGCTGAGCACCTGCTTCGATTTACTGAAGCTGGTGGTGGCCGATCCGGCCTACAAGGCCTACCTGCCCTTCGTCATCGGGTTATGCCACATCGTGTGTCCGGCGCTGGAGCGGACGCCGGAAATCCGCATTGAGTTCCGGCAGGCGTCGTATGAATTATTGTTGAGCGTGCTCAGCCAGCACTGGAGCTATTTCTTCCGCAGTGCGCGCTTGGTGGAGGCCGGCAACGGCGAGGGCCTGGAGGTGGCCGTTATGCGCGAGGAGAAGGTGCAGACCAAGGATTTTCTTCTCATTATGCACTGCCTCGGTGAGTTCGCTGCCAGAGTTAAATCCAGCAATTTTTTTCAGTTTTTTTAGATTTTTTTTAGAATTTGTTATACTTTTTTCAGCATTTTTTTAGAATTTTTTAAAAAGGTTTTTAATTGTTTTCTAAATTCTTATTTAAATTCTTTCTTGTTCTTCGTTCTTTCTTAAATTCTTATTTAAATTCTTATTTAAATTCTTATTCAAATTCTTATTCAAATTCTTATTCTTATTTCTTTTTCAAATTCTTTTTAAATTTATTATGTATTAATTTATGGATTTTCTCCTCATGCTACACTTTTTTATTAATTAAGTTTGCTGAGATTTGCTGAAGACGTTCGGCCTTTTTATTTTCTTTTAAATTCGTTTTTTTAAAACCTTATTTAAAATTATGCTTGCATTTCATTTGTATTGATTTTTTATGGATTTTTCTCATCAGTATGCACTGCCTCGGTGAGTTCGCTGTCTGGTTTTAAAGCTTGCAATATTTTTTATTATTCTACAGTCTGTGTGCAATTTTTGTAGAATTGTCTCAGAATTTTTAGAAATGTTTTAGAATTATTGTACAGTTTTTTTATTGTTTTCCAAAATCGTGTTTGAATTCCTTGTCGTATTTATTTCTTTTTTAAATTCTTTTTGAATTTCTTTTATATTAATTTATGGATTTTCTCCTTATTCTGCACTGTTTTTTTTTTAGTTTGCTGAGATTTCTTTAAAATGTTCGGCCGTTTTATTGTCTTTTTTTACATTTTTTTTAAACGTAAAAAAAGTTTAAATTTTTTTTAAACGTTAAAACATTTTTTTACAGTTTTTTTTTAATTCCCTTGTAATTTTTTATGGGTTTGCTCATCAATCTGAATTTTTCTAAGCTTTTTCCACTTTTTGTAGTTTTTTAAATTCGTTCTTTTGTTCCTTTTCTTCTTTGTTAATTCTTTTTGAATTTTTCGAAAATGTTCGGCCTTTTTCTTGTCTTTTAATTTTATCGTCGTGCAGACTCGTGCTAATTCGAAGGAAGAACGTAGAAAAGTGGCCGGAACATGCACCTTTCTACGTTCGACCTAGAACTTTTAGGCTTAAAAAAAGCCATTTTTCTATCAAAATTTAGCACAATGTAGATTTTTGTCGTCTTTCAATATGCCCGCATTAATTTCGTTCGTTTAGAATTTGTTTTTGTTTTAAAAACTGTCCGGCTGCAAGTGTACAATTCAAAAAATAGTTTTTAAAAAATTCAAAATCTGGCAATAAAAAATTTCAGAAATCAGATTTCAAAAACCGTATTTCAAAAATCGTATTTCAAAAATTTGGTATTTGAATTAATGGAAACTGAAACCTGAAAGTAAAGCAATACAGAGTAATTCACCAAACAGAGTATGTAAATAATGGTCTGCAGTCGGCAAGTAAAATTTCGTAGAGTAATGGCCGATTTCATTATCACCACATCATGAGTATCGTGCTAAAAATGAACTGGTTATTGCACGATGAATTTTGTTGATTTGGTAAATTTTTTCGACAAATTTTTACAAATTTATCGCTGTTAATTAAAATAGTCAGTGGTGTTTAATTTGAGATAAATTCAAGGAAGTCGGCATCAGCTAAATTCGGTACGAATAGCATTAGACTACAAAATAAAACAGCAAACAAATTAAAACAATAAAATAAAAATATTGAAATCACATTAACTCTTCCGCAGCGTAACAGCAAGAACAAATTAGTAAATAATAATAATTACAGGAATTTTTCTAATGTAAAAAAAAATAAGAAAACAGATAAAATAGTGATCAGAGTGTAAAATCACAAAAAAATAAACTATAAAATACCTAAATTCTTCGGATGGAATTGATAAGAAAAAGCTGATAAAATAATAAAATAGCATAAATCCTTCCGGTGTCAAAGATAAAATTATAAATAAATTAAAATAAAAGCAATAAATCTGCGTAAAGTTTTCTGGTGTTGTGGAACAAAAAGCAGTTAAAATAAAAATAAAATTATGTAAATTCTTCCGCTGTAAAATGGCAAAAATTTACTAAATTAATAATATAAAATTAGTAGAAAAATCCGATAAAATAAATTCTTGCCGGTGTAGGCGCAGCGCTGCTGCAACCGGAGATCTCCCTGACCGCGACGGTCCTGCGCGGTTTAAACCAGCTGCACACCGCCCGGCAGGTGTACGATAAAAGCGCCTTCCGGGAATTATTGCGCAATGATTATTTGACGGCATTACTGCGGATGTTGGTGCAACGGGAGAAGAGCTTGTTGGCGGAGGATATGGCGGCCGCGGTGTGGGGCATGACGCACGACAGCGCCGCCTGGTGGGCGGACGTCTTCCTGCCGGCCTTCCTCGGGCAGTGGGCGGGGCTGGATGAACGCCAGCGGGAAGTGTTACACGGCCAGTGGCGCCGCGTGGAGGAGCAGGTCGGGTTCACGCAGCAGCTGATGGCCTTCGCCATGGAGATGCGCTGCTTCCTCACCTACAATTCCATGACGGCGCAGTAATCGCGGGATTTTTTCCGGAATTTTTCGGGATTATTTTCCGGATTTTTGGGAATATTATCCTGGATTTGGGGATTTTTTGCTGAATTTTCGGGAGGTTTTTGGATTTCTGGGAAATTTTTTCCCAAATTGTTCGGAATTTTTCCTGAATTGCTGGGAATTTTTCCTGAATTGTTGGGAATTTTTTCCTGAAGTGTGGGAAATTTTTTTCCTGAATTTTCGGGAATTTTTGTAGATTAGATTGTTTTGTGTCTGTTTTTTTATAATGGTGAATTTTTCTGTATGTTTTTGAATTCTTGTATGCATTCTTGGCGTGTACATTGTTGCAGATAGATTTTGTTTTTTTAGGAAATTACGAAATAAATCTGTACCATATTCGGTTAGTGTGATAATATCATTAATGATGGGTAATAATATAATTTAAAAATCATATGGGCTATTTAATAAAAATATACACGATGTTATATTGCTTCAAGTAATTCATTCGAGTTTTATTGTTTTCACGAACTATTTAATATGTAAAATTACCAAAGCATTTTTTTAAACGTATAATCCTGGATTTTGTTGACTAAAAATTACGAAGGCGTATAATAAATATTGAAAAACTGCCGGCAGATGAAAACACAAACTGCAGTAAGCTGGAATTTTTCCCGCATGGTACAGGGTGATTATGCCGTCATTATGTAAGAGAGAGACATTTTTGGCTGCTGCCCTGGTGTTTCCCTGTATTAATCACCTATCTAGCATCTCCTCATTTTTTTCCCATCAAGTTCAACGGTAGCGTTTGTTCGGTTAACGCCGGATAAGCTGGCATGCGTTATGTAAAAAGCCTCCACTAAAAGCCGGCATTTGCATACATATATTCCATGCTGACCATGTCGTGCCGTCGTTTTTTGCCGCGCTTTATCGCCCATCGGTTCATTAAGCGATGCAGCGCGTGATTACGCAAGCACCATATATTGTACCGGTGTTTTTGGCGGGCAGCGTAATTTATCAGCAATCGGGTGGGATTTTTTTCCTGCCCTTTCCACGCGGTGCGGGGCAACGCGCGGCGTATTTACTGACGGGAACGAGAACGATTACCGGCGGCATTTATCGTTTCCGAATCAGAATTTGACCAGTTATCGTTCTCATTTGCTTAATTACACTGCACGCGGCCGGATAAAGATTTTGTTATAATATTTTTTGGATTGAGCGGCCGCTGTGAAGCGTTGTTGCTGCTTATATATTGGATATCCTGTAAATATGTCCGCATTATCCGCACTATTCCTCATAACCCTGGTGAGTGCGCTAAAAATCATTATCTTAATTATTTGAAATGATTATTTGAAATACTTATAATTATTAATTATAAGCGCTCATCCATATCCATGGCCAATAAATATTTTTAATTAATTTTATTTCCAGCGTTTAAACACAACTAATCGTGCCTTGATTTTGTTAAAACGCAGTTATTAAAGAATAGAAATTTTTGTGCAGATCTGCTTGAAAAATAAAAGGTCAGCGGCAGTCACAGTGCTTAACATTTTTTTTTACCTGAATTTTTTACCTGAATCTTTTGCTTATGAAAACGTAGCCGGTAACAAATATATAAATAATCAATAAATTGTTAGCGAATAAATCGTTATGTTATAACTATGATACAAAGCTATAACAATGGTACAAATAAATAATTAATAAATTGTTAGAGAATAAATCATTCTATTATAATGATACAGAAAGCTGTCAGTAGTGAAAAGATGCTGTATATTTTAGAAAGAAAACTGAAAAAATAATCATCCGCAAAAGAACACATGATCATGAAGACGAAATAATGTACGATCGAAAAAGTGGAAGCTGGGCAGTCGGTTGGTGGTTTCGAAAACTGAATAATAAAATCAACAAACAGTGTGCAACAGGCCACTTTTAATGCAGATATAAATAAATACAGTATGCAAATATCATATATGTAATTGTATGAACGTATTGTCATATACGCGCATTTATCATAAGCCATATATGTAGTGATACATGTATTATGTCATATCATATAAACTAATAATTATGGATGTAATATTATAATAATAATTTTGTAAATTTATTTCATGTTATATACGTAGTAATGTATGTCATATCATATATGTACATATATACTGTATGTACTATCACATATTATGTAAATTTTCTTGTATGGGAAGACTTCTTTGTATTCGGTATGCGCAGCATAAATGCTTTAAACGAAGCACATGTATTTTTACCCGTACAGTGTAATCGTTCAATCAGTGTGATAAATATGCCGACTGTACATATGCACATCTACAGGGCCTGACGGCGAGGTCATGCGTGGGTCAGTTGAACTACGGCTACAACGCCCAGTACAACGACGACAGCTACCTGCAGCCGAGTATGCGCTACGGCGCCTACAACGCCAACTACAAGCAGCCTAACTACCGCGCCGCCAACGACTACACCCTGGACAGCTACAACCGCGGCCGCTCCGGCGCCGGCTCCTACGCCAACGACCGCTACAACGCGCCGCGCTACGGCTACGACCGCGACAGCAACTACAACTACCGCGACCGCTACGACGACTACAGCGACCGCTACAGCTCGCGCTACAAGAACCGCAACCGCTACGACTACGATTACACGATCAAGCCCACCACCTGCAGCGCCACCACCGTCACCGCCTCGCCCTCCTGCGTGACCTCCTCGACGAAGGTCACCGTGTCGTACGTGGGCGCCGTGTGCTTCCAGACGACGACGACCACCAGCAGCGGCAACACCCAGGCGTCGACCGTCTCCAGTATCGCCGGCACCCGGGGCAGCTGCAGCCCGGTGGAGTACCTGCCCTACACGTCCAAACAGTCCTCCGACACGCCCGGCACCGTGCCCTGCTACACCACCACCCTGGCCAGTACCATCTACAAAAAGGTCACCTGCACCTTCAGCGTCCAGATGACGTCCTTCTCCAATGTGGACACCGCCGGCGCCATCGCCACCGACAAGACCCGCGATCCCGTCTTCGCCACCGACAGCACCTGCTACTACAAGGGCGAGCGGCTGCGGACGCTCGGCACCGGCACCGGCGACGACGACTGAGACCGCCGAATGTGACCGTGCCGTGCATTACGGTTCTCCTTTGTATCTATGTACTGGTTTTAGACGATCTGCTGTATTATGTGAATGTGACGACTGTTGTATTGACTGCCTGAAATCGGCCTGTAATGAGGTGACGTAATTGTGTATACTGCGACCGGAAGACTCGATGAAATCCTTATGTCGTTACCACAATATATTATTATTATTATTATTATTATTATTATTATTATATGTTTGGACATGTACATAATACGGTACCTGTAGCTCCTCTTATCCAGCGACCAGTGCGCATCGTTCGTTAGACTGCTTGTTGTGCTCGCCACTGAATAGTACCGCCCAACTATTGTAGCCGGAAGGATCACAACTTGGCATACAGTGATACAGATACTACAGGTACAAGCCCGTCCGGAGTTAGAGCGCGATAGAGAACAGCGAACAATGTAAATTCATGGGTTACGCCAAACAACATACTACGCCACGACACGCCACACTCTTTAAACACGTAACATGCTTTTGGCTGGCTGGTGGCTTGGTGCACGCCATATATTTTAATGAGTATATTCGTAATTTCCTGGCGGAGAAAACAGTCGGTGCAGTAAGGGACAATCTAACTGCGGAGCGCACTTACGCATTGTGGTAGACGTAGTGTAGTGGCCAGCGTGCTAAGCGCTAACATCGCGCTTATTTGGCGTTAGCTGTTCTCTATCGTGCTCTAACTCCGGACGGGCTTGAACATACTGGTGTACACGCAGTTGTGATACACGGCGGTAGTATCGCCTAGCGGATCAAAGCTGCATCGGGTACCGGTTTGTATTTCGGTGTATTTTCGGTTACACTCAGCCCTCTGTTGCTGACGAGCATAGAATCTTTCAATGTAACACCTGGAATGAATAACGCATTTCCTATGAAATCTATATGCCGGTTATTGATGTACAAGTACCTACGAAAGGTCATACGCCCACAATACTTTAACAAATTTCTGTGTATGCCGGTCATGACTGATCCATCCGAGCAGGATACATGAGCAACTATAGTAGTAAGGAACGTTAGTTTGCGTGTTTCTTTCCTTATTTTGCCCCCAAGTATGATTTGACCAATAAAAATCATAAAAGGAACGTTTAAGGGGACCCCTAGCCGCAGTTGGGTGGGTTTGGGAGTAGTGGCTCTGCTATAATTACGATAGGTTATGTGGGAAAAAAACTGATGAGCACTTAATACGTAAATGTAATAATTTATCTTTAATTCAAATAAATAAAGCTTTATTTGAGTGAAGAAAAAGTGACTTTCTTGTTTTATTCAGGCAATGGCCGAACAAGATAACGAAAAGCCTGCGCTTGCAGACACTAACGAAAAAACAAGATTCAAATTTACACGTCAAAACAGCAACGATACCAGCTTTTTTCTAAATTTCAAGTACACTGTGCAGGCCTAAAGTCAAAGGGTATATCCATATCTTGCTTAAGGGAAATGGCCCGGTACAATGGTGTCAATAATGGGATACACACACTAAACTTCCGCTTTCGCGCACTCCGAATCACCTTTTTGTAATACTTTATGTCATTCTAAAGCTAAAGGATTTGTATACTGTACATTGTCCTGAAAGCCGTTTGCACGCGCCACATGGCGAACTAAAATGTGCGAATTAAAAGTTCAAATGCATTGCTGTGTACCAAAGGTCTGGATATTACCTGATCGTCTTAAAACTGAGATAAAAGTTCATAGCCTAAGAATCGCACGCAGGAATGCTTTGTTTTAATCAGACAGTCGAATCAGTGCTTATACGTCTATGTATTATCGAACCTAATTATATTAATGTGCATTGATCCATAAATCTTGGAATCAGGAATTTGGATAAGCAAAAGCGTGTCTGGGAGTACGCGAAAGCGAAAGTTTTCGTGCATGTACACGAATTTGGAAACATCCGGGTCACACGCCATACATGTTTAAATTATGACTTTCCAAAGGTCACCGCTATACACGCGCTAGACGTTACACAACACGACGCCAAATTCGGCCAAAATGTTGACCATTCCCATTACTCCCGCCATACTGCGATATACTGTACCTGTATATGCGCTTGTAATCCAAACGATTTGTTTGCACTGTGCATCCTTTCTGTAACAGCACTTGAATAATGTGCATGAAATGCACAAAATTTCTTTAAACCCTTGATGCTCAAAATTGTATGCCAAGCAAGTACTGTACTGCATGCCAAGCAAATACTATACAACAAATTTGTGGTAAAATTGCGCGAAGGTCTTCAGCAGCGAAATTGCTGTGCGGCACTCCGTACTGGTCGGTGTTAAGCACGTGTACACGCTTAAAAATAATATTATGACAAAATGCCGGCAATACGGCCACATTCGTACATAAACGCTACTGTACAGCTGCACCGGAAATAGAAGGCACTCTTCTCCTGCGTAGTCGCGTAATTCTTCAATTCGGCGAAGGTGTAAAGTCATCACAAGCGCTAACAATGCGCCGATCGGTTGACTCAATGGGAAGCGATTCGCTGACGTATGCAGAACGAAGCTGGATCCTGTAAAGAAATAATGGACAACCGCCATACATGCTGAAGCCAAACGCCGGCATTCCAGTCGCTCGACTGCCGGAAACACATGTAGTGTAACGTGTTGGCTACACATGATCATAATTCGTAGCGCCTTCAGCTACATAAATTATTCGGCTGCCGCTTGCTGGCAGAAAATATGGGAATTATTAATTAATTTTCGGCTGATTTTTTTTAATAAATATAATATCATTCTTCCTAAACTTTTAATCTACCGCTGGCAAATTTCCTGGGAATAAAAATTGTAAAAAATGGAGAATAATACCGACGACGTGACGTGTGCGACAAATTCGTATACAGACCTCCCGGCCGCGTGGCAGTTATTAGAAAAGGTCACGTATCCGCTGTTGCTGGCCATCTGCACGGTGGGCAACGTGCTGGTGCTGTTCATCTGGGGCCGGCAGTTCCGGCAGTGCTCCACCAATGTCTATCTCGTCTCCATGGCCGCGATCTGCTTAATCTATATGTACGCGCAAAAGGTCACCGATTTTATTTAATATTATTATTTATATTATTATGAAATTATTCGGCACAGGTGGCTTGAGTTGCCGGTGAAGTTGCTGGCGTATTATCCGGCGTCCGACTGGATGACAAACAGTCCCAACGGTTTACAGACGTTCATTTTGTGCAGCGACGGGGCCCGGTTGTGGGCGTCCTACACGGCATACAACAGCATCGACTGGTTGGTATAATCGAATTTTATAATGCCGGAAAATTGACTGTGACCACAATAATTTTTTTAAAAAAAAGACTCGCAACAAATTGTACAATTTAATAATATTATTTTTTTGACAAATACTTTTATAAATATTAGTTCTCATTCTGTAACAAAAAAATATTTTATTGGATAAATCATGTGTTGAGTTATTTTTAATAATTATGGTTTATTGATGCAGGATATTAACTCTGTATTCGTTGGAGCGTCTAGCCGCCGTGACGCGTCCGTTATGGATCTATAAATGGATGAAGCCGGATTACGCTGTCGTCGCCGTCGGCGTTACCCTTCTCCTGGCCGCCATTCAAAACCTGGAAATCGCCGTAGCGTATTATTACTGGTTGCCCAGCGCTTTCGCCGACACGGACACGCCCTTCAGTGAAACGCGACCGGAATGGCTGACCACGTGGGATAACGTCACCAGTGAAGCGCAGGTACAAATAAAAAAATAAAAACTGTATGTTTATTTAAAAATATATAAAAATTCCAAAAATTAATTAAAACAGTAGTAAGAAAAACTATTGATTTTTAAAAGTAATTATCTCATCAACGATAGAGGGAGTTAATAAATATTAAAATTGGTAATAATCATTGGATTATCGAAATATTATCTTTATAACACTTTCACGAATTTATTATACTATTTGTTTCATTTATTATCCGTCAGTTATTTTGTTATATGTAATTCTTATTTGTAAAATTAATAATTTAATTGCTGTTACTGTGTTGACGAATTTTATTTAATCGATTACGTCAATTGCGTGGGCGTGTGTGGACAGTTGGCCTTATCGTTCGGCATTTACGCCGGTTTAACGATCATCAACGCCATCCTGCTGATGCAGCTGTACCGGCAGCGTGACGCCGCCCACCTCCTGCGGGACGACAGTTCCGGCTGCTTGTCCCCGGACAAAGCCGGCAGCTGGGGCGGGCGCACCTCCACGCGGGTGCTGATCGCCTGCTCCGCGCTGTACTTATTCTGCCATCTGCCGATTATTATCCAAACCATCCTGGAGACGCTAGCGCTACCGCCTTACTGTCGGCACATCTTCACCGGCGACAGCCGCGTCATCTGGTTTTCCGTGGCCAACCAGCTGAGCTACTGCGACTATACCTTCAAGTTTATGGTGTACTGCGCCTTTTCCCAACGGTTCCGCAAGGCGATGACGGTCTGGCGCGGAAAACTAAGCACTCGGTTAATGGGAAAGAAATAAGGTACGAGTACAAGCGCATAAGAAGTAACCTAAAAAACATTTTCTAACGTTAATGCATTTATTATACTAATCAGTATCGTTTTTCAACTGATTCCGGTACTGGATGTATAGATTTGTTTTTTTTTTATAATTCTTATTTGGTTGATCTGCGTCTCAGCAGGGCGCCATCCGAGGGAAACCGAGAAACGGCCGAAAAATGGACCGATGGGGGAATCGAAGCCCGGCTACGTCGTAAGATCCGCGTAGGCAGTACCACTGCACCACGGCCCAATACGTTGAAATTCTTTGAAAGATTTTGTCGCTGTACATGAGCCGCTTCTCTCCTCACATACGCATTTAAATTTGTTTGTGTACGACGATTTGTTGTGTTCATGTTTATTGCAATTAAAATTATTCGTTTATTTATTTATATTTATAATAAATTATAATTTTATTTATAATAAAACATCTACAAACATAATAAAGAAGACACGTGGACGTTAAAATGTTATTAACCGACAATGGCCTCGAAGCTGCGGAGAGCGGAACGTGCGATGTAGACTGCGATTATCGAGTACTACACAATTGCATGGCACTCGTACACCCTATATGTGTATTCATTCGGTCATGGTTCAACACAGAAAAAAATAAACTAGATTAATATTGCCGCGGTTGTTGTGGACAGTACTAACGTAGTTCAGGAAATTACAGATAACGGTGTGTGGCTATTGACTAGCTACGACTAATTCTTCTCGGCGTTGGAACTTGTCAAACAGATCGATTCAGCGCGCCTACCAATTCCGTATGACGCGCAACATTCATGTATTTAATTATTTATTTATCTGTTCATCTATTACGTAATTTATTCTACAAGTACAATGACAACGGGTGGAGTTTTCTGGCTGCTGTTGGCCGCAGCGTGGATGACGACGGTAAGGTTTTCCCATGCGTAGTGTTATAATACCTGGGAAATTCTGCATTATGGTAGGCTAGTGCACATTCTGGGCGATCTCAGCGGTTCACCATGTTGTGGCTGTCTGTTCTGACCAGCTGACCATGAGCGCAATATATCGGAAGCTGCGCCATCAGTTTCTTAACCTGATTTTAGTTTGTCCTTCGTCTTTCGCTCGTACGCGGACGTTCTAATTAAATTTCATGGGCCGTAAAATTGGAGACTTAACTGGAGACGCGCATTCTGCTGCTTTCCTTAAGCAGCGTTTCCGTCTGGCCGTTGTTAAAGGAAATGCCACGGCTGTTTTGAGCACGTTACCTTCCCTCGTCAGAAATATCATATAGTTTAATGATTACTTTTGAATTAGCCTTAGATATTACAGATTACCTCCTTTTTTATATAAAACTTACCAATATGAAACATTTAGATATGGATATCAGATACCATTTTGTATTTATTTTGGCATATACGACATAACAAGTTTTGCATAAAAAGACCAGCATCCGAGACATACTTTCTCGAAAACACCAACATAATTAGAAAAAAATCGGATTGGATAATGCAAAAAAGGCATAAACGGAGAACTAAAAAGCGTGCTAGAAATTACAAAAGAGCCAGCATGGATAGCATTAGCTATTACTAGTTGCACAACAAGTTAATTATCGCCACAATTAACGATGGCAAGCACAATCACGGATGTTGACATCCACGCACTTCCCATTCGATTGGCGTCTAGCCAAGGACCTGCATCAGGAGAGCAGTACTTCATCTGTCCTGCAGAATAATTTAATTCTAAACCATCAGCGTGGTCAAACTGCAATATGATATTTCTAGTTGCACAATAACTGCATTCAATTTTCCGTGAAAGCAGATTTCAGATACGATTAATCGCTATAAAATAATGCTACGTGTTAGGACTTTCAATACATCAGCAACAAAATTGTTGTGCATGTTGACATGCAGTTCTCAAACAAGGAATCTTAACTTAAAATTAGTGTTTTTGGTACCAAAGAATTTGGCTAATAAAATAAAGCGAATGTAAAATCGTCATTTTGACACAAAATCCTGTATCGCCTTTACGCGTTCAACTGCAATGGTCAGTAGAGTCTGAGGAGACTCAGGACAGTGCAAGAACATCACTTTAAATTCATTATTTAATGCTTTTTTAAGTTTAGTACGAGCAGAGAGCAAGCATTTTCGGTAGCGCGTTCGAATAGTTAAGACTCTTTAAACACTGTGCGTCAATTGTGCGACAGCATAGTTTACTTAACAGCCAACCGTGGACTGGTTCCTATCTAATTGCACCTCACCGTCAACCCTGGGTGGGTGCCATGATTGACAGTGGCCAAGTCAAACGCGGATTGCCAGCCTTCCGCGGTTGACTGTTAAGCCACATTTGCAGCTACCGAGTGTTCAAAGTGTATTGACTATTCGAACGCGCTACCAAAGATGCTTGTTCCCTCCTCGTATTTGAGAAGAGAGTCAGGAAAAATGCCAACAAGACATGGCGAAAACAAATTCATGGACAAAATATACTCATTTATGCAACGCCAATTACGCAATGACTGCCACTGCTGAGAAATCTGCATGTCGACATGCAAATAAGCGATAAATAACAATTAAAGCAACAGAAATTTCAATACGTTGAACCTGTCACTGCTGAACTTCAAAAAACCTAAACAAATTGTTTAGTTAGAAATCTTTATCTGTTCGTTCCTTATGTCTGAGATAACAATAAGAACTAAGATTCTCCATGAAGCGAAATTCCTTTTATCGTCTTATGACTGAAAACAGTGTCTCATAACGCACTTCGATTACCTTTCGCCTTACTGCATGTCTTCAGGCACATTTGTCCAGCTAATTAGTGCTACCTAAGGATCTGCAAATAAAAACGCACACAGTAAAAACGCACACTGCAAATTGCCACGTGCTGTTTTTATGATGTTAAAACAGGAAACTTCGTTCAGCTCTTACCGTAGAACTTGTTTAAAATTGCTGTGGGTCCTCGCTCCATTGCAGACTGGGTTGGAGGTCGAACTTTCTTCCAGAATCATGCCGTGCATGACAGTTCCACGCATAGATATCAACACTAGCAGTGTTTGTATTAATGTTTTAAAACGAAATCTGGCTGTCGACAGCCACCGAACTAAACAACGTCAAAGATCCAAACAAAATTACAAGAAATCATATTGAAAACACAGTTATAAAACAGTCGAGAAGCTTCGTTAACGAAACTGGCTGGCATAATCAAATTGGGCACAACGGCGCTGAACGTGAACTGGTGGTGAACAATGAACCTGCCCCACAGCCAATCATGAGCAGCATAAGAGGAGCTTTCAGTGACCATAGTCTGCAGCCATAGTACTGAAGCAACCACGCGTGCAGTTTTACACTTTCACGCGATGTCATTATAGCTTTGCCTCCAAATAGTCTGTTTTGCGCGCCGTTTGTTTTGAGAAATCTGTTTTGTTTTTCGTTTTTCGTTTTTGAAAAAAATTCATGTCAGTCGACCGATCCTTTTGTTCTTGCATAGAAATTGTGATTTTGATAACAGATTACATAACAAGGTTTCGTAGAAGAACTTCAATGCTCTAACTATAACGGCGACACAGATTTGAAAAGCTTTTGAGGTTTAAAAAGGCGATAAATGTCGGTCGGCCGACAAAAATTAAATGCAATTAAATAAATCAAAAAATGCCGCCCATCGTGCATGTGAAGATACCGATATTCGCCAGCGCTGATCGACGCGGATACGAGTTTCAAATAAATTTTGTAACTTCGATACGTTTTCAGATACCTAGATATAAATCACTACATAAGATCTGCTGCCAAAATCATGCCGTCGGCACATTTTATGATAAACGGTTTAACATTTGAGGTATGTTGATACAGTTTATAACAAACTTTTTGACGAGGGCTTTCAACCCGAGAGAAGACTTCGGTTGGTTTTTTTCAAGGTTTAAATTTTAACGTTCTGGTAGTGTTCCGGCGCTCGCAATCATTGTTATCTTGGCGGCTATTGCCCATTAAAGGTCCATCAGGTTTCGTCACTACGGCCGGCATTGCATAATCAAGAATTGAAGAAAAACAACCAAAATCAATAATAACTAATAAAATATCGATTTAGGTTAAGGTATTTGGCCAGCGTTATGACGAATATTACGTGCAACCCGGCAAGTACCTCCCTCCATACGCCGCATACAACGACCGGCCTCCACCGCCCCGAACTCCCTATAAGGTGCCCCAATACGATCCGGACACGCCCAGTTACGAGGACAGCCCGGCGGCCGACTACGGACCGAACTACTGGAGAGGTCAGCATATTCGGCCGACGCCCACCGCCAACACCTGCCCTGCCACCACGCCCCCGCCCTGCAGCACCCTCCTGACCACGGTGACCGGGACGGTGGTCGGAGCGTTATGCGCGCAGACCACCATCACCCTGTACGCCGGCGGCACCGTGGACTCGCCGGGACGACGTCGCCGCTCCAACGCCGAAACGGTAACCGTAACGCGTCAGGTAACTGTAACGGTAACCGCGCAGGCAACATCGGAGGTCGTCGTCAGCACCACCGTGTACACCGACCGCACGACGATCCCTTGCACGGCGGTGGAGATCCGCCTGCCGACCACGGACGCGACGTCGCCGACCGTTGTACCGTGCTGTCCGTTGACGTTGTCGGAGACCAAGACCAGGACGTGCACCCTCAATGTGCAGGTGACCTCGTACCGCGATGTGGAGAACCGCGGCGGGACCCTGTACTCGGCGCTGGGCCAGTCCTATCCTCCGGTCACCGTGTCGTCCCGCTGCACGGTCCGTAATTGGCAAGGATAACATCTAAGAAACCTAAGAAAGACCGATGGTAATAAGTAATTCAGCTATGATAACGTGTGACCCTTGTGGAGATGCGTATTATACACGACTTGATAACACACGGTACCATGACAAGCAGTGTGCCTTTTCCATGTTAAATGTTGACTATTAGTTTATGTACACTCTCTCGCATTTTATGTTACTTTGAGGATTATCGCCTACTTAAAAACACTGTACTTTTTAACTTGATGCTGTACTTACTAACCTGCCTTTCTTTCATTTGATTTTGTTGATAGTATTTTTGTGACGCAGTGTGCGCAGGCTAATTAAAGTATTAAGTTATTTATTTGACTAGTTTAACTGATTTTTTCGTGCATTGTTTTTCCTCCGTAATAAATACTGCAATTATGCTATTTTTTGACTTTATTAACAATTTATATAGGTGGCGTATAATGGATAGCGTCAGAAGAATCCAAAACTGAATAAATATTTACCCAACGCACGTATGTAATAACGATTCTGATTTTTTTTATTTTTAATCATTTTTTTTACTTGTAAATAGTATTGCGTATGTGCTCAAACGTTTCAGAGCACAAAGTGACTAATCGCGAATCGAAGCACAAAAAAAGGCAAAACGCGTATTTATTACCATCCTCTCGGAAGTTTGACTTCCTGACGCAGTGTCACTGAAGACATATCTTTTTATCAGAAATGTAACTCTGAAATGGCTGATGTGTTGCTGACGGTGAGGACATAGTTTTCCCGAAACAAAACAACGGTTTACTACTGTATTTAACCGGTAGCGGCTTCTTTCCATAACAAGCTGCTCGACCATCACAAGATTTAGTCACCACACATCCACGACACAAGCAAAACAGCTAACGACAGCTCAAAAATCTGCCAGCTCCTCATACAGATAGTCTAACGAAGCTTTCCTTACAATGTTAGAAGCACCATTTGGATCGGCAAAGGCAGCATTTCTGGCTGACACTGCGTGCTGCTGAAAGAAGTACAGTATAGCTATGAAGTAGTATATAGCTATACTGTACTTCTTCACTTCGTTTAGCCGCGTTTAGCCGCTACCAATGAAGCGGACAAAGCAGTACTGCTAGCCGCCTGCCTTGAATCGTGGTTCCGGGGCATGGCTCAACGCTCTCCCTGCACCAAGTCTCCATACATTCTTGCGTGACGATGAAGTAAGAATTGGCGTCGCATTACGGTTCGGACTTCCTGTGGTTGAAGAGCACGACTGTGTCAATTATGCTAGCCACGTGGAAACTAACGGCCAGCACGGGTTGTCATGTTCCAGTAGCAAAGGACGATGGTCCCGGCATCTCGAACTGAACAACATTGCTAAACGCAGCTGGGAAACGGCAGGCTTCCCCTGTCAGAATGAGCCATCGGGATTGTCAGACAAGGATAACAAGCGACCGGACGGCATGACACTGATACCCGTGCGTGACGGAAAGGCGGTAGTGTGGGAAGCCACCTGCTGGGACACCGTGGCTACCTCGCACGTAAAAGCCAGCTCAAAGAAGTCAGGTAACGTGGCACGGCTGGCGGAAGACTTCAAGCGCGGGAAGTACGGATTTTTGGAGGATATGGGGTACCTGTTCTACACCCTCGCAGTCGAAACTCTTGGAACTTTTGGTTCGAAATTTGCTGAGATGATACGTTTTGTCGGGAGGAAGATTCGCGAGAATGTCCAAGTTAGGACATTAGTGGTTCACTGGTTCTGAACCTAGAGAACCACCATAGAACCAAGAAGGCGACATGTAAACGCTTACTTGCCGACACATACTCACATAGTCTCGCTATTCATTCTATCCTGCAAACCAGGTGAACCTACAGAACCACACAGAACCACCATAGAACCACTATAGAACCACAGTGAACCAAGTCCACTGACAGTGGTTGACACGCTGCCGCATTACCCCTATCCTGCTTTAAACCGGTGAACCTATAGAACCACACAGAACCACCATAGAACCACTATAGAACCACAAGTGAACCAAGTCCACTGACAATGGTTGACACGCTGCCGCATTACCCCTATCCTGCTTTAAACCGGTGAACCTATAGAACCACACAGAACCACCATAGAACCACTATAGAACCACAAGTGAACCAAGTCCACTGACAATTGCTGACACGTTGCCGCATTACCCCTATCCTGCTTTAAACCGGTGAACCTATAGAACCACACAGAACCACCATAGAACCACTATAGAACCACAAGTGAACCAAGTCCACTGACAATGGTTGCCACGCTGCCGCATTACCCCTATCCTGCTTTAAACCGGTGAACCTATAGAACCACACAGAACCACCATAGAACCACTATAGAACCACAAGTGAACCAAGTCCACTGACAATTGCTGACACGCTGCCGCATTACCCCTATCCTGCTTTAAACCGGTGAACCTATAGAACCACACAGAACCACCATAGAACCACTATAGAACCACAAGTGAACTAAGTCCACTGACAATGGTTGACACGCTGCCGCATTACCCCTATCCTGCTTTAAACCGGTGAACCTATAGAACCACACAGAACCACCATAGAACCACTATAGAACCACAAGTGAACCAAGTCCACTGACAGTGGTTGACACGCTGCCGCATTACCCCTATCCTGCTTTAAACCGGTGAACCTATAGAACCACACAGAACCACCATAGAACCACTATAGAACCACAAGTGAACCAAGTCCACTGACAGTGGTTGACACGCTGCCGCATTACCCCTATCCTGCTTTAAACCGGTGAACCTATAGAACCACACAGAACCACCATAGAACCACTATAGAACCACAAGTGAACCAAGTCCACTGACAATGGTTGACACGCTGCCGCATTACCCCTATCCTGCTTTAAACCGGTGAACCTACAGAACCACACAGAACCACCATAGAACCACTATAGAACCACAAGTGAACCAAGTCCACTGACAGTGGTTGACACGCTGCCGCATTACCCCTATCCTGCTTTAAACCGGTGAACCTATAGAACCACACAGAACCACCATAGAACCACTATAGAACCACAAGTGAACCAAGTCCACTGACAGTGGTTGACACGCTGCCGCATTACCCCTATCCTGCTTTAAACCGGTGAACCTATAGAACCACACAGAACCACCATAGAACCACTATAGAACCACAAGTGAACCAAGTCCACTGACAGTGGTTGACACGCTGCCGCATTACCCCTATCCTGCTTTAAACCGGTGAACCTACAGAACCACACAGAACCACCATAGAACCACTATAGAACCACAAGTGAACCAAGTCCACTGACAATGGTTGACACGCTGCCGCATTACCCCTATCCTGCTTTAAACCGGTGAACCTACAGAACCACACAGAACCACCATAGAACCACTATAGAACCACAAGTGAACCAAGTCCACTGACAATGGTTGACACGCTGCCGCATTACCCCTCTCCTGCTTTAAACCGGTGAACCTATAGAACCACACAGAACCACCATAGAACCACTATAGAACCACAAGTGAACCAAGTCCACTGACAATTGCTGACACGCTGCCGCATTACCCCTATCCTGCTTTAAACCGGTGAACCCATAGAACCACACAGAACCACCATAGAACCACTATAGAACCACTCGTGTCCTGGTCTATAGGTTCATTCCCATAGAACCACTAATGTCCTAACTTGGACATTCTATGGCGATCTGACCGGGGAATCTCGATCTACGGCTTTCCTTAGACAACGTTTTAGTCTCGCTGTTGTTAAAGGAAATGCGGCTGCTGTCTTGGGTACATTAAACGCGCGACCGAAAGTTGGATGTGACAGTAATGACTTTGGTTGTTTTTTCAATGTGTAAATTCAAACTTTAGTGTCTTTCGGCGCAGGCTTTTTGTTACGTTCAATTGGCTATTGTCTGAATAAAAGCAGTAGTATATGAATTAAAGCTACAACAGTAAAAAGAATATGGATTCACCTAACTTTTGACTGGGTTACCAGCGAAATCCCCCACCAATGCCTAAGCCAAGGCTGGGTGCTTCGAACCAGAATAAAGGGAAAAACCCAGCGAAATGCTGCTGCTTAGGAAATTATTGACTGCTTCCATAACTGAAGCGGTACCGAATTCGGGGCAAAACTTCCGGACACTGCCGTTCCCAGCGCCGCTCCATAAGTCACCCCGTTAGAGAAGCCCCCGTTGAAGACGGATATACCCACACCCGCACTGTACAACAGTCCACGGTATTGGGCTTTTGATCGTTGGGACTCAAGGAAAAGTCGTACCCGAGCTACAACCAGTTGAACATTTTGCAACCGTACACGCTTGTTAAAATACGCTGCTGTAGGGAATGAGAGTCGCTTGTACAGAATGTACAGTACAGTACGAGTATCTTTAATGCAAAGAGTCGATGCAAGCCGTTTTACCGAACATTACAGCATGTCGAGAAGGCAATAAGAAAAACGTCGAAAAGATATTTTTGTAGCTGTCGTTTTACCTGAAGCGGCCGAGTGGTGCCGGTTGCCGTGGTTCCAGCAATATTGGCAGCAGCAGATTATTAGCAGCAAGCTGATAGATAGAGCACAGACTGGATAAAAGCGACGAGCGACAAGCAACTGCCACCAGAAGCGCGTTTGCGCAACGTCACAATTCTGAACTACACACGCTGTGTGCCTTATAAAAGTGACGTTATAAACACCTTTGGCTCTTTTGCAGCAAAAGCAAATCGACTAAACTTGCAAATGTGCAGGCTTAAGTTACTGGGCACTTTAACTTTATTTACTGGATAGGCATTCTCCGAGCACTGATGCAACCGATGTACAAGATGGACACCTGGGTTGCATCATGCGCGCGGTGTTTGCGGAGTGCCGCTTCTGTAGAGCCGGCTGTTTGCCGGGAAAATGCAAATACCGTATGTAAAGCAGCACAATGGAGCTATCTGTATTCTGTTTGTTCCGGTTTGATAGCTTTGTATTTTAGCGTGGCGCCATTTCGTGGTTGTTGTGGCGCGGCGACAGTCACATTCCAACGAGATAAGGAACTTCGCAAAAAGCTGCCGCAGTGCGGCCGTACTAGGGTAGGAATTCAACTGTCACCCAGTCGTCGGTCGGGTATACCGCCATGCCGGCTTGCCGACTGAATTTACCTTTTGATTAGTGTCGGACGATCTATGCAACAGGTATACTTTTCTGTGCAGTGTTGCAGTGCCTCACGCTATACTATACAAATGTACTTTTACTCTTATGCTTTTATAATTTTCTTGTTTGTACAGTATTTGACTATAACTTTAAATATGATTTCCATTACAGTTTCCGTTGTGTTGTAGTTAGTGCTAGTGCGTATGAGGCTTCCCTCAATTCGAATCCAATATTTACAGGGTACAGCGCTAGCTAGTGTGAGCGTTTGAACGGAAGCTTCTTCAGCAGCATTAGGTATCACTCCTTTATTTAAAAAAAACGATTTAGGCCGACCCCACTTAATCATCTTTGCTGGAAAATGTGTTGTTTTAGTCATCCGACGTTGCCCATATGGTGTCAGTCCATGTTTGGAAAGGAATGGTTCAGCGTTTGACCTCACAACAAATTGCTCTCCATAGAACGACCAAGTTAGGACATTAAGTGGTTCCATAGGAATGAACCAATAGACCAGGACAGGAGTGGTTCACCAGGTTCTGAACCAATGGAACCAAGTGAACTTGAGGGACCACGATGGAACCACCACGGAACCACAAGTGAACAAAGTGCGCACCCTCATGCCGAGCCCTATCACACTACCTCTGTACCCAGTTAACCAATCGAACCAATGCAACCACATGGAACCACAATGGAACCACTACCCGTAGTGAACCAAGCGTGCTCTCGCATGCCTACACGCTGTCACACTACCTCTGTACTCCCTGAACCTAACTTGCTGGCCGAAATTTTGCTAAAACTCTTTCTTCGATCGACAGCTCACTTGTCAGTCAACAAAATATCGGTAATCGACAAATCGCTGACCGACACATTGCAGAGGACACAATCTTGCTGATCGACAGTTTGCTTACCAGTTGAACATAACGAACTTTGCAAATCTCATTTCAAACAGAGAAGGAAGTCAACCCAATGCAAACAGTTTTCTTAGGTATTTTTTGGTATCTAAGGTTTCTTAGGTTCTTTAGGGTTCTTAGGTTTTTTAGGTTTCTCAGGTTTCTTAGGTTTCTTAGGTTTCTTAGGTTTTTCAGGTTTCTCAGGTTTCTTAGGTTTCTTAGGTTTCTTAGCTTCTTAGCTTTCTTAGGTTCAACTTCGGCTGAACGCTGAGGAATCAGCATAGAAACAGTCGGCTTTAGACACGATTAACTACGTGAAGATAAATCACAACAATTGCATAAACACTTGTTTACCAATGAACGCAACTGTACACGTACGTGACTTTACGTCACATAGCACTCCCTTATTGAGTTTGAGGCACTGCGAAAACCGAAACACTGCATCGCTTCGCAAAACAAAACAACAGAAAAACCATAGCAAATCGCGAGCAAAAATCAAAACAGACGTTATGGCACGGCAAGGTTACGGTCACGCATTCCGCTTGTATGGTCCCGGTACGAACGCTTTTGATCACGGTTTGGTCTGAATCCTCCACGATAGTACACTGCTAAAGAATTTGGGAAGGCGGAAACTGCTCCGTTGACCCCATTTCCAGTGAACGAACCATGAGAGGTGACGAGGCGTTGCACAGTTGGAAATCAATACCAATGGATACCGACATTTTCTATAGCGCACTTAACATGATGGCTTGTGGCAAACTGCGAAACAGCACAGTTTTCGATTTAACACGATCAGTAAATTTGGCTACTGTAGCCGCTAGATGAAGTGGCTCCACTTTTAGATCCGGCCGCTGCCTGCCTCTGGCCGGGCACTGAACACGAGCCTTCCTCCCACCGGGAGACGCACACTTTGCTTTTCGATATTAGTACTGTACTGTTGCCTGCCCCTGCCAGGGGCAACCCAAAAACCACAACAAACCAGGTTTATAAATTGAAAACTATCAGAGCTCTGACATTATGCTCTAACAATAATTATTGTCGTTGCTAAAAATAAGAAAACTCGGTAAAACATGTAGAACGTCAGCATCAGAGTCAAAATTGTTTGAAATCAAAAACAAGTCTGCACGGAGCAATGTGTGTATATTGGGCTTGCATTTTCCCGTATACCAGACTCTGTGGAGCCACTTCATCTAGCGGCTACAGTACGTTCAGCCCGACCTTCACCCACGCATTGTGGCCAGCAGGGAGTCTTAATTTGCAGCACGCAATACAGTTCCATGCAGTAAACGGCAGAGGTGGTGTGACAGTGTGACGGCATGTGAGAGCGCTCTTGGTTCACTCGTGATTCCATTGTGGTTCCATGTGGTTCCATTGGTTCAGGGAATACAGAGGTAGTGTGACAGCGTGTAGCATGCGAAAGCACGCTTGGTTCACTAGTGGTTCCATGGTGGTTCCATGTGGTTCACAACCAATCCACTAATGTCCTAACTTGGACATTCTCTCACAAATTGTCTTTGTGATTACGCAGCTGAATTGCTTGTGCCTAGTTTTAGTTTCGCGAACCTACAGTAGAACGCATCTCTTCAAATGAACCCGGCTGTGGCTAACAAGTGTTTTTCGGCATCTTGGATTTTACCAGTAAACCCAGCCGCACGCTCGCTTTTGTTGCTGCCGTTTCCTTGTATACTATCGCGTGCTTTCCAAAATACTGGAGGTATCACTGAGAATGATCATATAAACTTCCTGCAGAAATGAGCCAATCCCCGGCCAGACCAGTAGCGGTAGCGTCAATGATGCGATTTTTTTAGCGCTATGGTTATTTGCGGTAGGTACACAAGCAGTACAGTCATAAGTTTCGTATAAAGTAAAAATTTGTACTGAATACACAGCGATGCAATTATACTCGTAAATCCCGGCTCTTCAGAAGGCGATTGTTTATCCTGTTTTGATCAGACTCCTAGGTTAACCCTGAAAAATACGGTGACCTTATACCGTACTGTACAGCGGCATCGGATCGCTGCCGATTATGCGGATTACAAATTTAATTTCCGCAACGGTACTGTGTCGGTTAGCATGTGCTAACCGACACAGTACCGCTGCGGAAATTAAATGTGCACACAAAAGCAGATCAGCTAGTCGGTTTGTATCGTACGCTGCACAGTACGGTGTACGGTTCTATGAATACTTACAGTTTTTTTTCAGATTGGATTATTCACCATAACATAGGTTAAACGCAAAATTGCACAGTTCATCATTTCAACACGTAATACACTTCATCCAGTTTCTTACCGATACAAAACGTTTCCTGAACACACGCGGCATTTTCTCGCATTAAAGCAACACTGATTCTCTGCTTCAGAAACTGAGTGGACCGTTTCTCCTGTATCCGCTCAGAAAGCATCTTAGTGATCTTACCGAGCGTAGACATCTTACATTTCGATTCACTACTCCACACGCCCATTGTTACAAAAACCAAAGCAGAGCAATTGAAAGCAGCTTACAGTTTATAATACCGCGATAGGCGACTGCAGAATGCGTTACAAGTATAAATCCTGATTACAGTATGGCTTATACCACATCCGGTCATGGCAAGACAAAGCAAAACCTACAACTACCTTTCGACAGTAATATTATGGAATCGCTACAGCGATCGTTGTTGCAGGTACTGGATTATGTAATAATTCTGGTAGTTACGACAAGGGATCGAAAGATGTTTGATAGTTACGACATATGTAGGTACATCGAGCGGCACGCAGCAACAACTCGGAAGAATAATCTCTTGATGATATACAGTACATTTAAGCGCTTCCTTGTGCTTTATAAACAAAAGTACAAAACTGATATCTCTGCGTAATTAATGTCAAGGGCAACAATGATAACCGACCGAACTATTCTGCCCTTCCTCATAGTAGCGCTAGCACCGGTAAGGCGTCCGTCGCAACGAATGTGCTACCTAAGTAGGAAATATTCAGCTAACATGGTCCGTAACCGGTACCAGCATATTGCTACTAGTATAGAAGGTCGTAACCGCCCTTAGTGCAAGCGAGCGAGCGTGTAAATTTTTTTGTTGTAAAAGACTTGGCAGGGTGAGACAACAACCTAACCAAGTAGTTGAGAGTCTACCTAGCTTTTTGTATCTTTTGCATATGCCGAGTTATCAACAGATCTGCTCAGATATCAGTTTGTTTTTGCCACCGCTGCGATGCCGACGCGATACCATCATTTTTATGAGGTTTTACGGAATCATGCTGACACGGTATATTAATTTTAAAACGATTCCTTCAGCAACTACAGCGCGGGCACTGCTAATGCTTTACCGCACATGGCCGCCTATTCCGCTTGTTCTCCGCCGCACCAAATTCTTTACATTGGGATACTGGTCTTATTTCTTCAGTTTCTTATTCCCAGTATCGATATTTCATTCCCAAACCGATAAGACTTATGCCGGTCACCGCCAGAGCCAATTCAGTAGCTACGCTCAGCTTGTCCGTTTATACTGCTTGGGAAGCTTTCCAGCCTGTTCAAGAACCCCAGCCACGGCCATCGTCAGTTCAGATAAATCATTTTCACGATTGAAATTCGAAAACCACCGCTTGCAAAGGCAAAAACGATGAATTAATTACTGGAGAGATTTTTGAAAAGCACCTGCAATTTAGAGCAATTTTTTTGCTGCGGATGCATTTGCACAACGATTTACAAAAGAAGACTCGAATGCCGATGGAACCGCACTGGTTCTGAAACGCACCGGCGGAGATTTCAAATTTTTGTGTCCAATAATTTTCCACTAATTTGCTGCGGAAACGATTTATCGTTTCAGTACTTCATTCAGTGCTTAGTGGCAATAATCCAAGAATTGGAGTTTTACCAATTTTTTTTTCCGTGAAAAGTGACTATTAAATGCGACGCTTTCTGTAATAATAAAAACCCTTGACATGGATCTTTATTATTTTTTCTCAGTAAAGGAACAAAAATGTTTATCAATTAGGTTTATCTCATTAATTTTCAAAATAAACTGATATGCAATTCTATAAATGAGCTCATGTTAGAAGTTGAAAATAATGGTGTAGCACAAAATGAGCAACTTTGATCAATCACTCAAAAAATTCCCATTTTATTTGCAAGAATTCAGATTTGAACTTTGATAGAGTTATCTTTAAAATCTTGTTTTTTTTTAAAACAAAGGCTTAAAGAAAGCGAAAAGAAAAAAAAGTCGTTACGTTCTACTTGCAGCTTTGTTCGCTTCGCAGCGCTTAGTCTCTCTCGCGCTTACTTTTGCCGCTAGGCGTCGCTTCGGCCCCGCTTCCGATTTCTTTAGAAACAGTTACTTGCTACTGTACAGTATCATCACGAAAAGTAAACATTTAAACTGAACCGTAGACAAAACCGTTTCCGAAGCAAAGGATCAGACCTGGGCAGTTAATTTTAACTATTTAACTTAACGCAAGTTATTTTCGAGTTATTGAGTTATAACTTAACTCTTTAGCGTAACTCAGAAGAAAACGTAACTCTAACTTAACTCTCTTGAAAATATTATATAATGTCTATGGTAGCGTAACTCGTGCTGTAACTCGAAACTCGGTTTTCCTGCATAAATAATTTAACTCTAGGCGTAACTCGCACGCTCCCTGTAACTCTTAACTCTAACTGTGGGTCAGTTTTCTATAACTGCCCAGGTCTGCAAAGGATATAATAATCCTTTGGTTTTACTTGCTGCTCCGCTCGCTGCGCTGCGCTTGCTCACGCCGCAGCTCGGCGTCGCCTTCGGCTCCGCCTTCGATTTTCGTAGAAACGGTTATTTGCCTCTGTACCATCGCTGTAATGGAACGCTCGAAATACACCCTAAAAAATATTTTTGGAAGAAAGAA